TTATTCTTTTCAAAAGTTTGTAAAAACATCGATAATAACCAAAAAAATTCCAATATAGTCGTGCTACTACTACTCTCTCTCTCTCTCTCTCTCTCTCTCTCTCTCTCTCTACTCTATTCTCAAGTATAAATGTAGTCAAGTTTTATTATATTATAATAACCGGCCTGTGCAAGTTTCCTAAATGATGATTCATGATCCAAAAAAAAAAAAAAAAAATCCTGAAACCATGTTCAAAACGACCGACTGGATTCAACAAATCATTGGATCAAATACAAACACAATATATCTACGAAATTAAGTGCCATGTACATTATGTATATACAAGACATACTTGAGTTTATTGAACGGAAAAAATTCTAGATTCTAGAATCATCTAGAAACCGACTAGCCACACATATTCGATAATAATAGTTACCTATTCGATTGAAGAGTGATAAAGTGATCGAATTTTTTTTTTTTTTGGGGAAAAAGGGAAAAAACCAGTTAGAAAATGTTCAATGGAGTTTGGGTATTGTTTTCGTTTTTCAACGCCACTACTATACCACCACCACCACCGTCATGATCATGTAATATCTATAATTTATTATATCGAAAAAAAACTGAATGAATGAATGATATGATAAGATTTATCATTTTTTTTCGGTAATAATAAATAATGATGATAATTCATTGCATTATAATTATACCAGAAATTTATCATTCATATTGAATCTGGTTCTTCTTCATTTTAGTGCAAATAAATGCAATATATGCAGATTTGTTTTTTTTTTTTGGTTAGAGAAAACGAAAAACAATTTTCGATTAGTAAAACTAATCATTTGATGATGATGATGGTGATCATAATCATCATCATAGGTATATTATTACTATCATCATCATTATGGAATGTTTTTTTTTTGTTACATTTCAAATAGAAATTCCAAATTGTAGATTCTTCACACACACACACACACACAGAGTATGATGTGAAAAAAAAATTTTTCAATTGTATTTACACATAAAGAAACCTTTATTTGTCTGGTTAGTGATCATGGATCATGATGGATCAAAGAGAGAAAGAAAAAAAATAGGCCCAAACTTGGTGATATTCATGATAATTCCAGCTATTATTGTTATTGTTGAACAAGGAATTATAAACCACCAATATCAACATTGATATACATAGAACATGAACCATAACCTCATGCTTTAACCAAAAAACAAGCAGAAAAAAAACGAAAGAAAAAAATTTGAGCCACAAAATCCATTAAGAATCTCGCTCTCTCTCTCTAGCTTGATTATCATAAAAATACGTAAAGTTAAACCACCAGCCACACGTACACAACAGCAGCAGCATATGAAAAAAAAACCAAAAAAAAAATCTCAAGCTATAATCATTATTATTGGAAACATACGGCGGTAGAATATTTTTTTTTTTTGAACATAAAAATACAGCCCCAAACACACACACACACACAGACAGACAGTCAACCCAAAATGAAAAAAAAATCCATACAAAATGATTGAACAAAATGACAATCATCATAATGTTATGAAAGGAAAATAAAAAAAACGAAAATCAAATTAAAATTACATTCACATACCCACACACACACACCACACACAAACAATTTATAGTTTAGTTAGTGGATTATATCTAATATATAAATATATAATGGATGGATAATGTTGGAATAAAATCCTGAACAACAACAACAAAGAGTTTACGGAAAAGGAATGTAACGCCTATGATGATATCACAAATCGATTTGGATTTGGTAGTTTTTTTTTGATCATCATCTTTATATAATGTTGTTGACTCCCACTATATTACATACCCGTATTATATTTTATTGACGGTTGTTTTGGTATTGGTGTTGGTGGTTGGTGGTTGTCGTTGTCGTTGTCGTTTAATTTGATTTACATATTTGGCAATGGGTATGGGGAATGCGAGTATTGCGTTATATATTTTTTTTACACTTTCATTGACTGTTTGTCATTTTTTTTCATTGGATTAAATACCAGGATTAAAAAAACAAACGGTGAATATCATTTTTCATCATCATCATCGTTTTTTTTATTCTTTAGTCTTTTGTTTTGGAACACACAGAGACAGAAAATAAAACTATTGTTATATTGAATGGAAAAATGGGCAATATATTGATGGTTATCGATCTTGATTTATGTAATTGGTCAAATTTTATATATGTATAATATAAAACAAAACAAAACACTAGATTTGATATGTTTGAAAAAAAATATCGATTGTAGATTGACGATACATCGAATTATAGAACACACACAAATATAACAATAATAAAAAAAACAATAATAATAAATGAAATTTGGGCGGAACGGATTGAATCTATTTCCGTTTAAATATAATTGATTGATTGATTGATTGATTGTTGTTGTTGTTGTTGCTGCTGCTGCTGCTGTTGTTGTTGTTGTTAAAATCATAAACAAACCATACACAGACAAAAATACACAGAGAGACACTTGAAAAAAAAATTCGAACAAATTAGCTAACCACAGACACGCACACGCACAAAAACACAAACATCATCATCAATTTCAATTCACGATTTTCAATGATTAAAACGTGCCTGTTTTATAGTTGACTCGAAAGGGTCAAAAGGATTAATCCATTGGGAAATAGATGAACAGAAAAAAAAATTTGATTCAAGCAAAATTTGATTTTGTCAACAAACAAAACACACCACCACCAATCATTGAAGAAATGGATGAATCAAAATTTCAACTTTTTCATAGTTTTTTATTTTCATTGGCAAGCTGTTTCACATGATGAAAGAATTTTTTTTTCATAGGTCGAAGGTGATGGTGTTGAATATTAGTTTTTTTTAATATTAGAGTTCAATATTAAACTGATGTTTTTTTTTGGATTTTTTCTCTTGATGAACATCGGGACCGAGACACGCTACACAACAACAAAAAAAAATAATAATAATAACCGTAGATTTTGTCGATAAAGAACAAATATAAACACAGAATCGGGCGCCAAACTAAAAAATCGAGAATAAATAAAATGTTTGCGCGACTAAAATGAATTTTTCGAAATAACAGTAATGAAACCCGATTTCAGTGTTTGTTTGATCATCATCGGTCTATTATGGAACAAATGAATCATACCCTGCTGCTGCTGCTACCATCACACCAACACCTACACCAATGCCAACTGCCACCACCCAATTCTTTTGTTTTTCTACTGATTCTGGAATAGGAACAGAATCGATTTATTTTCGGAAAAAAAGGAAGTAGCATTTCATTGTAATGAAATTGCAATATTCAGCAGTATATAACTGCTAACGGCATTTAGTTTAGCCGGTAAAATATTTTCAGCTGTAGTAGTACACTTGAATGATAATAGTGTGGTCGGTCGTAGTGGTAGGAATTGAACCAATAGCAAAAAAAAAAAAATTCCCGCCGAACCTATTGAAAATTGAGAAAAATGGATCGTTCGCGTATCTTGGAATCAAACGAAAAAAAATGTTAGGAATTATGGTCAAAGGTCAACCAATACATACACAATGTTTTGTGGTCATGTCACCCCGTGTCATCATCATCATTAAATTGTAATTGAAAAAAACACTACATTTCAATTGATTTCCGTTTCACATTTAAATAATGTGCAAAAAAGAACATTATCATCATCAATTAAAATTAACTAACTTAGACAACAGAAACTTACCGGAAATGAGGAATGAATGAAACAAAAAAATCTTATTAATTTTTACAGGCCATAAAGCTTGATGATGATGATGATGGTGAGAATCTTGAAGAGAGAAAATAAAATAAAAAATCGATCGATTATTGTGAAAATAATTTACTTGAAAATCTATTCTACAGTGTGTGACCAACCACCACCAATGGCTGAGTTTATGATTCTCTTTCCTTCTTTCTTTCTTTTTTTCTCTTTCACGGACAATTAGTTCGATGGAATTTTCGTAGAAACTAAAACGAATTTCAATTTTCAATGAAAATGTCGTCCCTATTTTTTGTTGTTGTTTTTTCTCGGCCAATATTTGTGTTTATATACAATGAATTTGGGATCAAACAAAAAAAAACGGTCATTCTCCATCGAAGCTAATAATAATAAAGATGTTCAATGAAAAAAAAGAATAATCTTTTTTGGATAAATTCACTTATCAAAAAAAAAAAAAAAAAAAAATTCATTCCATTCCGCTCGATTGGCATCACACACACTTTTCCATTATATTGAAAATTTATCGATAAAGCAGAAAAAAAAAAATTCTTTTCTTTTTACAGTTTGATTGAGAATTATATTAAAAGTTGACCGTATGCGTGGTGCGTGTGTTCCTTGTTCAATTTTCATTGAATTCAACATTATCTCCACCACCACCAACAGCAGCAGCAGTGTTGTTGTTGTGATAATGAGAATACCATTTAGATTTGTTGATGATTATTATAATGATGATCATGATGATGATAATGGAAATCATCAACTAATGATGTGTTTATCTTTGCCATAAATGCAAAAGGTGTATGTGTGTGTGTGTGTGTGTGGAAAGGTATGATCAACAACACATTGATATTGGTTGGTATATTCGTGTATATTTGCCACTCAATTAAATTGAAAAATAAATTTTTCATCATATCATCATGATGATTATGATCTCAATTTTACATATATTTGATAATAATGTGTTGATTTTTTTTTCGTCAAGATCATTTACGAAAACTTTCATCATTATCATCATCATGCCGGTGCGTCAAAGACAATGATGATGATGATGATCATCATCATCATCATCATCATGATCACTCGATTGATATGGTTCTATAGAATTGAAGCGAAGAAAAAATCATTTTTTTTAATAAATTTTAAATTAGTTTCAGATGAAAAAAAAGAATGCTTACACACTTACCTCATACACACTCATACACACACACATAAACAGCGAAGGTAGCAGAAGGAAGGAAAAAAAATTTAAAATTCTGAAACAAACAAGAACAAAAAAAAAGTTACTAAATCGCGCACAGATGTGGAGCAAATATTAAGTAAATTAAACTTTCGATTCGTCGGGTGGTGTGAGAGTTTCGTTTTCATTTATTCTTCTTATTCTTAGATGAATGAATTTTATTTTACTTTTTTTCCCGTTATGATAAAATGATTAATCAGTAGGCAGCTACATTGATTTCTATCGATCGATCTACTCATTATTTTTCATTCAGATGTTTTAAAATTTGTTGCAAATTTTTGTATGATATTTGTTATACTTGGAACAGTCATTTTTGCTTTTTCCATTATATTACGATGATTCGGTAATGTTCTTGCATCATCATTTGTTGTTAACGTTGTTGTTGTTGATGCTATCCCGATTGATTCATCATTTGACGATTGATGATTAGCTCGATTACGATGACGATGTGGAGCATTTTGAATACTTGATCCATGTGTTAACGTTTCCATTTGCTGCTGCAGCTCTTGTTGTTGTTGTTGTTGTTGTTCAGTATCTAAACTATCATCATCCATAATAAAATTTGCCGGTCGACATTGATCGAAATTTCCACAACAAATCTCCGTAATAAGATCGAATCCTTTTGAATGGAAAAAAAACAAAAACAAATTAAAAAATACAACATGTTTCACAAAAAAAAACGAACACTTACTTGAAATAAGATAAACAATCGAAATGATTGCCATATAAATCATTGAAATCCAGCCCATATATTGGTTATAATTAAGAAAATGGTCATCATTTTCAATTTTTGTTCCATTCTTATTTATAACAATATCATCAACATCATTATTATGCTGAATTTTTGAATTCACCTGATGCCGCAATGCTGATTGGTTTTGAACATTTTCTAAATCCATATATTGATTACCATCAATCATTTTTGGTATTAATGTAAATCGATTTTCATCATCATCATCAACAACAACATTGCTCGTCGTTATTTGTTTATCGATGACAATACCATGGATTAGTTGAAAATTAATTACAATGGTGATGATGATGATGATAATTTTCGTCAACATAATTTTGTTTTGAAAACCGAGAGAGCGAGGACCAAATAACAATAATTAATCATTATGAAAATTTTCATGAAAAAAAATTTTCGGTTTTTTGTATCCATTGGAAATTCAAATTTCTATAATCAAATAATGAAAAATTTTTTGTTGTTGTTGTTGTTGTTGATCGAATTCAATTTAAATCGACAAAAATACATAATTAATCTACTTTGTGAAAAAGAAAAGAAAGAAAAAAGAAATGCCAAGAAATAATACATCCATATCGGAATCGAATCTAATTGAATCAATTATCGATGTTTGTGATGATTATGATAATAATGATGATCAATCGAAAAATAAATGGAATTGTCAGATGATGATTAATGATCCGGATTCAATGTCGGCAGCAAACATTATACTATATCAGATTCGATTACAATCAACAGCAAATAGTTTGAATCTACTAATACCAATATCATCGATACGTGATGAAAGATCGAAATATTTATTGGAAACAAAATTACATTTCAAACCAAATGAACATTATTGGCAAAGAGATTTAGATTGGAACAATGTCATCACTATTGGTCAATGGGAAGATCCAACATTATTAACACTTTATGATCAATTGTATAGGAAAATTGTATCGATAAGATTTCGTATCCATGAAGATGTCAATCATTTTCGTCGTCGTATTAATCGTGATCGTTTTACATTGGTACCATGGGATGAATGGGAAATTTGTCAACGTGTTGGCGCTTGCCAATGGAATCATTATAAACATACATTTCAACAGGCTAAATATCGATGGCCACAATATGTTTTTAATATAGCATATGTGATGCGTGGTAATTCATCACCATTCGATGATCCTGATGTTGAAGAAGATCATAAACGTAAAGATCGTATAATGGTCGAATTTGTCATAAGGATTCATAAACAGTATAAATCTTTACGAATGGAACAAATTAAGAAAAAAACATCTGTTTCATCAGTAAATTGATTATTGAAAATAAAATTAATTTATTCAATTGTCGAAAGAATGTTGATATGTTGGATATAATTGGTTTAATTCAATTGTTATTCTGTTGTTCAGTTATCGGTGATAAAAATTTCAAAGCCGATTCTTTGCTAATACGTTGCACTTGGCTAAGCTATTTTGTTTTTTTAAATATGCAAAAAGATAAAATGATTATACAATTTGTCAATTATACAATCCAATATAATAATTACCCCATTAACATATTTGACACCGAAACATCGATCAGAATGTTCAACCAATTTTGTTTTAAATGTAGTCACAATGAATTGTTTATGTCGTTGTTGTGGTTGTGGTGAAACCTGTGTTTGAATCATGTTTGCAATAAGTTCAGTACTTTGTGGATCAAGATTTTGATCCAATTCATCAAATATGTAGAATGGTGTTGGATCAACTTGTTGTAATGCAAGAACAAAAGCCATGGAAACTAGCGTTTTTTGACCACTTGAAAGCGACATTAAATCCTGTTTTGGTTCGTTCTTTTCCTCAAACGATACCAAAATTTCGATGCCAGCGAATGAATCAACACTGTCGATGATTGAGGATTGATCTTGTTCAAAGAAATAAATGTAAAAAAAAGAATGAAATAAGGAGTATAAATTACCTGCTGATGATCCCAAAGAACTTGAATTGAATGATGATGACAATGATGATGGTTCCGTCAATGTTTCACTTCTCATAGTAATCTCAGTTGAATTATTTGAGGTTGATGAAGTTTCGATTGTTGTTGATGACATATTTTGATCAGTATGATGACGAGTGATGAATTGTAAAAAAGCTGCACCATTTGGTACAAATCGTTTGAAAATTTCTTGAAAATAAAAATTAACCTGTTTATAGGTACGCATGATGATTTCATTCTTTTGGCCTTCAACCATTCGCATTAGATGATGGATTTTTTCTGCACTACGAATTTGATTTTCTTTTTCGCTTTTCAAATTATCAATCGTTTGACGATGTTCATGATATTCTCCCAATAGACTATGATTAATTTTTCCACCAGGAATCAAATCATTTAATTGACGATTCAAATTTCTTACTGCTTTATTCATTTGGCTTGTAGTGTTTAAATTACGATATTGACTATCAAGATCTCGTAAAAAATCTACAATGAACAAAAAATATTAACAAATTATTTGCATACAAAAGTGAGAAAACAAAATCATACCATTTGAAAACAATCCAGCTTGTTCTATATCGACCATAATATCTTGAATCTGTGAATCAATATTTTTACAGCCATCTTCTTTAGTCTGAAATGATTTTCGTAACAATTCCACTTCATACATTGCTTGTTGCCATTCCTGTTCCAAATGTTCAATTTCATTGTCAAGTTCAAATTTTATTTGTGTTTTATTCGAAAGTATCTCGTTGAATTGAGCAATTTTTCTATGAAGCGATTCAATTTGTTTAGTCCATTGTTGTTGTAATTGGTCAAATTTTTCGCATTTTTTTGCCGATGCTTGTAAATTTGATTGATAATATTCTATTTGCTCTATTTTTGTTTTCAATCTTTGTGTTGATAATTTTAAATCTTGAATCAATTCTTCCGTTATTTTATGTTTATGTACAGTATGATGAATTTCAGATTTCAAAGTTTCAATTTGTTCATTAAGTTCTTGAATTTCTGGCTGCAAAACATTTGGATCCGATTGTATTGATTGGATTTTATGTTCCCAAAAATTTTTCTCTTCAATCAAACAAGACATTCGTGTTTCATTTGAACACAGACATTTTCTTTCCATTTCAATTTGTTGATCAATCTGTTCGAGTTTTTTCGCCAAAACAGATTCCGATTCAATATCATCGTTTTGCCTTTCAAACCCATCTTGTAATGAAGCCAATTCTTGTTTTTTCAATGTTTCTTGACGATGAATTTCAAGATTTTCATCCATGATTCGATCACGATCAGATTCTAATTGTTGGATTTGTTCACGAATTTCTTTCAAACGTTTTTGACTGTCAGACAATTTTTGATACATTTCAAATTTGGTCAACTTATTTCGATCAATTTTCCTAATAACACCATGACGATCAATCATTTCACCATTGAGTGTGGCAAAGTCACAATGCCGGCTCTTTTGAAACAATGTCCAACAATCATGAAATGATCGACCAATGTATAAGCAAGCGAAAATATGACGAAGAACATTTCCCATTTCAACATTGCCAGGATCTTTGTTACGAATACAATTGAAAAGTGGTTCACATAATTTATTTACACTTTGTTCAATCGATGATTCATTTGTTGATGTTGATGGTGGTAAGCGATTAATCGCTAGAAAATGAAATGATCCAATCAAATTTAATCGTGAAATTTCATTCAATATTTCAATGGAAACATTTTCATTCGAAACAACATGTTGAAACAGATTATTCTTCAATAATGCTTCCATAGCATAATTGACCGGTTTGATTAAATCAATAAAATCTATCACTTGGCCATGATAGCCATCAATTACGCGTTCAGCACGTTTTCGTTCTTCTTCATCAACATCTTCATTTGAATTCAATTTTGATTGAAATGATTCCAATACTTGTTGAATGTTACGTTTTGTTGTTATTGCCATACTACAATGATCAAGTCGATTTTCCATTTCTTTAACATCGTTAGTGATTGAAATTGATTCTTTTTGTAGCTTTGTCAATTGGCTCATAATTTCGCTATATTGAATAAATAAATGAAATCAATTTTTCAACGAAAAAAAATAAAAATAAAAATCATCAGATACAAACCATAACTTGATTTTATTCGATTTTTTCGCGATGATCAAATCAGCCAACTCTTGTTTCAACGGTTCTAAACGCTGTAATCGTGACGTTTTTTCTTGTGAAATTTTCTTCAATGATTTTTCAAGCATCAATTTTTCCGATTTCAAATTAGCCAATGTTTCATTTCGTAGATTAGCAATGCATTGTTGTAGTTGTTGGATTTGTTCATCCAAAGGTTTCAAAAATCGTTGAAAAATCAATGAATTTCGTTCATTTGAAACAACTGACGATTGCATCAATCGGATCCAATTCAAATAATTCATACGTTTACTTTCCAATGATTTCAATTTATCATTCAATTGTTTTTCCATATTGGACAAGTTTTGCAATTCATGAATTTTATCATTCAATTTTTCATCATCTTGCAGCAATTCATTTTTCAATGAATCTATTTGTTCTAAATCAGTATCGGTAACAACAACCTGTTCCAATGATTGTCGTTGTTGGCATAGATCACTCAATTCATTGTGCAATGTTTCCATTAAAAGTTTTGATGAATCAAATTTGGTTTTCAAATCACCGATCTCTAGGCGTATTTCTTCACGTTTTTGTTTTTTCTCTTCCAATCGTTCCTGAATATTTGATAGATTTTCCTGATTATGTTCCAAATTCTCAACATTTTGTTCATATTCTTGTTGACGATCTTGCCGAGTTTGCCGTAATTCTTCTAGCCCTTTTTGTTTTATTCGACTTGTTAGATATTTTTTGATTTTCGAAAGTCGTTCATATCGTTGAATGATTTCAGGATCAATATTCAACATGGAAAGTTTTTCTTCCATTAGCTGAATTTTCAATTCAATCTGTTTGATAAAATAATCATTTTCTTTGAGAATTTCCATTGTTTGAATTTTTGATTGATCAAATTTCTTAGCACCACTCATTGTACGTAATATATCGAGAATTTTACTTGGATTGCTTGTGGCAACGTCTGAAACGAGACCTTGTTTCACCAGGAAATAGGAATTATCACGAGAAAAACCACCACTTTCCAGAAAGGCTATCAATTCATTGTTTTTAGTCAATTTACCATTGATAAAAAAATTATCATTTGTACGGGTGATATGTCGTTTGATAATGACCAATTTTTCATTGATGGGAAAAAATTTATCCTCATTATCGAAATGTATTTCGACAAATGCTTCAATTATTTTAGCAGATTCATTAATCGATCGATTTTGACATATCAATAATAATCTTTGTTCTTCATTCAGACGATAATAATTGTCTGTCAATACAAATTCTAATGCCATTATTATATTCGATTTTCCTGCACCATTTGTGCCCACAATTATATTCAGACCCGGTGATAGATCATTGATTAGACAATATTTATAGGAACGAAATCCTGAAATAATAATCTATATGGATCGAAAAATCGAATTGCATCATTCACAATCATATGATAAACAAAACAATCAGAAAAATTATTTATCTACCTTTTTGATGAACATTATTTTTGGTAAGGGGGGGCTTAAATCAGTAAACAATCAATAACGAACAAACAAACAAAAAAACCGAATGATAGAAAATAAAAAACAAAGCAGACAAAAAAAATGGATTCTTTTTTCCGCTCAAAAAAGATTGTCCCATTCATAAATAACCGTACAGAATTATTGAAATTCAAAACGAAAAAATTTTATTCAAATTGACAAACAAAAAATTTTTTTTTTTTATTCAATACAAAAATCAAATTTCATCATATTTTTTTGCCAATCCATATACTTTCTTTACTGGATATTTACGATCATTTTGTTCCATTTTCATAACGACTGCATTAGCTAAATCAATATGACAATCATTGGACAGTCTGACCAGATTTTCCACTGTTTCATTGATGGCCATCGCCAATGATTTACGATTTTCATTTGTCCATTTAGGCAGACCAACCTGGCAATCATCATCAGTTTGTTTACGAAATTGTGATGATATCTTTGAAACACTATCGACTAAATCAAGGAATGAATTACGTGGATTTTGATTGACATTTGATTTTGTTTTTCGAATAACTTGTTGACGAATATCCTCTAATGATATGGTTGAAGATTCAAATTTAAATCCATCAAATTTATCATCCATATTTTTTGATTATATTTTTTTCGATCGCTACAGAAAAAAAACTAAATTCGAAATCATTAGATCACGTGTTCAATAAAACTCAATAATAATATTTTGATTCGTCCATCACTTCTATGTAAAAAAAAACAAGCATGCATTCATCGTGAAACGTAAAAAATCTAAAATTTTGATTTCGAAAAAAAAATTGTAAGTTTTGTATCACTGAATCTTTTAAAATTCACTTTTCGTGTTCTTTGAACCTGCATTTGATAATTGATAAAATCAAATACAGGTCAAGCAAAACACGGTAAATTAACAAAAAAAAACCGGCCTTAATCGTACTGATTTGGTAGATGATCATCAATGTTTATCAAATAATTTTGTTTTAATGGTACAATTTTTTTTTATTTTTCTTGAATTTATAGATCAAAAAATCAAGTTCGGAAACATGGTATGTATATGTTTTCAATTCTATTGATTACATCGAATGTGCGTATTCTCATTACTTGAAAACTTTTTTTTTGTTCATGGTTTTCAAGTGTAGTTTGGTACGCTAAATCAATGTCCGTAAAATATTTAACACGTCAGCAATCATGAATTTATTTTCAGAATTTTATGATTGTATCATTTCTAATTTTTTACATTTTTTTCCACCCATTTTCTAGACATCCCTGACAAATATATATGGAATTATGCCAACAATGATCAATGAAATTATTAGAAACAATAATTCCACTTGTGTATTGATTGTTTATTGCAATACTTATTTAACATGAATTTTTGTTTTCTAATCATTCACCACCATCAATTAATTTATGTGGTTGAATTGATCGACGAAGTGCTTGTTCCCATGTAGCACCATGTTTAAGATGTAATAGAATTTCGAATGTACCACGAAAACTGAGAATACGTTTGACCATTGGTTTCAATCGAACATATTGATGTATAGGAAGCCGTAAACATTCTATTTCTTGTTCACGTGCTTTGTCCCAGGTTAATGTTGATTTCTTTGTTTTTGATACTAATGCACCGATTATATATACAGCATGTGGATCATATTCATCCATCAATTTGTGTGCATCTGGACTTAGATAAATGAATCGTTCGTTTGGCAATAATTGTTGATATGATTCACGATATATATTCAAATGAAATTCTGGTCTATCAATAAAATCTTTCATATTTTTACATAATGATTCATATGTACGATTTTGATTTGGATCCATTTCTGTGAACATTAATCGAAATGGATCCTTACTATAACGATTTAGGTGATAAATTTTTGATATTTGTCGTACACATGATAATATTTCATAATGGGCCATTAATTGTTCAAGTCCACAATCGATTATTAATGGTTGTCCATATAGTTGTGCTCTTCGCAATGGGCCAAGCGTTTGACGATGACGAGCGTATTGAAAATATCTGGTAAACAAACTGTTACGCCAATAACCATATTGTAATTGATTTGTTTTCATATCAAAACAGCCAACATCTTCGAAATAATCTTCCTGTTCGGCCAATTGTTTTAATTGGGATTTTTTCTCCGCTTCTTTATCACGACGCCATGTATCAAATTCACGAATAAAAATAAAATTTACATAACGTAATCTTGAACTATGGCCATCATAACGTGATAACATTCTTTCCATATCTAATGTGTGATCAAATTTTCAATTAAATAAAACAATATAATAACATATATCACTCACCTTCGAATGGAATCGATGAAGGTGCAAACAATGAATATCGTAAAACATCATTATAATACAACAATATCATTTCGATATTTTTCCGCAGTGTTTCTCTTTGATCAACATCTTGTTCACGTAGCCACAATTCAGCATATTGATCCAAATCGATTGGATCAAATCCTTGTGGATATTGTATTAAACGTTCGTGAATAAATTCACGACTATATTCGGGTTGATGACAAAGTTTAAATGGAAGTTTTAAAAGTGGATATAATTGATCAAAATTTTCTCTTGTTTCAGTTCTTCGTAATAGACGTTCATTGTCAAGATCAGGTGCAATAACATTTACAAATCGACTAGATAATTTCAATATTTTATTGTTATTATTATTATTACGATTATTCACAACAAATCGATAACATTGGCGGAATAACATTTTTTTCGTTTACTTTATATATAATAATTACAAAAATAATCGAACAACAGAAAAAACATGACAATCACATGTTCAATACACAACACACACAGGCATGATGTTCATTCATGTAATCAATTACGCCATTTAATTGTCGATGCAATTAAAGCATTATCAATATAACGTTGAACATGATCCATTTCGAATTTTGTGCTTATCAATGATCGTAATTCAGTTAGCCGTTTACGATCACGTAGTTTTATTAAAATCTAACAAAGGAAAAGAAACAAATTTTTCAATCAACGAAAAAAAAATCACAATTATATACTTACATCGGCAGCATATTTATTCATATGAAATTCTTTAGCCAATTGTAAACGATTTTCAATATCATCGACAAGATCAAGATATTTTTCCAACATTTCTTGTGGTGCTGAATTCTTATACAATACTTGAACAATATCAGTAATCGGTATGATATTGCGACGAATTTTACGACTACCAAGCCATGACTGAATTGGAATCAAATTCGATTAGAGATTTTAGATTACATCGATCAACATAAATACCTTATATTCAAAAAGATTATCAATCTCTTGCCAACGCATTGTTTTGGCCAATGATTGTAATGCGATCCATAAAAATTGTCGATCACTAATCTGAAATGTTTTTTTCAAATGGAACGGTGATGCAAAATTATTATCAGGTAAATGATGATGATAAAGATGACAATAATGAAGTGTTTCCATCAATGAAAGTCCAATTAAACAAGGCCGTGGCTGATGTATCACAAATAATTGATTGTCTTCAACGTTCGATTCGACATTATTCGATTGTTGTTGTAGTTGTTGTTGTGGTTGTTGCACTATTCGTAACACCTCATCACAACGGCGTCGATCATCCGATTCGATTGGTAATTGATGTTCCAATAATGTGATATGTTCTTTTATCAATGAATGATATTGAGTTAGCTCAATACCACCGGTAGTAAAATTTAATAAGGCACGTTCTAATGCACGAATTTGTTGTTGTTGAGCATCAGTATTTGTTGATTTTGTAGCCACACGTGAATAAGTTGCAAATGCAGCATCTTCATATCGACCCATCATATTCAACATGTTCATCTGTTCATCTAATCGTTCGGTTGAACGTAAATAGATTAGATAATGATCAGCAGCAATTGGACGACGTATCAATTCATAAAGTATTATGGATGGTTTCAACGTTTGTTCCAGAAACTGTATCACCAATGTTATCGTATATTTATCTCCATTAAGTATTGCATAATCTAATAATTCAAGTTTTTGTTCTCGTCCTCGAAACAAAGATAGATTGACATGATCAAGATCACCGGCTAAAATTCTATCTACAGCTTGTCGTGTAGATAATTTCGTCATGTTCATTAATGATTTCGTCGTCGTCGTCGTCGTTGTTGTTGTTGATGTTGTCGAAACTAAATTCGATTCGATTAATTTGGCTATTCGTTGATCAATGTCATCATCAATGAATTCTATGATGAATTTACCATCATTTTGTGAACAGTCATTTTCAACACTTGATGAAGTAATTGATTTATTCACATTTTTCTGTAATGATGATGATGAAAAATCTTCTGTTGTTTTCGTTGGTAAAAATTGAATTTTCTTCTTCATCTTCATAATCAAAAAAATTGGCTGCACCTTGTTTTCGTTGTTGTTGTACAATATTCAATGATTGTTGTTGATGATGATCAACATCGTTTGTTTGTTCCATGTTTCAATGGACATATTTTTAATTGACTTGATTTTGGAAAAAAAATTTATTAAATTGAAAAAAAACTTGTGAAACGTCGTCTTCACAATGAATCCTTTCACAAAGGGCGTTACAAGATTCTCAAATTTCAATTCAAATCACAATTTTTTTTGAAAAAAATTATTTATATTTACAGTAATAATCTCCTGTATAAATGATTTTTGTTGTATATCATCATCATAATTACAAAGAAAATAAAATGTCTCATAAAATGAATTTTTGTGTTCAGTAAAAACGTTTTCTCGAAACTTCTTGTCGTTTTTGGTAGATTAACAATCCAATAACACCGGCAATAACAAGAACAATGATGGTTAAAAATAGATAAAAGAAAAACCGTAGCCAACTCATCCGCCCGGATGCTGAATGATCATCATCAATATGATCACGTGGATGTGCCGAACCTAAGGCGTGTGGAATGATCATAGCTCGTTGATCTAATTTATCCATCAGATGAATAGGTGTTTCTAGACGATAAGTTTTTATGGAAATGATATCATGATTATCACTAAGATCACCGGTTGCAGCCGTTATGCCTAGATAAAGACCAGTTGGAAGATAAACACCATTCGAAATGAAACAATCGGTCCATTCACCACTACCATCAACATCGGTCATTACAGTCAATGTATCATTATAATATCTAATGGCAATGTATGTATCATGTTCAGCTGTACGAAGTTTAGCTTCACATCCAGCCAATTCAGTGTGTGTTCCATCACGATCATGATCATAGGCCATTGTAGCATTATTAACCATAGCCGAAATGTATGGATGTGTATGAGCGTGTGCACCATTTTGATTGGCATAAGTATCCAAAAATATGCCTAAACCCCAGAAAAAATCAGCACTACCAAATACATTGCCTGTTACAAATAATAATGAAAGATGAGCACATCAAAATCATGAATTCAGAGAAAATAAAAATTTACCTGGCTGCATTGGATGTTTGACATACCAAAATGCCATACCATCACCAAACAAATCTTTACCATGGCCGGTAATTTTAAATTCCAGATGTACTTCCCAATATGGAAATGTGATTGGCTGAAAAAAAAATCCATTAGAATTTAAATTAGAATTTCGAATAGTAATTAAAATCGATTAAAACATACGACTTTATTCCATAAACCACCATGTCTTGATTGTTGATCCGGTGTAATACGAATAAAATTACTGGACACTATTGTATGACCAATTATATCCCAATTAGGTATTGTCATACCGGTACCTTGATATGGTCTCATAAGTGAATGTTCTTTTTGTGGATAAAAACCAAGATCTTCATATTCAGTATGAGTTCCATGTACAGATTTTATCAATAACAAACAAATGGCACAAATCATGAAATATATGATCGACATATAGATGGTCTTTTCCATTTTGGCAATAAAAGTGTGCTTTATTTCAGAAGAAAATTGAAACACTTGGAAACACTTTTATAAAAATTAATTTCAAATTGTTCGATGTTTAAAGGCATATATCGAACAATTTGAATTTGATGATCGATCGATCGATCTCAGAACAACAACAAGGAAACAGTATGTACCCAAAAAAAAAAATTTTTTTTAAGGAAAAAATTTCTCAATCAAACATCACCATATGATGATGATTTCAACGATACGTCAGTTTATTTTTTTTTTATCAAAAAGTAAAAAAAAAATGTTGCTTCCATCCATAAACAATGTATATACATGAGAACATGATCACGTGATCATCCTAAATAAAAATCTTGTTGCTAGCACACAAGTTTGTATAGTAGCACTGATATTAGGTAGTAGTAGTGGCAATAGAATGCATTATGCAATTTTGCCAACATTACAAAAAACATTTGTGATTTTTGTTATTTCATTTGGCATTTGATTCGCGTTTCACACTCTGTTTGTCACGAATTGTCAACCAAAAATTCTATTTCAATCAAAAATCCTAAAAAAAATCGGAAATTGTCGCCATGATTTGATTGCCATCAACATTGCCATTGTGTGTTCATCTATGTTCATCTATAGATGACTTTATCATCACATCAGTGGAAACAATTTTCTTTTTAAAATTCCATATGGATCACAAATAGTTTTTTTTTTTAAAAATTCAACTTGAAAAATCCGTTTATTTTAAGAATTCAAAAAAAATGATAACAATGAATCATACATTCGAATTATTTGTATTGTTTTTCATTACATTTTTTCTTTCATCAACTACAATGGTTAAAATGAAAATTGTACCAAAAAAATCATTATCATCAATGGCCGATTTTTATACATTGGAATTAAAAATGCCACAAGTATTACCGAAAAATGATGATGAATATTTGTGTACTGCTGTCAATATAAGTAGTGAAGAAATTTATATTAAAAAATTCGATCCAAATGCCGATTCAAATCGAATTCATCATATTATTATATTTGGTTGTAAAAATTTACATCGTACACAATTATATCCAAATAATTGGTAAGAATATTCTTCTTTTGTAAATGATAAATTAAATTTTTTGAATTTTTTCAATTCTTCGATTGATAGGCATTGTTCACATGCACAACTTTGTCCAGGAATGCGTGTCATTTATGCTTGGGGACGTAATGCACCATCCTTACAGCTGCCACAAGATGTTGGTTTTCGTGTTGGTGGCGGTTTATCGTCCGATATAAATTTTCTTATACTTCAAGCACATTATGCTCATCCATTAAATGAACATGATTCTAGTGGTGTTCGTCTATTATATACAATTCAACCACAACCATATGTTGCTGGAATATTTTTGCTAGCATCACTAAACGGGATAATACCACCGCATAAATCACAAAATCATGTAGACATTAATTGTCGTCTTAATCGTGATCCAATCACTGTATTTGCTTATCGTGTACATGCTCATGCTTTAGGCACTGTTGTATCCGGTTATCGTTATTCACATAATCGAAAAAAATGGGATCTAATCGCTAAAGGTAATCCACAATGGCCACAAGCATTCTATCCAATGGATAATGCAATGGAAATCGATAGCCAGGATATTATTGCAGCACGTTGTACTTATAATTCTACTACACGAAATACATTGACCCTAATGGGTTCAACTGTTGGTGATGAAATGTGTAATCTATATCTAATGTATTATTCAGAAAATACAAATCTAATGATCAACAATGGTGATGATTCAATGTCACGATCATTTTTCTATTCAGTAGATGAAAGAAAAGAAAGACGTTTAGATATGGAATCATGTGAAGATGTTGAATTTGAATCAGAATTTTATCGAAATCTTCCTGAAGGAAATGATCAACCATTACCACGTAATATAACTATGGAACAATCTGCATTAGACCAACATTCGGCTCATAATCATCCTCATCATCAACAGTCAAACAACATTGATTCACGTTTTGATGTGACTGAAGGAAAAAAAATTGAATTTTTTCAAGATCTTAATTGGCCTTCAAAAAATTTTCATTTCGGTCAGATTACGGCCGTTGATTTTGATTCAATGGGAAATATAATCATTTTTCATCGTGGAAAACATGTATGGAATGAATTATCATTCGATTTGGAAAATAATTATCGTCGTATACAGAATGGACCTATTGCAAAGCCGACAATCATAACTATTAATACAAAATCGCAGAAAATTATTGATAGTTGGGGTGAAAATCTTTTCTTCATGCCACATGGTTTAACTGTTGATCGACAAAATCATTCCATTTGGTTAACCGATGTAGCTATGCATCAAGTATTTCGATATTCATTAGATAAATCTGATGTTAAAAATTATCGAAAAGCTATACTTGTGCTTGGTGAACGTTTTAAACCGGGCGATGATGATAAACATTTTTGTAAACCAACATCAGTAGCCATTGATTATAGTAATGGTGAATTCTATGTTGCCGATGGATATTGTAATAGTCGTGTGATTCGTTTCAGTTCAGATGGTCGTTATCTTAATCATTGGGGACATAAACCAATTATCAATGATCTTCCATTTCGTCCATCACCAAATTCATTGAATGTTCCGCATAAAATCTTATTGATTGATAATAATGATGTTGATGGTGGGGAGAAACTTGCCTGTATAGCCGATCGTGAAAATGGACGCATCGAATGTTTTCTTGCCCCATATGGACAATTTCGTTTTCAAATACATTTACCACAATTTAATGGACGATTATTTTCGATTGCTTATTCGAAACATGATGATATATTGTATGCAGTGAATGGACCTTCATTATGGCCACAAATGACCGATGTCAAATCTCGATCACCTGATGTTATGGCATTTGCATTCGATTTTCATACACAACAACCATTGGCTACATTTGCACCAAAATTAACTGGAGTATGTGATGATTGTTTTGCAAAATTTGTGTAATTTGAAATTTATTTTGTTTTTTTTTCTCCAATTTCAACAGACATTCAATGAACCACATGATATTGCCGTATCACCAACTGGTGATGAAGTGTTTGTCGTCGAAATTAGGCCAAATAATATTTGGAAATTTACCAATTGTAAATATACCATTTTCTATGCTAATTATAATTAATTTGTGAATTTTATCTTGAATAGTTCGACCTATAGAATCAATGAAACAACAACAACATGTCGTTGTCGATAGTGGTCGATTGAAAACACTGCAACAACAAGAAACAAGTTCAATAAAAAACGCATCATTAGATATGAATATGATGAATTTGCCGATCAAATCAAAAATAATTGAAAAAAATGACCAACAAAAAAATATTACAATTTCAAATCTAAATTTTTCATTCGAATTATTACAGATTCGAACGAAAGAATTTCGTGAAAAAGTATGGTCCAATAATGTTTTGTATTTTGTTCTGTTAGCATTGTTTATATTCATCATGATCTTAAATGTCCATCATACATCATCAACATTACGATTTTGTTCAATATTATTATCAACAACGGTAAATTTATTGAAAAGAAAACTTACTTTTCGTTCTTCATTGAAAAATAGTGAACGTATACGTTTAAGTGATGTATTAAAATCATCAACAAAAAAACGTAAATCATCATCACGTTCAGATAATAAACGATATGGTGGTTTTAATCGTTTACCACAAAATGAAGAAGAATCTGATCTAGTCATTGTCACTGATGATGATGATGATGATGATAATGATGATTCGGATGTTCTTGAAGATTTTAGTCTTTCACAACAAAAAAACAAAAATCATGTTATTTGAAAAAAAATGGAAAAGTGCTTTCTTTCTATCCACCACTTACCACCACTATATAAATATATATTACTCATCGATCATTTCATTATTGATTTTAATTTTTTTTTTCACTGGCAATCATTTATTGTTTCATCGATTTATTATTATACATACATTTTTTATTTTATTTGTTGTATTGTGTGTATGATGTGATGATTTGTTTTGCAAATAATAAAACCAAAGATTTTTTTTTTTTCCATTCGTTTTCCATTTTATAGATTTATTTATTTATTTATATATATAAAATGGCAAGATATACCAAACAACATCGACAATTACCGGCTAATGATCAACCATCATCTGGATGTATAGCCAAATTGTTGATGACAAACATTTTATTACTATTAATCATTTTGCTCATTTATTTGATTACAACATTTAAATCGAATGATGATGATGATGTTTTAAATCAAAATTACAACTGGATTACAAAATCATCAAATTTTTTTACGGCAAATAATATTAGCCTGAAAGAATCGCTGGAATTTTGTCTGCCCGGTAATAATAATCGGATAAAACATGAAGAAGAAGAAGAATTGTTAAACGAATTTCGCCAAAATAATGTATGCAAAGAAATTGATTGGCAAAAATATTCCGATAAACTTCAACATGAAAATTCTCAATTAGAAATTCAAATCCATCGTTATAATGAAATGATGGATGAAAATGATGATGAATATAATCATAATCGTATCAATTTGATTGTTTTAATCAAATTTATTCTAGATCATCATAATAATCATCATGTTCGAAATTCAATACGAATAATCGATATGGAACAAACAACAATGAATCGATTTAGATATATTGTACAGATTGAAAACAATTTTCCTGGTGATGATGATCATGATGAACAGCAACAACAACAACAACAAATGGATTATCATTATTCTTATGATGAAAATATTATCATGTCAACACGATTAGAATATTGGGCAAATCGTATTTGGTTATTGAATCTAACGACAATGGCATTGTTTCGATTTGATGATGATGAAAAAATTGATCATATTTGTCTGATTAATTACTATGGCAATCATACAAATCGATGGGAATGTTTGTGAATTTTTTTATTTTTTTAAAAATCGAAATAAATATCTGGCTGTGTCTATGTTTTTTTTTGTTCTGAGGAAAAAAACCATTATGAATTGAATGGAGAAAATCGAAATTTCCATTCGAATCGAAGCACCTCCTACTCCGTTTTCTTTTCGTCGTTTGTGGTTTTTCTTTTGATCATCTTCATTTGTAAAATGGTTAGGTTATGACAAGCAGCAACCAACCAACCAATTCATTTCATTTGCAATAATTTTTTTTCCATTTCGAAATTATTTCCATTCTGTCTGTGTCTTGTCTTGTATTTGTAAATCAAAAAAAAAAAAAAAAAAAAAAAATTTTTTCATTTCATTCAACATGATTGAATCAATTCAATTTTCAAATGTAAATAAAATTTCTTTTTTTTCATTAGAAATGCGTATCGATTATCATTTGGAACGAATTATGAAACATAATCGATTGATAAATTTTAAAAATTCTATCCGTTCATTTTCCATTTATGAACGAATTCTAGAATGTTTATTGGAAATAACCGTAAGTTGTAATGTTATTGTTATATTGAATATCATGTAAAAGAATGTTTTTTCCAACAACAACAACAACAAAAAGACTTCCACACAGAATATTATTGGTCGTCGACAAAATCTGATTCGAAATGGCCATCATTTTTGTCATTTATTATTGGCAATAATTCATTCGAAAAATGATCGACATTGGAAACAACAGATATTGATTGAATTGTTTCCATTTTTCAAAGAAATCTGCACAAATCTTGGCCAATTAATATGGGCATTAAATTCGAATAAAGAACATATCCGTTATGTTTGTAAAGTGTTTGCTTTGCCTGAATACTATTTCCGATGTACATCGTCAACATCATTATACGGTGGTGAATTCATACCGATCAAAGCCATAATAATACAAATGAATCGTAATTGTTTGATGACCATCCATGAATGTGAAACAATTCGAATGAATATTCATCATATGGTAAAAGAAATTTATTTTAATTGATGATCATTTTTTGTTTTCTGGAACAACAATCATTCATTTTATCAAAATTATTCAATTTGAAAACTTTTTATTTTATCAATTTTTTTTTTTGGTTTTGTTTTGCAATCACAAATTAAAAATGAATTTAAAATTTCGAAATTTTCAAATCTTGGCCATTTGATTACAAATGTTCATAAACGACGACGACGACGACGATGAGCGTAGTTTACAAATACGAATAAAATCCTGGGCGCGCATACTCGCGAATTTTTTTTTTTTTAATCGAAACACCGAATGAACTGAACATTTTTTTTTGTTGTTGCTTCGTTCGTTCCTTGTCTTCTTCTACTACAAAATTTCAATCGTGTATACATTGTCTGTCTGTGTGGTTGTGGTGGTATTTGTTGTGTTGTGTTGTGTTTGTTGTTGTTGATGATTAATTTATCTTTCTCTTTCTTGCAAAAAATTCAATTAAATACAAAATTAAATATTGATCATCATCATCATCAATTTTACAATTTTGGTTGCATTTGATCGTAATGATGTTGGGTGCTACAATCTAGATGTTTGTTTTCAATTCTTAATTTTTGATTTATTGATGGTTGAAAAACATTCGAAAGGTTTGATTCTTGTGTTCTCTGTTGTGTGTGTGGATTTGTTGCCTCTATCTACAACATTTATCTATCGAATTTATTTTTTCATTTGGTTTTGATTTGAAAAATTCATCAAGAAAAAAAAAGTAACTGAACAGCGATTTTTTTTCTTTTGAATCATTCATTATCATCATTATGTTTTAACAACAACAACATGATTGACGAAAAGTCGACAAATCGAATCTTTTTTTTTTTGGTCAAATCGAACAACAACAACAACTATCTTCTAGTTTGAAAAAAAATCTTTTTTCATCATGAGTTCTTTAGTGACACTTTTGTTTATAATTAAAGCTAAATTTCGTAGAAAATACATTCGAATATCACATCTATTATTATTATCATCATTTATGATCATGTTCACCGGTTTTTCAAATATTTCACAAATAAAATGTTGGTCATTATCCGGTGTATATCCAAAATTGAATACACCAGAATTGTTTTGCGATAATTCCGAATGTATTCATGGTTCATGTATGGGTGAACATTGTGTTTGTGATTTTGGTTGGCGTGGTACGGCTTGTGATCAATGTGGTGGTCGTATTAGGTACATTTTTTTGAATCTATATTTATCTTTTGTATGAATTTTTCAAATTCATTTTTTTTCTTTTTTGTTTAGAATAAATTCAACATTCGGTTATATAACCGATGGTAGAGGAAATTATAGTTCCGATTTACAATGTATATGGTTAATCGATAGTGAAACCGAGAATGCTACGATACGTTTACAAATTGATTATTTTGAAACCGAATGTTCATGGGACCATCTTTATATATTCGATGGTGATTCAATACATTCACCAATGTTAGCTGTATTGAGTGGTTCACTTATAAATGATAAACAATATTCAAATCGAATTGCCGAAATAACAGCAAAATCTGGTCGTGTTTACATTTATTTCTATAGTGATGCCGCATATAATATGAGTGGCTTTAATATATCATTCAGTATTGATTCCTGTCCAAGGAATTGTTCCAATCATGGTGTTTGTGTTGGTGATCAATGTACATGTGATGCTGATTATAAAGGTTTGGCATGTGATAAACCTATATGTCCCAATGATTGTTCTGGTAATGGTGTTTGTGATCGTAAAGAACATAAATGTAACTGTTATTATGGATTTATTGGTATCGATTGCAGTCAGATTAAACATGAAGGATATTGGTCATTAATAACCACAACAAATACACCAAATGGCCGTGCACTTCATCAGGCTGTGATTTATGAAGACACAATGTTTATTATTGGTGGTGAATATTTTAATTATGATGAACATTTCCTCATAAAATATGATATGAAACAGAAAAAATGGGATAATGTTGATGCCACAAAACAACAACAGCCACCACAACATGGCCATCATCATCATCATCACCATCATCATATACCTGATGATCGATTTGGTCATTCGGTTATTGTTTTCAATCATACATTATATGTTTTTGGTGGTATCTTACGTAATGGTACCATTGTTTCTGAATTATGGACATATAATATTTTGTACAATAATTTTTGGCATCGAATCGAAGGTCAATCAATAACAAATTCAGAATTTTGCTGTCCAATTGCCACAATGGGTCATACAGCAACATTGGTCAATAATATAATGATTATTATATTTGGTTATAATCCAACTTATGGTTATCTAAATCATGTACAACATTTCAATATTGGTAATTATGGATTGATTGTAGTGAGAAAATTTTATAAAAAATTTTTTTATATTTTCTTCATATAAACAGATACAAATGAATGGAAACTTGTAAAAACAACAGGTGCTTCGGTTAAAGGTGGCTTTGGCCACACAAGTACCTATGATCATATAACTCGTCTTATCTATGTATTTGGTGGATATCATTCATCAAGTTTTGCTGATAATGTACTCGTTGATTTTCTGTATAGTTATGATCCTAAAAAAGAAACTTGGTAAGATTTTTTTTCTCCTAAATGCATAAAGAAAATTAAAAATTTCATTTCATTTTTACTAGGATGCTATTATCACCGAGTAATCAGCCTAGATATCTACATTCTGCCTCATTAATCAATGGTTTATTATTAATATTCGGTGGTAATGGTCATAATTTAACCGATGAAAATACAAGTATCACTTGTTTCTCACCACAATTTCTTGCCTACGATATTTCCTGTGATACATGGTCAACATTAGAAAATCCTATACTCACCAATTCATATGATTCAACAATAATTGGCCGTTATGGTCATTCATCCATTGTCTATGAAGATTCTCTTTATATTTTCGGCGGTTTCAATGGACTTATGCATAATAAACTAATGCGATTCATTCCGGGTAATTGTTCAAATCTTGAAACAATGAAAGATTGTTATTCGAAAAAAATTGGCACCAAATGTATTTGGAATAAAGAAAAACGCCTTTGTCAATCATATAATCAAATTAAATCATCATTCCAATATTGTGATGAAAATTTACGTGTCAATTTCACTGAATTATGTCAAAAACAATTCATTTGTTCTAGTTGTCTTCGAAATTCATATGATTGTGTTTGGTGTGGTGATCATTGTACATATAAAAAATGTAATTCACACTTGAAGCCTAAAGAATCATCATCATCGTCAATCATCATCGTCATCATCATCGTCATCATCATCAATATCAACATCAACATTTATGAAAAGTATCAATGATGCTAAAATGTGTGAATCACGCGATGTTCATATATCAAATTGTGATAAAATGCATAATTGTCATTCATGTCAAAGTGAACATTATTGTTCATGGCAACGGGATAGAAAATGTGTTAGTATGATGTATGAAAAATGGTCTGAAATGAAATTGGATAGCATAAATTTGGCTGATAAATTACAGGTGAATTGTGCATTACCGTGTCATAAACGTACTAGCTGTGTGAATTGTACCCAAGGTTCATGTATGTGGTGTAATTCACAACAACGTTGTATTGAATCAAATGCTTATTCAATTATCTATCCTATTGGCCAATGTATGGAATGGACAACACATCCGGATAAATGTTTAGTGATCTCATGTTCCGATATAAAAACCTGTGATGGTTGTATGAAAAATCCTCAATGTGGCTGGTGTGATGATGGTACCGGTAGTGGCGTTGGTCGCTGTATGGAAGGTTCATTAAGTAGACCAAATATTAATTCTACTTCCTGTCCACAATGGTATTTTACCACCTGTCCAAAATGTCGATGTAATGGCCATAGTCGATGTCGATTGGTTGATGATGTTTGTGATAAAAATTGCCAACATAATACAGGTAACCTAAAATAACCTAACCTAACCTAATCTAACCTAACCTTAACCTAAACTACAGAAGGGGAACATTGTGAACATTGTCGGCCAACATTCTACGGAAATCCAATCAATGGCGGTGTATGTCACCCATGTCAATGTAATGGGCATGGTGATAATTGTAATCCTGAAACTGGACAATGTAGTTGTACAACAAAAGGAATTATTGGCCATAATTGTGATAAATGTGACGAACGTGATTATGTTGGTAATCCACAAGATTTGAATGGTTCCTGTTACTATAATCTATCCACAAGTTATACATATACATTCAATATGTCAAAACCAGATGATATACATTATACTCGTATCAATTTCATTAATACACCATTATCACCTGAAATTGACATTGAATTCTCTGTACAATGTCAAGATAGTGCTATGGTCAATATTTCTGTGGGATCTAGTTCGAATTCAAGTAAGTTTTTTTTCATTCATTTGTTTTTTTTCATTAATTTTTTTTATCAATTACAGGCATGGTCATCATAAGACGTCTATATGAAGGTATGCGATGTGGTAATATTAAATTACGTTTTGCATATACCGATTTGGGTATAAAGAATGCAACATTTTTGGTCAATGTATACTTATTTCGTACACCATTCCTATTGCAAATTTCATTCTCACAACATCGAAACATTGATATTTTACATTTTTTCTTGACCTTCTCCGGGTTAGTGAACTTGTTTTTTTCATTTGTTTGTTTGTTTTTTTGTTTGTTTGTTTGTTTAATCGATAATTTTCAATGTCTGTGTGTTTTTTTTTGTTGTTGGCAGTTGTTTTCTGACCTTGCTTATTATTGCAGCCATCTTATGGAAAATTAAACAAAAATATGAACTCTATGTTCGAAGACAGGTGATTATCATTTTTTTTTCTTTTCTTTTCTCCTTTATCGATTATTATTTTCAATGATTAATAATTATTGAATTTTCAACTAGCAACTTTTTGTCGAATTGGAACAAATGGCATCAAGACCATTTGCTGGTGTTATTGTACAGATGAAAAACAATAGTAATAATGATACAATCAATTTGAATCCATCACCAATAGCATTGGAACCATGTTCAAATGGAAAAGCTGCTGTACTGACTTTGTTGATTAAATTACCAACTGGTAATCAATCTGTACCACAACCAGGTAAATATCAGTGATAAATTAATATTTAAAAATCGATAATGGATTCTCTTTTTCAATGAAAAAAAAAATTCAGGCCAAACTGGAATCGCATTGGCATCAGCATTAGTGACACTTGGAAATGTTTCATTGGATCAAAATTGTCGAAAAGAAGAAAAGGAAAAAAATAGTATGCAGAAATTATCGGCAAATTCCATAAAAATAACGGATAATAATTCATCATATTCGGCTGGTGTTTGAAATTGGTTTTTTTGTTGTTGTTGTCGAATAGAATAATTTTATAATTTTTTTTCGAAAAACTCATGTATGTATAAAAAAAAATATTTTGTACAAATTATATTTTAAAAAAATATACATATTGTTTATGTAAAAACTTTTATATGTAAAAGCGCACTAGTCTGCTAAACATTTTTTTTGACAATTAAAACAATGATGACAATGAAAACATTTATGAGCTGATTATCGATAAATTATTGATTGTATTGAATAGCTGTTGTTGTTCAGAATCGGTTGGACCAATGAATAGTTCATGATTCGATTGATCGATGGTGGATAAATTCAATCCTGAATATAAAATACCAGAACAAATGAATGCAGCAAATGATGGTTGAAAGTAATCGATACGTTTCTCAAGAAAAAGTGGTAATTCTCTTTCCAATGTTTGTCTTAATGATTTACGATCCTTTTCGGATTGTTTCAATAATGCTTCATAACGATTTTGTTTGACAATTACATTCGATGTACGATCCAAACGTTTTAATTCTTGCAATTTTTGGCTACATTTATTGCATTCATTTGTTAATTGTTCATAACGTTTTATTGCACTTTTCATTTCATGGAAAGCAATTTGAAATTTTTTCATTGGTTCACCGACCGTATGATTAATACTGATGGCCAAATCTTGACGATTTTCCAATGATTTTTGCAACAATTCATTCCAACATTGAATCAATTGTGTAAATTTTTCATCTTCTCTATTCAATGATGATAGATTGTCGATGAATTTCTTTTCAATGGAATTTAAATCATATAAACATTTGATTATTTTTTTGATATCATCACAAATATTTTTTCTTGTTTTTTCATAGCTGCAAAATGAACAGAAAAACAAACATTTTAGAATATGCGAAAAAAAAAAAATCAATTTTCAAAATGAACAAAATCTAACCTGTTTATCGATGCAATATGATCATTAAGATCATCATTTGGATTATTATTAATACTAGATGATCGATTGAACATTTTTTTTTGTTTGTTTTAATTTTCAAACAAACAAACAAAAATATAAAAAAAATTTTGTGATAATTTGAGCCTATGACGATTTCTTTATGGAACGTGCATTGAGCAATATTTGTTTGTTTTGTTTTGGATAAAAGTGTTGCCATCTATCGATGATTTATTGGTATTTCATATGGAAATTTTTTTTTATTAAAAAAAAAAAAATTAAATCAGCCACAGGTTGTTGTTGACGAGTGTGTAGATGAACGCAGCACTAACAAAATAGACATTTGAAATAAGGTGTGTAATGGACAATGATCATCACGATAATTACGATGATGATTATTATCGTATAATGATGGAAATGATTTCTAAAATGACCAAATAGTGGTGCCTAATCAAGATTGATGATGATGATGATTATAGTTGAAAATTGTTTCGATAATTTATGAAATAAAAAAAAAATTCAAGAAAATTACCAGAGATAAAAATATCATACATACTTCCGGTGATTGGATGATGGAAATGAAATACGTTTTTCGTTTGTTGGATTTTTTTTTCGTGTACTCATTATCATCATCATCATCATCATGATTAATTGATTAAATGGAACAATACAACAAAGATTCGCTTATTTTCTTTGATGAATTTTTTTTTTGCATCTATCTAATCCTCTTATTGATAAATGCGAATGTTAATCGAACAATAATTCATTTCTAGGCGTGTGTGTGTGTGAGTGTTTGTTTGTAAAATGAGATCATCCGATTATTATTGTTTTGTGAAATAGCCAAACAAATAAACAAACAAAAAAACGTCCATTCTCTTGTGTTTAGATAGCATCTTTTTAAATCATTTTTAAATGTCATTAATCAATGGCTTTTATTCGTCTTGGCAAGTTTTAACAACAACGACAAAAAAATGTCATTTCCAAGGACATCATTCAAATGAAATGAAGGTGAGTGACGATGATGATGATGATGATGATGATAATTGAAAACAAAACAAATCAAGAGAAAAAAAAACATTACAATGATGATCCATATTGTCCGTTTTTAGCGCAGCAGCAGCAGCAGCATATACAAATCCTTCAGCAATTCATCACCATGACCATCATCATCATCATCATCCTCATCCTAAATAAGCTTCTTCTTTTTTTGTTAATTTATAAATTTTCATTATTTTTCATTTTCTTACACATTAGACTATTACTTTTGGTGAGCCTTTTTCTTTCTTTGAAATTCATCCCCAAACACACACACACACAAACACGGTGAATGAAAAAAAAATGATGTTTTTAAATGTCAAGTGAAAAGAGATAAACGTATTTGGAATTTATGGAAGAGAAAGTGTTGTCGTTTTTTTTTCTTTATTGTTGAAAATGGCTATGGAACATCGATGGATGATGATGATGATGATGATAATGATGATGATGATGATGATTCAAACTGGCTTACCTTGCGCGCGCCTTAGTCTTTCTTTCTCTCTCTATCTATCTAAATCGTTCCATAATAATTTGAAAAATCTTATAGTTGCTATAACTGGCTCTTTGAACGGATTCAAAAAGATGTTTATAATGAACACAAACACAAACTGTGTGTGTGTGTGTGTGTGTGTGTATCTCGGTTATTATCTACGGTTCATCATCATCATGAATGAATGAATGAATTCATTTCAATAAGCACGTTTTTTTTTATTTTTTGGCCTGTTGTAAAAATTTACTAAACCGCAGCAACTAACTACAATCACATCATCATCATCGTGAATAATGAAAAAAGCAAATAACATGTGAAATTCTCATTATAAATGTGTGAATTTGTCTGTGCATGTATGTATGATGATGATGATGATGATGATGACTGATTAATAACGATCTGATAAACTTTATATTACAGCTAAAATTTTCTTTTTTTTTTTTGTTCAATGCTATTTGGTGTACTACCATTCTTTATTATCATTCATCACCGTTTATTGAAATAATGAACAACAACAACAACAACAACAACAACAACAAAGGATTGGCTATCACTGCCATTTTCATTCATTCATCTACAACAATTCATCTATTCTAAGAATATATTCCTGTGTGTGTGTGTGTGTGTGTGTTTATGTGGTAAGATGACAAATGAAATTCAATGCATAATAATAATGATGATTATGATAAGAAAACATGTCTATAAACATGTGATTGATTATTATCATCATCAACAACAGCAACAACAACAACAACAGTGTCATTATTATGATCATAATCATCGGCAAACCATCATTCGATAATAACAACAATCAGTGATCAACAATATCACTAAAATACATTTTGTGTTTGGTTGAAAAATGTGAATGAAAAATTTAAAAAAAAAATCCTTTTCATATCATTTTACCTATTTGATTATTAGTTCAGTGTAATTTATATATTTTGGATGAGGTGATTGATTTTTTTTTTCTGTCATAGTTTCAATCATCCATAGAAAATTTAGAAATTTTTTTTACGTGCCATACATACCCATCATATATAACCAAGAAAAACAGGATGTCAATGAAAATGTAAGTTTTTATTTGTTGTTGTTGTTTTGATTGAATTATTTTATTATTATTTGAGAAAAAATTTTTTTTTTTTTGTTTTGTTTCTGGCCATAACTAACGTGGAAATATGTCTTTTTTTCCACTGTTGTTGTTGTTGTTTTCGTTGTTGAAAATGATTCGAATACGTGGTGATTAACCACGTTATATCAAATGATGATGATGATGGCCAAAAAAACCCATTATAATATCAAATGATAATGATTTGAGGGTTTTAGCACCAAAACCCATTCATCTGTGTTCATCTAGAATAGAAAGCGGAACAACGACAACAACAACAATAGTTTCATGAAATGTTTTGATATTATTGTTTCTGTGTGTGTGTGTATCTGTATTTTAGTGCAAACAACTTTTATTGGAACGCATAAAAAAAACAAATTCAATTTTTTCATTTTTTCATTTTTTTCTTGGTTCCAAACGAAAATTTCCAAATCAATAATGATGATGATAGTGATGGTGATTGTTAATAACGAAATTGATATACATTACGATGATGATGATGATGATGAGTTTAAAATGAATAATAAAAATAAAAAACTAGATGCTTGAATACCGAAATAAACAATGGATGGAACATGTATATAAAATCAAACAAACAAACAAACACTCGTATACTCACTACTCAAACACACAGTAGTGTCATCAGAAAAAAAAAAATTTTTTTTTTTCATTTCTCAAAATAAAAATCAAACGAATGAATCAAGTAATGATGATGATGATGATGATTTTTTATTTTTATTTTTATTTTCATTGAACATACACACACACACACACACACACAAACATGTGATTGCGTGAAATGCAAAATGAAACTTACTTGCAATATACTGTTGTTGTTGTTGTTGTTTTTGCATCATTTTTCGTTCGTTTTTATGATGATGATGATGATTTAAGGGCTAGGAATTCCAATTTTTCTTCCGATTTCATATCATCATCATCATTATTATTATTATTATTATTATTATTGCCGAGAAAAAGAAATGGTGATGGAAATATCATCACAATTGTGTTTTGAATTCAAATTCAAAATTTTTTTTTTTTTTTTTTGAAGGCCAAGCGGAACAATGAATAAAAAAATGATGTACATTGTATGTGTGTGTGCGTGCAAACAACTCACATGATTAATGTGAATTGTTTTTTCCCATTGAATTAATTGATATATAGAATCTTTATCTTTTTTTTTTTAAAAAAAATTTCACTTTTCATTTTTTCAATATGATAATATTAGATTTTTATCCAAAATGTTCATCAAATCAATACAAAACGTATTGATAATAGCCATATTAATAATGATAATGATAATCGATATCGATAATCAAAAATTGTTCACCAATGCCAATATACAAACATGGACAATAAATGGCATTACAACAAGAACTTCATTTCAATTATCTCAACGTGATAAACGCCAACCACAACAACAACAGCCAAAAGTCAATCGATCCATTTTAAACAACAATAATAGTAGCAATGGAAAATTTATTTTTGATGTAAGAATTTTTTTTGTTTGTCACCATTTTCATTTTTATTAATAATAATAATTTTATTCATTCATTCATCATTTTATGTAGACAAATTTTAATTCACAATTTTTAGATTTTATACAACCACCATCAATTAATAATGATAGATTTCTATCCAGATTAACCGGTATGAATCTGAATCATATAATCGAATCGGCAACAAAAAAAGTGAATAAACGTTTCGATGTGATTGAGCCAAATATCTATAAAAATAGTAAGTATATGATCGATGAATTTGTTCGTTTGTTGTTGTTGTTGTTGTTGTTATGGTTGTTGTTATTATTTTTTCACAAAAAATTGAATAAATAACAACAGATGCAGCTCAAAAGCCAGGTTCGATTGGCTGGCTAGTTGGAGCATCGACAGCATCGAATACAATTGTTAAGAATTTATCACGTGCAGCATTAATAGCGGAAGAAGCTACCAATATGATTGTTGAAAAGTAGGTAAATATTTCATTTTTTTAATCAAATCGATTGGCTCAATTTGTTCATTTTATTTATTAAGATATAAACTAAATCTAGATCAAATTATGTTCAGCCTAGCTGATTTGAACATTCAATCAACATCATTATGGCGTGATTGTCCTGTTCATAAAAAAACTAATCCACTAGTCTGTTATCCTGGCCAATATCGTTCCTACTCGGGTCATTGTAATAATGTTGAAAATCCTGATTGGGGTTGTGCCAATTTGCCATATAAAAGAGCACTGGTACCACGTTATGGTGATGGTGTTTCAAAAATTCGCCGTTCAATTACCGGTTCAGAATTGCCATCAGCTCGTGATGTTTCATTAGCTGTTCATCAAGGACATGAAAGTCCTTTTTCTCACATTACAACGATGACATCGTTTCTAGGTCAATTTATATTTCATGATCTTTCTAGTGTGGCCCAGTCTATCGGTTTTAATGGCCAACGTATTCGTTGTTGTGGCCTAATGAAAGCTGAGCTCATACATCCTGAATGTCATCCGATTAAAATAACATCAAATGATCCATTTATGCAAAGATTAAATCAAAAATGTATGGAATATGTACGATCAAGTCCAACGATTAGAAATCGTTGTAGTTTAGGTCCTCGAGAACAAATCAATCAAGTAAGATCATCGAAAATTATTGCTATTCAAGTTTTTACATTGTAAAACATATCCAATACACATACAGGTCACTTCATTTCTCGATGGATCAACTATTTACGGTTCGTCAAAGGAGAAAGTATTATCATTGAGATCGATGAAAAATGGACAACTCAAGAGCATCAAATTATCGAGTAATTTTTTCTTTGATTGCATTTTTTATGCCGTTTTTATTTGTCAATTTGTTTTTTTTCTTGTTATTTATTTCCGGCAGAAAAAAGTAAAGGGTTGTTGCCTATTCAAGATGGAAATCATTCGCATGATTGCAAAATGAGCGGCAATAATCATAAATGTTTCAAATCAGGAGACGACAGGTTTCTCTTTTTTTTATTTATTTTTTTTAAATCAAAAAAAATTTTTGTTTTTGAATTAGTTAGGTCGTCATCGATTAATTAATCTTGTTACTAAATATTCATATCGTTTCGTTTTTTTTTTTTACTTCGTTTCTCTCTATTAGAGTGAATGAAAATCTTGGCCTGACCATCATACATACATTGTTTATGCGTGAACATAATCGCATTGCACGTAAACTTTCTGCATTGAATCCACATTGGAATGATAATGAAATATTTGAAGAAGCGCGTAAAATTGTTGGTGCACAAATACAACATATAACATATAATGAATTTTTACCAAACGTATTGGGTGAAGAAACTGTTGATAATTATGGTTTACGACTATTGAATGATGGCTACTATCGTGATTATGATATGAATTTTAATCCAACCATTGAAAATGCTATTGCAAATGCTGTTTTTTATTTCCTATTCACAACAATGCCATCGGCAATGGAACGTTATTCAAAAGAATTACATATGATCGGTTTCACTAAGATGACTGAATCATTTTTTAATCCAAGTGAAATGTATACAAACAAATTGGATGAATATCTAATGGGAATGGTTAGCCAAAATGCTAAAAGTTCGGATCCATTTGTTACCGATGAAATGACCAATGGTTTGATGAATAATAATAATGATTCTAAAGAGGCATTTGATTTTGTTGCTTTTGCCATACAAAGAGGTAGAGATCATGGACTTCCTGGATATGTTGAATATCGACGGGCTTGTCAAATTGAACCATTAATTAATCGTTTCGAGGATTTATCCACAACGATGAGAAATGATGTTCTAAAACGTTTATCTAATCTTTACAAGTAAGCTGTATTAATTAGTTGAAAAAAAATTTTTTTCTGTGTTTGCACTGTATCTAATTAGACATGTTTTTCAACACAGAAATGTACGTGATATTGATTTATTAACTGGAGGCTTAGCTGAAAAGCCAGTACGTGGTGGTCTTGTTGGTCCAACATTTGCCTGTTTATTGGCCAGACAATTCAATGCATTAAGACGTGGTGATCGATTCTGGTATGAAAACGATATGCCACCATCATCATTCAGTGTTGAACAATTGACAGAAATACGAAAATCATCATTAGCACGTATTGTTTGTGATAATGGTGATCAAACTGAATTTGTGCAGCCATCACCAATGATTGCATCGGATATTTATCTAAATGCTTTTCAATATTGTAGTACGGAAATTATACCACAAATAAATCTGGATAAATGGCGAACAAACAAAGCCAGATTAAGTGCACCATTATCTATTGATGATGAATCAATAAGAAAAGCAATACATCGTGCTAAAAGAGAAATTGATTCATTGTATGAAAGAGAAAAAACACTACTACCATCTAACAATAGTGGATTATCACAGGCACAAAAAATGCATTATAATCGTGGCAGGAGAATCAAACGACAAACATTCAATAATCAATCATTGATTTTAGAAAGAGCAACACATGGTATATTGAAACAAATTCGAAACGGTAGAGATCGTGAAGCAAGTAATGATGTATTGGATGATATACAAAATCTAGTTACATCATTACCACAACATGAACTTGGTGAATATCTAAAAAATCAGATACTCATACAAAATCAAAATGTCATTGAACAATGTCAAGATTATTCGCTACCATGTGATCATACATCAAAATATCGTACAATCAATGGATGGTGTAATAATTTACATAATCCAGAATATGGTACTAGTATGCGTTTGTTTAATCGTTTTTTATTGCCCGTTTATGAAGATGGTATTGGTGCGCCAAGAAAATCGTCAGCAAAAAAGAATAAAAATCTACCATCACCACGTTTAGTATCGGTTGTGGTGCATGGTGATACCCATTCACCACATGTTCGTTATGTAAGTATCGAGTTTTTTTTTTTTTTGCTTTTTATCAATGTTGCCAAAATTAAGCTTTATATTTTTTATTTTTATTTCTATTCAGTCATTGATGACAATGCAATGGGGACAGGTAAGTGCAAAATACTTAGGCACATTTATAGCTCTTTTATATTTATTTATTCAAAATAACCAACCAGTTCCTCGATCATGATTTAACATTCACGCCAATGTATTTAACATCGAATGGACAATTATTGAATTGTAAATCATGTAATTCAAGAAAGACAGTACATCCTGAATGTTGGCCAATTACCATTCCGAAAAATGATCCATTTTTCAAGAACAGTAAAAATCATTGTTTACATTTTGTACGTTCAATGAATGCCCAAAAAACATTGGGTCCACGTGAACAAATGAATGATCTGACTTCTTTTATTGATGGTTCACAAATTTATGGATCAAATTATTGTGATGCACATCGATTACGAACATTTAGACGTGGAAAACTTAATACAACTAGACATGCTATTCGTAATATGAAAGATTTATTGCCACAAACTATTGGTAATATTGAATGTAAAGCACCATCAGGATTTTGTTTTGATGCTGGTGATCATCGAGCCAGTGAACAGCCAAGTTTAGCTTGTAAGTTGTCTTGTTTTTTTTTATCCAATTGATAATGTAAATGAATGTGAAATTTATTTTTATTTGATTCTCAAGGCATACATACGATCATTATACGTGAACATAATCGAATAGCCGAAAAACTTTCTCAACTTAATATTCATTGGGATGATGAACGAGTCTATCAAGAGACACGTAAAATTATTTCCGCTTTTTTACAGCAAATTACCTATAGAGAATTTTTACCACGATTACTTGGTAGAGATTATATGACAAGATTTGATATAAATCCATTAGATAGTGGCTATTATAATGGTTACGATGATGATTGTGATGCAACGATTAAAAATGAATTTTCAGCTGCCGTTTTCCGTCTTGGTCATACATTGTTAAAACCATCATTTGAACGTCTTGATGTCAACTATCAGCCGATTAAACAGCCAATGAAATTACGTGAAGGTTTTTTCAATTCAGATATGCTCTATGAACGTAAGTTGAACAATTCAAATTCAAATTCAATTGAATAAATTGAGATCGTTTTTTTTTGCATCACTAAATAAGCATTTGCAACCGATGAACTATTACGTGGTTTAGTCACATCTAGTATAGAAAAATTTGACAATTCAATTACGGAAGAAATAACAAATCATTTGTTTGAAGATCTAAAAAAACCATTCTCAGGAATGGATCTTATATCATTGAATTTACAACGTGCACGTGATCATGGTATACCATCGTATAATCAATATCGTCGACTATGTAATATGACGGTAGCGAAAAATTTTGAAGATTTAAGCAATGAAATACCGATGCCAGTGATAAAAAAATTAAAATTAGTTTATGAGTAAGTTGAAACATTGTGAAATTTTATTCATCATCTTCATCATTTATGTTTTAATTACAACAAAGACATGTAGATGACATTGATCTATTTACTGGTGGTATAGCTGAAAATTCATTACACGGAGCATTGGTAGGACCAACAATCGGTTGTTTACTTGGGCTACAATTTCGTTCATTACGTAAATGTGATAGATTTTGGTATGAAAATGCAAATGTGTTCACACGTTTCACATCGGAACAATTGGCCGAAATACGTAAAGTAACATTATCGAAAATTATCTGTACAAATAGTGATCAGATTTTGCATATACAAAAACAATCTATGGATCTACATGATTTATTTTTGTAAGTTTATTTTTCGATCAATTAGTGAATGAAATTTAATCAATTAACATCAATTTGATTAGAAATCCACGTTTACCTTGCACATCGTTACCGGAGATGGATTTGAATAAATGGAGAACCAATGATAAACATTGTATGATAGGTGGCCAGATGATATTGCTTGGCCGATATGGTCGTCTAAGTCCATGCGTGAATTGTCTTTGTAGTGTTGAAGGGGTAAGGTTTTTCAATTCTAAAGTTTATAATAATAATAATATCCATATAACAATTTTCTAATTTCATTTTAGTCGATTTGTCAATCGATACGTGTGGAAAATTGCCAAGATTTAACAACGAGCTTTACAGTGCAACAAATTTTAGCTGATCAATCATGTGTAGTACAATGTGCATATTCGATTCGTAATAATCAACAACAACAATTACAAACATCAACACGAACGTTTATGTCAATGTTACATTTGAATTTTTAGTTCATCGGTTTTTTTATTATTGTTTTATTTAGTGATCAATCATTTATTTTTTTCCTTTGTAAATTTTTTTTTTTTTTCTCATCATCATAGTTCATTTTTGTTGATTTTTTTTTTGATTAAATTTGTTCATTATTATTACATATCAATCATCGAAAACATTGTTTTATTATGTTGATGTTATACGAATTAGTGTATCTGTGGCCACAGTGGCCAAAAAATAAGATCCAAGTAATAAATGACCTATAAAATAGATTGAACCAAATATTGGCCACCATAGTTTACGATATAGGAAGATAAATGATAAAAATCCATAGCCAAGAAAATAGAATGTATAAAGACGTCCAATAATCCAAATGATTAAATTTGATCCATATCCATTGAATGAATATTGTTGGCGACATTTTTCCAGAAATGGAAAGCAATTTTTCTCAAAAAATGACAATAGAAATTCGATGAAAAAAGCCATATGATATCCACTTTCAAAACCATGCCATATTGATAGAAATGTTAATGTTATTATTTGACTTAAATAAACATTACCAAGAAATTTTAATCGTCGATAAATATATTTGAATGCAAATGTATTTGTCGATATATTGTATGATTTGATTATACTGGTGAATGATGTGGCTGTTTCAAAGGCAATATAATTGATGTTACTATAGGTACCTATTCCATCTTGTTGTGCAATACCGGTCACTAGACATGATGATTCGGCAATCAACCAGCAAAGAATATATTTATACATATAAATTTTGGTTACAATTGCTATCGATGTCCATTTCCAGACAAAGCAAGAATTTTGATAATCTTCACTAAGCAAATATTCTACAGGCCAATATTTTGAACCAATAAAATAGATGATTGTGACAAAAAAACTACCAATTAGACGAATGATGCTTGATTGTATTTTTTGTTGTACATCATAATCGTTTGTTTTCAATAATTTTTCATATGAAACATACGTTATCAATGGACCGACAAAAAATGAAGCAGGAAAATAACAATAAGATAAATAGTTGACAAAGTTTGGTAGATTTATGATCGATGTATTTATGTGACGATAGTTGCCAGTCGAATCCTGTTGATGTAATAGAAAAAAAAAATTGTTTATTTTATTCATATGAATAAGATGGTGATAAAAATAGAATAAATAAAATACCTTTTTATTGGTCTTTAATTTATTTGTTTGTCCATCCAATATATCAAATGAGAATGCAATCAAACGTAAAGTTAGAATACATTGTGGCATGGTCCATGTAAGTGAATAATTCCAATCCACTTGAGTCAAATAATATCCATAAAGAAGATATGCCATTGTGAATAACATATTCATGGTCAATGCAATTCGTTGTGGTAAACATTTCAAGGTTAGATAACAGAAACAACAATTGATAAATGAATGAATGGTGTTTGATCCATAAGCCCAAATGGTCAATAATAAACCAGTGATGAGAAAATAAAAACTTTTAAAATGACTAGATTTAGATTGCATAAGCAATGCAAATACTAAACAAATTATATAAGTACAGATGACTGCCGTGAATAAAACGATGGCATCAAATGGTATTTCTAATTGTTGACTAATTGATCGGACTAGATTAGTTAACATTTTTGTTTTGTTTTTAGTTTTTTTTTGTTGATGACTTGTATATAATTAATTAATACATGATTGTAAGTAAATAAGAATCTAAAAAAAAAAAAATTTCTATAACGGCCACTATTCAATTCATTCAAGTATAAATGGTATATATCTACTCAAATAGTTGAATCGGTTGGAATAGATTTATATATATATATTTTTTTTGGATTAAAGTTCCAAACACCCTAATTTGATTTTTGATTTTTTTTAATATTCCAAACAAATAAAATTCATTTCAATATGTCTGAGGTAATTTTTTATTGTAATTAAATTTTTTCTCTTTATTCATTATTGTTTTTGGTTTTATTTCTCAATGCAATGTAATTATAGAACCAAGATGAAGCATTCAAATCGATCAATGAATTTGAACAGAATAAATCTAAATGGAATCTAATTTATGATCTAAAAGTAATTGATTCGAATGATTTTGTTTTTTCACTATTTTGATGTTGTCGTTTTTTTCTTCATTAGCTTTTAGGATTACTGAAAAATACTGGTGATGGATTTTTGAATAAAATTCGACAAAGCTTACAAGAAATTGAAAATTTATCACATAAAACAAATGTATGTTTATTTTTTTTTTGGTTGAAAACAATTATTTTATTCAAAGTTTTCTTCGTAGACATCTGCAAATAAAATCAACAATCTAATCACAAGTATTTTAATATTAACAAATGTAAAATTCATTGAAAATCGTGTTTATGATGAAGATATTAAAGACATTACATCGAAAACGAGCAACAATTCAAATCGAATCACTTCATCATCTGCCATCATACAACCACCATCAAAAGATAATGATGAGGATGAAAAGAAGCTTATAAATCGTCTTGAAAATTCTATTGATGATGCATTGAAAAGATTGACATCGAAATATAAAATCTCTCATGAAGATTTCATCGGAAACAATGGCTACAATCTTCTACATAAATTGTATTCACAGAAAAATTCGTATGTACATAGAAATTTGCCTTATCTGATTGGAAGTGATGAATACTTGAAAGATACATTTGTTGGACTGAAATCTGACGATAGTCAACATGACACTGTGATAAATCTAACCAATGATGGAACAGATTCAATGTTTGACAATAAAGAAGATATTGTGGATCATGCAAATGTCTCGAAACGTTTTGAGGGACAAAATTTTTCACCATCAATATTTCCAAACAATGCTGATGATGTTGATCCAGTAATCGTGTTTCCTAGTACTTCCAAACCATTCGAACCGCCACCAATTGACAAAAATGTGATCGATATTTTCAATCATACAAAAAATGATTCGATATTCGTGGCCGAAAGCAGCGATGATGATGATATTTTTGTCCGTCCAACCATAACCAATAATAGGCCTTTATTATTCGATGACCATGATGTTGACGATGATGGTGGTGAGATATTTCCAACAGCATCAATATCTACATCACATCATGATGATAAAGGTAGTTTATTTGGAAATGATAATCTGGAAAAAAATCAAAGTGAAGTAAACAATGAAGAAAAATCTAAAATCAAGAATATTGATGAAAAATTTTTACAAAGCGATTCCGATAATGATTCTGTTGATATATTCACTACGAAAACTAGTCGAAAATCTGCCTTAAAAACCACTTTAAAAGAGTTCATATTCTCTTCTGATGATGATGACGATGATGATTTATTCAATAAGCTAATATCAAAAGCGCCAAATAAAATGGAAAAACAACCAGATAGTAATTCACTTATAATCAATGAAACTATCGATGATGATCCAACATTATCACCAGATGATTCAGTTTCAACGACAAAAATTCAATCAAAACCTACATTGTCTAATGTGATCAAAGAGCTTAATTCTGTTATTCAAAATAAAGTTTCATCATCAACAAATCAAGCAACAACAATCATTCCTTCATCATCTTCCTCTTCTGCTGTTCCCGATATGATTGAAACGAAGAAAGAAACCAGTGAAATAATAATCGATACACAAGATGAATTAAACTCGATGCTTAAACATAAATTGAATCTAAGTTCGAATCGTCAACGTAAACCACCATCCAGAAATGTTTTAAGAGCATCGTTATCAAATCCTCAATCGTTATTCAATGATCAGCATGATAATGATGACAATCCATCATCATCAGTCACATTAAATTCGGAAAAATCCGCAAATGAAGTAAAAACAAATGAAAAAATAGAGCCTACAACAACACCATTAGAAAATTCAACTCATAAACCACATCAACCATCATCTGTTAAAGAGCCATCGAAATCACTATTTGATTCATCTGACAGTGATGATGATTTATTTAAAAAGCCAAATCTAATTCAACCTAATCATCAACAGAAACAGACAACGATTACGAAAAAAACAAACATTCTATTTGCCGATAGTGATGATGAATTAGATTTTCAACAACCAGTAGTTGTATCCAAAACCACCACGATAAAAAAGAAGAGCATTTTTGATGATGACAGCGATACTGATGACGGTAAGTATATATTTGTAAATGATAAAATTACAAGTCTAATACGAGATGCATTTTTTTCATACAGATTTATTCAAATTTTGAACATGAAATAAAAATGTTATTTATTTATTTTATCTTGAGAAAAGTCCTATTTCTTATTTGTCTTTTTATTACGGCCAGATTTTACAGATTTACTACTTGTTGGTTGTGATTGTTGCTGTTGTTGTTGTTGTTGAATAAAGATTGTACCGGATTCAATTTCTTCTTTCAATGTTTCATCTGGTACATTTTGTATCTTATCTTTGGCTTCCAAAAAGAACATCAAATCTCTCATCTGTTCTGCGAGTTCGCCTATTTCGCCATCTTTTTCTATTTTATAATCCTGAAAATTTTTTTCCGTTTCATTCAATCTTTTGGTGTATTCATCCTGGTTTTTCCGTAGACATTTATTCAATTCTTTCTCCTCTTGTAGATCTGCTGTAGTTTTTTGTAATTTTTGTGTCAATTGATTCACTTTCTTTTCCAATTGTTGTTTCGATCTTTTCAGTTCATCAATACAGTTGATTAGGTTTTTATTTTCATTCGTAAGACGGTCATTTTTGTCGATTAATTCTTGCATTTGTTTTTCTTTATCTTTCTCCAAATGATTGATAGTTTCTTCATAATAATGGCGTTGATTTTCCAATTGATTTGTTAGCAAATAAGTGTATTCAAGTTGAACAGAATCGATTTTTTCATCTTGCATTAATTGATTATTCTGGCCACTTTGATTAGCCTTCAATTCGACTGGTTCACCATCTTTGTTTTGTAACAATCTATGTACATAATTATCACCGGCATAATCCCAAACACGATTATTATGACCTAATTGCATGGCATAAGTATGTCCAGTATCTTTATGATGTGTAGATGCATGACCTTTTAAATATCGGCCACATCCAATATGCCCACAAATTAAACATATCCATAATGAATCTTGAGCTGTCGATTGTGAACCACATTCAGAACAACGGCTATCAGGCATTGCTTCAGGTGTTTGACAATAACGACAAACCGGACAACTGGAATCAACCCATTGGTCCAAACACTTTCCATGGAATGAATGATTACAAAGAATGGTCAAAATACCTTGGACAGATTCATCCATTCTTTCCAAACAAACCGGGCAGGTAGGCAATTCAGTAAAACCAGATATTGGTAATTGTGATGATGTTTTTGAATCATCAAGTACTTCAATCATGGCAACAAAAGCAAGATGACATACTTCTGGTTCGATTGAATTATAAGTGGAGCCATTGAATGAATTATAAAATTCATCTGCACTTCGTTGACTATGGAATTTTAATAGAACCTAAATAAATTTATAAAATAAGTTATCTAGATTTCGAAAATAGAAAAAAATTACCATATATTGATTGGGAGTGGAATCACGAATAATCTGAATATGTTGTATATCTTGACTGAATGGAGCGGTAAATTGTAGAATATCATGAATCGATTTATTCGCATTCACCGATAACATACAAATTATATCACTACGCTCAGATTCTTCACCCAATGGTGTTAGTTTGTTTTCCTTGAAAAGATAAAGTATACCCTGAATGGTTTCGACATTATGATTGCCTATACAAAATGGTATCTGATATTGTTCGATTGTTATATCATGTGGTTCTCGAAGATCGAATGTTTTCACTTCATTCAAAGATGATTCATTCGATGATGGTGGTTGTTGTTGAGAATTGGACATTGCAGCTAAATGTAGATATTTATTGGCTAAATAAATTTGAAAAAAATACAGAAAGTAAAAAACATTATAATTCATTCATTATAACCAAACTTACCAACAAAATCAACTTTATGTTCCAATTTCTGTGACGACTTTGATAAAACAATTTTGATTGCAATCAAAGAAATAGACATTCCCGAACAATTGGTGTTTTTTTATTTTTCATTTATAGAATTTTTTTTTGTGATGAAAACAAAAATCATGGAAACGAAATCGATTTGTTGTTTATCATAAAACACACACACACACAGAAAAATATAATTCAGAACGTCATTTGGAAATTCTGTGTTTCTTGAATAAAGATGGCGCTTAAATCTAATATATTCGGAAATCACATGTCCGAAAAATTTCGATTCCGAAATTTTTGTTTTATTTTTGTTTTGTGTAAAAAGAATTCATCATAAAGATGCAATCAATGTTTGTACCGGCGTTGAATTTATCATTTCAGAATGTTCTTCGTATAAGTTGCGTGAATAAACGGTTGGTTAGCATTGCAAAAAATAAAAAATCGCTTGATGAAATTATTAAGATACCGAAAGCTATTCCAAGGTTTGTAATATTTGATTTTAATTCATTTTGCTAAATCGATTGGTTGTAGAGGACCTACGGACATTCTAAAAGCATTAGCTTCGACTGTCGAACAAGATAATACCGGTCCAGGTTATCAATATATTGATGATCCATATTTAACGCCAATGAACAATGTTGATAAGGTTTGAATGTTTTTTTGTCTGTTTATAATTTTTCAACTCTGATCCGAAATTTTCTTCGCTCAATCAGCGCACTTATTCTATTTCAAAAGAATCGGGAAGAAAAACGGCCAGATATTTTATTGAAAAATATCCAGAATTATTTATACGTGATATGTCTGAGCCAAAAATCGAAGCATTCACTCATAAAGAAATCTATGATGAATCAATGGAATTTGATGAAACAGATCTACAGAAATCGATTATTCGTTCTGAAGTGATTAATTCAATTGTTTGCTATGAAAAACTGATCAAAGATGGTAAATCAATCGGCCAGGAAACTGTTTATGATCTATTAGATTTAGTCTGTTTTTTCAATGGTGAAGATCAAAAAGAACATTATGTTGAAGAAGATTTCTTTCAGAAATCGGCGAAAAAACAAAACCTCACCACATGGAAGGATAATGGTTTCGCTGAAAAATTATTCGAATCTATTGAACCGAAAAATGATCGTGCTTATTCCACAATCATAATGGGTATGGCTAAACATAATCAATTTGAAAGAGCATTCTCTTTATATCAACAAGCAATCGATCTGAATTTCAAACTTAATACTGCAACTTATAATGCATTGATCAATATTTGTAATGATCTATATTCATCAAATGAAGAACGTTGGAAAACGGTCGTAGATTTATTGAAAACAATGAATACAAATCAAATTGCACCAGATATTGGAACATTGAATAATGTTCTTAAACAGATTTCTAAATTTAAATTTTTCAATCAAAGTACTGAACTTGTATTGAAAACATTGAATGAATTTGCATATAAATTTGGAATTCGGCCTAGTTTAGGTACCTATTATCATTTACTTAGTAGTTTTTATCGATCACGAAACAATAAGAGCCCGTTTATCTATGAAATTATTGATAAAATTAATGATGAAAAATTCGAACCACAAGATATGGATGATGGTAAAGAGATTGTTATAACTACTAGTTTTAAGGCTAACATGATGTTTTTTCTTCTTTAGTTTATTTTTTTGCAACTGCCATGGACATTACATTCAATCTGAATGATGTACAACTTGCCTATAAGATTAATAAAATTGCTAAACGGAATCCAAATTTACTTGGTCCTAATTCTAGTCAAAATGTTTACTAGTAAGTTGTGTATTGTCAATTGTGTATTATAATATTCCGTTTTTTTTGTTTCAATGAAATTAGCTACAAATTCCTGAAACTTTCATGTCTATCCGAATCGATTGAAAATTTTATCGCCTTATATAATGAATATGTTCCACACATGTATTCACCAAATGTTGATCTAATGGATAATCTGCTCAAAACGATCAAAGTTTATAAAGCCATGAATTATTTACCACAAATCTATGATGATTTACGATTATTATATTATCTTTATAATATGGATATATTACAATCTTTATTATTGGCAATGAATGAAATACAGAAAAATGATCCACTATTATCCAAATTCAATCAAATAGGTTTGTATTAGTTTCATAATTTTGAATACACATAATACTTACATTTTTTTCTATCATTTTTTCTAGTGATTGATTTATTCAACAAAGTTAATTTGAAAATTTCAAAAAACATTGAAATGGGCTATGATCCAAGTCTTCAATGGACTGGAAAAACATTATCATTATGTTTATCCATATTGAATAAATGTGAAGATTTAGATATGGGCTATACAATATTGGAAAAGATGTATTCATTAAGAAATGAACTATATGATCAACCAGAGTGAGTATATAAACAAAAATAAAAATAAATCTTTGAATGATTCGAAAAGTTTTTTATAATTTTTAATTTTCAAATATACAGATCACAAGCGTTAACTGATTTTGCAAACATGGCTTTTCAAAACAAACGATATGATTACATCTTATTCTGTGTGCGATTATGTAAAGATTTTGGTAAAAAAGATGTCATTGATATTATTCGACAGGAATTTGAAAAATCAGAAGCCAATATACTGGATGAGAATTTAAGGTAGAATTTTTTTTTAATTTGATTTGATTTGATCATTTATTTTGTTTTTTGGTTTTTTTGTTCAGGAATAAACTCAAACGATTGCTCGTTTAATGTTGGACAATTTTCTTTGAATACAAATACCTGTTCTTCATGAATATTATCAGTCCGATTGCAATTTCTACCACAAGTATAGAACAATATTGTTTCAAAATCCAATGATGTATCATCATCATTTTCAATCGTTTTCTTTTTGTTATTCCATAAAATATTGATCAACGATGGCATCAATTGAACTTCAAAAACTCTTGTTGATCCACAATTTTTACATGGTTCAGATGTTTCAATGTTTGCTTTGTTCGATGGTTTTAATGGTTTACCTGACCATTCATATCGCATTATTTGTTCTGGACATTTACGTAACTGTTTATAGAATCTATAATTATCTTTATCATTTTTAAATGCTTCTGGATAATGTTTTTCATATTCTTCAGTGATAGAATTATTTTCTTCAACAATCACTATTTGTTTAGCTATTTTTTCATATTTTTCTTTATCAATCGATTCATTCGATGGTTCATCTATGACAGAAATATAATGTGGAATGAAATGTGAATATTTTTCAAAATCATATTTTTTCGTAATGATACTTTCACTTGAAGATTCTGTTAAAGTTGAATCATTGATCAATGATTGGCCATCATCACCCCAATCATCGTCGAATAATTTTGTTTCCATTTTTTTCATTGTTTGTTTCTCTTTGGTAACAATACGAAATAATCGACATTGTTTGTTTGAACAATTTTTGTTTACACAGGAAAAGAAATATAAAATTCGATCATCATTGGAATCGTCTATGGGACAATAAATTTGCAATATAAACACCATATGATTTGAACATTCGGTACATTGAAATCGATCATTTTCCATTAATTTTGTTACATCAAAATCAGGACTAAAAATAGGTTGGCCACCTATTTTATTGTCCATCCAAGAACATTGTTCATGCTGATCGATGATTTTAATTTTTTCATCAAGAATTCCAAGAAATGCCATGATTTTTTTTTGGTTCAAATTAAAAAACGTGTAAAGAATTTTTCCGTCAATTTATTTGTTGGAAAACATTCCAAGGAATTTTTTTTGATCGAACAAAAACGCTTTTATCACAATTCGTGGATTTGACAATTATCAATATTTTTTTTCAAAAATGTCATTGATCGATGATTTTGAAAATTCATTCCAGGTTCGTATATATTTTTCAAGGACGATGAGAGCATATAATAATAATAATTTTATTTTTGGAAATTAATCACCAGGCTTGTATGGCTCCAATCACAAATCCAATATCATCGCATGTATTGGATAATGATGAATTGAAAGCCAATGTGGATAATATTCAGCGGTTTTTAGATATATCACAACAAATTGAAAGTTTTTTCATCCGTAAACGAGCAATACTTTCGGAACAAAAACCTGAAATCACTTTGAATGAAGAGATAAATGAACTTAAATTGGAAATCAATCGTAAAGATGTGCTGTTGAATAATTATTATGAAAAATTGAATATGTGGTCCAATATGGTTAATGAAGCATTGACTGGCAAAATAATGCATCCAAATATTGGTAATAATAATATGATGATGACGGAAAATGTTAATAAAATTATACCAGGACAACAACAACCACCACCACCAATGCGTTTAGGTCCGACAGCAATGTCGATTCCAATGCCGATGAATCCAAATAGTATGCAAAATGTACCAAGTCCTTTGATACGATCACAACAAAGTGGTGCTGGTAGTGCCGGTACATCAGGCATGATGTTAAGTAATGTTCCTCAAATGGGACCAAATACATCACATCTTCAATCATCAAGTGGTGGTGTATACAATCCAATGCAATATGCATCGAACCAAAATCCATTGGCTAATTTGGAACGTACAACCGCACATATTGGAATGAATGATAATCGTAGATAGATATGTAAATAGATATGATTGTATTCAATAATCATTTTTTATTAAAATTAAATGATCAAATTTATTATTATACTCAAAATGCTTTGTTTTCAAAAATTTCTTCAATAAATTTGACCAATGTACGTAATGGTCGGCCAGACATTCCTTTGGACAAGTAAGCTACCTCATCTTTGTTATCCATTACACCAGCAATATCGAAATGTACCCAAGAATTACAGGTAACAAATTCACGAAGAAAAGCGGCAGCAATACAACTACCACCTTGTCCAGCATATTTGCCAATATTACAAAGATCGGCCAATTGACTGTCGGTTGTCTGTTTGGTAAAATGATTGAATAATGGCATACGCCACATACGATCACCAGTTTCTACACCACATTTTTGTAACATTGTCCAATATTTGTTTGATGTGGAAAACACACCGGTAGCTGATGAACCTAATGCAACACTAATGGCACCGGTCAATGTTGCAATATCCATGATTAAGAATGGTTTGAATTGATGTGCGTAACAAAGACCATCGGCCAAAATCAAACGTCCTTCAGCATCGGTATTATCAACCTGAATAGTTTTACCATTCATTGCAGTGACAACATCACCAGGTTTGTTGGCTCGTCCGCTTGGCAAATTTTCACATAATGGCATCAGTCCTAAAAATGTGACGATTTTGTTTAATATTAATGGATCAAGATTTTTTTGTTTGGATAAAATTCTCACCGATAATGTTGACCGGTGATTTCTTGCTGGCCAATGTATATATGGTACTTAAAACATTAGCAGCACCACCCATATCAGCACGCATTTTATCCATATTGGATGATGATTTCAATGATATTCCACCACTATCGAAAGTGATACCTTTGCCTACAAAAACAAGGGGTTTTGTATCAGGTGCGTTATTATAATGAACCTAAAAATGAAAAAAAATGTGTTTGAGAAAAGAAAATGGCTTGATTAACGTTCATTACTTCAAGGAAAATTGGTGGTTCATCTGAGCCTTTTGCAACACTCAAAAATGAACCCATTTTCATCGATTCAGCCCATGCTTTATCTCGAACATGTACGGTAACACCTAATTTGGACAAAGTATCGCTTGCAATTTTCGCAAATTTGGTCGGTGTCATTATATTTGCAGGATTTTCCATCAAGTTACGGCAAAGATTCTGACCATTCGATAACAAAACACCGGAATCCCATTGACTTTCATCGGAAATTTCATTTGATAGTAAATGAAGTTTAACTTGTGATTTTTTCAATGCAGCTGCTTTCAATTCATCGAAATAATAAAGACCAAGATTAGCACCTTCAGATGCTGCTTTTGGATTCAAGCAACCATCAACGTTAATTTCTTCAACGGATCCAAGATCACGTAATGATCGTACACCAGTAGCTATAGCTGAACGAATATTTTCAGCTTTTTCATCCAATTCTTCCAATTCATTGTAAGCAGCATTTTCTGGGCCAAGACCAACAACACCAACGATAGGTAATTCGGGACTGACATCATAGAGGATACGAACTTTGCATTTTTTCACTGGTCCAACACTAAAATTTATATTATCATATCATTACAACGAAAACCCAAAACAAAAACAAACTCAGACTTACATATTTAATTGTTTTTCAATGATTCCACCAATCGATGAATTGACCTTTTCGGCGCTTGGTGTAAATACGAAAGCATCTTTATTGTTGCTGTTTTCAAACACGCCAATAAGTGTAGCCTTGTTTTTCTGCTATCCATCAATCAATCAATAATCAGATGAAAATCATTATTTTACAATGGAAAAAAACTTACCATTATTAACGATGATGTAGTAGTATGGATAGCAAATTTTTGATTGTTATTCAATTGAATTATTGGTCTAATATTAAGGATTTGTCGACAACATAGAAACAAATGAGAATTTTGTATCGTAAAATTTCTTTTAAATACTAATGGTTTGATTATTGCATCAATCCGGTTCGAACTTTGTTTAAGCAGGCAATTCAACATTTATCGGCTTGTTGTTGTGTATGTAGAAAAAAAAAGAGTGAGTGAGAAAGAAAGACACTTCAAATTTTACATGCAGAAACAGAAAAAGAAAAATTTTAATTTGTCTCTATATTTCGGGATTTAAGTACTAGGCGTGTATATAAAAAAAAAGTTTTATATATGTTAGTATTATCATAGAAATGAAAAACACGCCAGACTTTACATTGTCGGGCATCATCATTCATATATCTGTTACAATAAAAATGGTTCGTCATGCTTATCAAGAGATAAATTATAAAAAAAAAATCAAAATGGACATGGCGACAGATAGATAGATATAGTGAATGTCTTTGTGTGCATGAGTGTTTTTTTTACATGTATGATAATGCATTTAATACATTACATTACATATATCATCATCATGAAAAAATATCTTACCAGAAAAAAATGATTATTTGGTTAATGATCAAAATTTCAATGAAATGATGATGATAATGGACAATAGACGGCAAAGATTTATATCAATTGTTGGTTTTTTTCGAGTGTGTTCAATTTTCAGTGCGTGTTCGATGATGATGCTAACGATGTCTATTTCTGTCTTATATGGTTCTTTTGTTTGAATGTGTAATTAACACTTTAATTGCTTGATAATTTTTTTCAACAATTGTTCGTCTATTGACTACCAAATAAATATCTATGAAATAGTATTAAAAGTGTTAAATTAATTAAGAACGTTTTATATGAACAACTTGGTTTATTACTTTTGGATTAAATCATTAAAATATTGATTATTCATTGGGAAAAATTTTCAAATAAAAATATACGAAGAAATAAACGATAAACGAAATTAATTAATATTTTAAAAATTATATATCAATAGATTTTTTGTACAACGCAATTATTATTCATTTTCACTGTCACATGATTTATGGATGAATCTGGTCTTTGATTGAGCATTGATTCTTTTCGGTTTTTTTCACAAGAAAACAGAATTGTTTTTATTCTTTTGCTAAATATTTGATTTGATTATTTGACATTTTATATTTTTATTTCAAGTTATTTTAAATCGACATGGCTTCATATGATAGACAAAGTAAGTTTATTCAGTATTAAATCATTTATTGGCAACACAATCTTAATTTGGTTATTTTGATAGGATTACGGCTGAAACAAGAGCCAATTGATAATTGGTCAACAAGGGAAAAACTTGCATTGGCTACCGGTGTACAGAAGATTGGAAATCAAAATTGGTACACTGAATTTGTTAACTGTTATAATCGATAAATATACTTTCATGGTTTTTGTTGACAAATAGGGGTCCCATTGTTCGTCATTTGAAATCATTTTCCGAAAAAAATCGACCATCAGATTGGTTTAATCCTAAATTCTGTGCACTTCAATACAATGACATGTTTGATAAGATTGAAGCTCCAAAGTAAAAAAAAAAAAAATTTGTTTTCATTTTTTTGTATTTAAAAATTATTCATTTTAAATAATTTATTTATGTAGACGTAAACGTGGAGAACGTGGTGAAGAAACTACACAAGATTTAATAGTAAAAAAATATACAACCGAAAGAATGGAAGAATTGCAACAAGAAATGAAACAAAAATTTCGAGAGATTGTCAATTTAAATAAAATTTTAGAAAAATTAAAATCCTCAAATTATGATAAAAATTATCTACGAGAATTATCATCAGATATCAAGAAAAGAGAACAACAAAAGAAAGATGATGAAGCAGAACATCAAAAATGGTTATCTGAACGTGAAATGAAATTGTCACAAATATCGATGAAATTCCGGACTGGAACAACGCCCATTAGACAATCAGCTATCAAAAGTGATTCGGTGATTTCCAAAGATAAACAAACAGCAACAATAGCCACTGAAAAAACTAATGATGTAATTGAAAAAGAAAAATTACCCGATAATGAAATTTCTGACAACAACACAGTATTGGACGATAATAAGAATGAAAATATAAATGATGTTTCGATAAACAATGATACATTGTCCGTTCCTTGTAGTGAAGAAAAGCAAGTTACAGTTCTTTTACCGAAAATAGAGAACAGTTCTGAAGAATATGTTTTGGATAATACTAAGAATGAAGACATCAAACAATCGATTGAAATCGATGAGAAAACAATGGAAAATTCTGAAATGAATAATGTGACGAAAACTGATTCAAATACAATCGAAACAGTAGCCGTCGAAGTCGAAGTCGAATCAGATTCAGCATCAATTAGTAATAATAAGGATAGTGTTGAAGTTATAAACAACGAACCTCCTACAAGCATCACTTTGGAAATGACAAATGAAGAATCTTGTGAAACCAACGAAACAGTTTTTGATGATGGAGTTGCTTCCTCATCAGAAACTAAATTGGAAGATAGTGGTAGAGTTTCATCTATGGAATTAAGAGATCAGAAAATTGTTCATACTGAAATCAAACATGATCCTCATAATGATTCATCAATGGATAACGTTGAAAGTCCTGCAACAAATAATAAGGATAATAATGAAAATTCAATAAAAATCGATTCCGAACAAAATGAAGAGAAACATACGGTAAAAATTGAACAACAACCACAACAAGATCAAAATATGGAAGATATTTCTACACCGTCTACTGTTACAAATGATAAGGGTAATAGTAGCCGACGAAAACGACGAAGACTTAATACTAGTGTAAATAATAATGTTATTCAAACACGTTCAACGCGTTCTACTGCTCATATTGAACAACAAAATGAACCAATTGTTACATTGAAAAAAGAAGATGAAATTATAAAACAAACAACAAAGAAAAGAACCTCTTCGACCAATGAAGAATCATCGAATACATTTGTAAATTACAGTGAAGAATCGAACGATTCAAAAAGTGTTACTTCGGAACCAGTTGGATCAACACGAACATCAGATACGAACGATAATGATGCCAAATGGAAGAAAGCATCTTCGGCCATAATACGAGCTATACAAAATCATCGATTGGCTTCATTGGTTTTAAAACCATTCGAAAATAATGACGAATATCGAGATGCCATCTGTCAAGATATAGATTTGAATGCAATCAAAAAACGTATCGAAATTGGACAAATTCGTAATGAATCAGAATTTAAACGTGACCTAATGTTAATGTTTACCAATGGTATTATTTTGAATACGGAACCAAACGTAATCAAAAGTTTATTGGAATTTGCTAAAGAAACAATAGATCTTTTTGAAACGAATGAAACAGCTAAAATTAAGACACGTGATAAATATCACAATAATACACTTGAAGTATGAATGATTGATTTATATATAGTAGCCATTAATTTGTATAAATTGAAATTTTTTTTATTTTTATTCTTAAAAAAATAGGTAGATAAAAATTTACGAAGACAAACAAGAGGTTCTGTAATGAATGAAAATGAAAAATTGTCAAGATCTGGAAAAAAGATGCCAACATAATCGAATTATATATGATGATGATGATGATATGAAAATTTTATTGGACCATTTTATTTTATTTTATTTTATCTTTCATATATTTGCATGTTTCAAAATATTTTCAATCGTCAAATTCTAATTATAATTTCTTCATAATATTTTTAATTTTTTCGATACGTTCAATCTGAATTTTTTTCGACATTTCAAAATATTGTTTCTGTATGTAAAATAATGATTTGATTATTTTTTATATTAATAAAATGGTACGATCTTTTTTGTTGTTGTTGTTTCTTTACTTACAATTTTAATCGAATTTTTTTCATCAACAATTTCCATAAATTCGTTAGGTGTTAAATTCGTTTGTGGTTTGTTTAATTTGGCAAATAAACAATCTGGATTCGCTTTCTGGTGTTCAACATTCGGATCATCATTTGGTTGCCATTCATAGATATGGATGTCACAGAAAACACATCGAACCAGATCATAGCCACCATTATCGATATGATCAGGTTGATGATAAAATCCATTTTTGGCCATCTTTGTTTATTAGTTGAAAAAAAATGAATTTCTATTCAATCAATTCTATTGTATTTACTACAAAATCCACTCACCACTTCTTTTGTAATGTTTCCCGTATCATGTGGCCAATTTTCAAAGGATTTTATTCGATTTTTTTCATTATACATTTCTGTGTCCATTACATCATTTGATGAAGACATGATCAACAATGATTGATGTTTGCAAATTAGCGGTTGAATTTTTCCAGCTTTCACATGTCAATGTATGGTGGACCGTTCATAAAGGTAATGACTTTTGTTACGATTCACAATGATTTTATTCAAGCATGTGACTGTGTTTATATACAAGAGTTTATGGTTCATCCATAAAGGACGTATGCTTAGACATTTTCATGCAACAACATTGAATTCTGTTAAAATATATTGAGCAATTATATAAACGTTTTACTTTTTCAAATAGATCAATTCATTGTTCACATGGCTCCAATAGAATCATCAAACAATAATCAAAATATGGATACACTTTGGGGTACCCATAGTTTATGGATCAATCTAGTGATTGATCCACAAAATTTGAATGATGAATTCATCCGAAATCATAGTGAAAGTGAAATATTCGATCTGATGGTATATCTCATACATAATGGAATCACAATACAAGTTTCAATCGTATCATTACATGGTAGTACGAATGCTGATGATATACAAAAACGTAATATTGAAATGAAAAAATTGTATACGATAAAATTTCTTTTATTCAAATTATTATCACATTTTCGTTGGCTTTTACCTACCATTCATACTAATTTGCCAAGTGTTCATCAAGAATTTTGTTTTACTGAATTTAAAAAATTTTGTGAACAAGAAATCAATGTACCAGAAGATTGGCGAATGTTTGCCGATTTAATCTATCATCGATGGATTGTTTATTTTGAACAAAAAAGTACATATCCAACCAAAAATAGTTCAAAATCCAATAATCTGGCAACGAATCCAACGAATCTGGATCCATATACTGTACCGGCTGAAATGCAAGAAAATATGTTGAAAAAAGTTCAAACCACTTGCCATTATTCGGTGAATGAAATTGAAAAATATATCAAACAGTTGGAATATAATAATTTCATTCAGATTAATGTACCAACATTCGATTGTTTCATGGTAGATAATAATGATCAGGAGAAAAATTTTCGATTTTTCAATCATCAAAACGTGACCATAATGGATAAGAATAAATTTCTCGACATTATCTATTATGAGCTAGCAATATGGAATTATATTCACGAAGATTATGTTAAAGCCAATGATTATTTCACCAGAATCAAAGATAAATCATCACAAGAAAATTGTCACGACTATCTTCACATAACATCATGTATGACAATGAAAAAATATCGAATTAATGATGAAAAAATCAATGAAACATTGGAGAAAAGATTGACAAAATTTCTAACATTTTATGTTAAACAAAATTTTAATGAAAATCATATTTTTCTTGAAAATTTTGATTATCACAATAATGATCCGAAAAAAATGGCTCAAATTCTGAAAAATTTCCATCAAACATGTAAAAATAATCGCGAAGAAATGCAACAATTAAAACGGCTGTCAATATATTTAAATTTTAAATGTAAAGGTTTATTGGAAAATTTAGATGCAAATTTTCGTGACACAATATTGAATGCAGATCAAAAACAGGATTCTAAAGAAAAACTGGACAATGAATTTATAGAAGAAGGAGAAATTCATGATGAAGATGTTGGCGTTCAAATGGAAAATGATCCTGAATTGTGTATGTTACAAGCTACTGATCCGGAAATAATTCTTGGTCTAATTCCTTCCATTCAACGTATACCATCATTGATTAATAATAGATGGAATTTGAATAAATTTGAGCCCATTTTGGCCAATTATAATACTACACTTAGCCAGGCTGATTTAAGAAAAATTCATATAATTCTGGCTAAAGCTAATGAACTAAGGCAAGCAAAATATTTTCATGAATCAAGAGTTCTTTATCTTTCATTACTAGAAGATATACAAGCATCGCAGCCAATTTTAGCTGAAACAATTCGTTATGAATTATTGCAAACTGATCTTGAACGATTCTTTTCTGTTGATCATAAAACAAAAACAAAATCCACTTCACAACATCGTGATTTAGAAGGCAAATGTATTGAATTCTGTCGTTATATTGATAAACAAAAATTTGTTTATTTCACCGAATTATCTGAATTGGTTTGTCTATTTTTAATCGAATACAATTATAGCAATTCAATGTTGGAAATGATTAATCATCCTGTGGATATAATACGATTCGCTTCATTATTATGTCATTTAACCATCAATTCTGATTCACGTGATAATAAAGCAAAAGAATTTTGGGATTTTTGTCTCGGTTCATTCATATTACCCACATCAAAATATGCAAATAATTTTCCTCGTATTAATTTTGCAATTTCATTGGCCGATTTTATTTGTAAATTGAAAAACAATACAATAGCCATAAATATGATATCGGCCAGCCTAATCAAACTTTATTGTACGATCAAAGAACATTCGATACAACAAATAATGTCCATTTGTCCAAAATTTTATGATCTATTTCCTTCGTCAATGTCAACAAATTTAATTAATTCAATTGATGGTCAATTGTTGAACATTACGATTGATCAAACATTTCGTACATATATACGTGTGCTACCACAAGAAATGCCCATTGCCAGATATTATGCTGAATTTTTAATGAATGAAAATCAATATACACAGGCATTGAAACATTTTATCGAAATAATTATGTATCAAACAAATTATTTCACCTGTTTTGATAATAATGGTATTAATGAATCAATTATTCATCAGATGATTATTTGTTCGAAAAAATTGGATCATCATATTCTTGCCGGTATATTATATCAATTGATGGCCAATCCAGATTATGGCCATGCATTTAAAGATTTATCACAGAATAATTTTATCGATTCATCCGATGATCTTTATGATTGTATTTGGGATGTAACATTGTTGGAATATTTAATTAATTATCATACACGTCGTGGTGAAGATGAACGAAAACAAAAAGCCATACATTTGATATCACAATTGGATATTAATTCAAATAATAATATCAATATTCTACGTGAAGCGGCAAATCTACGTAAGAATAAATTATTCACTATGTTAGCCAAACAATATCTTTGATGAATATATACAAATGTGTTTTGTGTAATAAAATAATCACGTTGTTGTAAACCAAAAAATGAATAAAAATGTAAAACAAATATAAAATTTGGTTACCATTTCTAACGATAGACGGCAGCACCTGTTTTGCGAAACACATTGCGATTGCGAAAAATTTCAAATTGAATAAATTGAACCAACATTCAGAATAATTTTTAATCTTTATCACAATTCAATATATTATTAATATTAATAAAAATGGAATGAAAACAAAAATGGTAGTATGATAAAATGTGAATAAAAATGTGTGATGAATGAAGGCTATAACACAGACAAACAAAAAGTGTAGTAGTATTATCATCATCATTGATAAAAAAATAAATGTCACTAAATTGGTGCATGTTCAACAACAACAACAACATTATTTTGATGATGATTCCATTTTTTATATAGGCTAGGGCGTGGCCTATGTACAACTTTTAAATGTCGATGCATATTACCCGATTGTGAGAATGAACGAAAACAGGCAGGACATTGATATGGTTTCTCACCTGTATGTGTACGACGATGTTTTGTATAGGTGGAAAAATCACCAAAACGTTGATCACAAATAGAACAATGATACGGTTTTTCACCCGTATGTATCCGTATATGGGTACGAAGACTGGAACGTTGTACAAAATTTTTTTGACAAATATTACATTGATATCGGCCACTTTGTTTGCTTTCATGTCTTCGTATATGTGCACGATAACGAGAATTTGATTCATAAACTTTATTACAGCTTGGACATACTAATCGTTGTTGTTGATTTTTGCTTTTGTCCACGGCCATCATCATCATTTGTTGTAGATGTGATGATGATGATGATGATGATGATGATGACGATGATGATGATGATGATGATTGATGATGAATGATCATACTTTCATCATCAATTATTGTTTCAGAATCTTTTTGGGAAATAAGAAAAAATTTTAATAAAAATTTAATCAGAGAAAAAAATGCATAAAACTTACCGGTACTAATTGGTGACGCAATCGGTGATTGTTGATGATTATGATATGAAAGATCCAATGGTTCAATGTTCATAGATTGTTCCGAAAATCCACTATCTAATGAACCAGTTTCCGATGTTGTCGGTGATGGCGATGGTCGATATCCTGTATGATAATCAATCTGATAATTAAACAATGATGATGATGATGATGATGATGAACATGCAAAATTAGCATAACGAATAATTCTCTTCTTCAATGGTAATCGATCCATTTTCCATCCAATATGATGATTTTCCGTCAACATCAATGATGATGATTGGTGATGATCATACATGATTGATTGATTGAATATCGAATTGTGGTGTGTGTGTGTGTGTGTGTAATGATCGATGGACAGTTTATGATTGATTTCATTTCCCAATGACCATTGGCCATTTAAATACATATCGGTGGTGACCATTTATTATATCGTTGGAATTTTTTTTATCATTTACCCTTTTTCCATTCCATTTTATTATTACAGCCAGTGTATGGCTAATATAATATTTACTATACTACTACTACTACTACCACAGCTATTATTCTTATCATCATCTCAAATACACCCTTCAGCACTTTCTCAAGAAACCAGAAAAAATTTTGTTTTATTTTATTTTATTTTTTTTTTTTTTTTGAAAAAATCACCATGGTATTATCGTCTTGAAACGTAATGTCGTCGTCGTCGTAGTTGTTGTGTGTGGGTGTGTGTGTGTGTGTGAATTATAGAAAAAAAAACACTTGTGTCTGTATTATATTGGTCAAATATGAACAAAACAACAAAAGATGCTCATAATCATCACGGGTAAAGGATAGTGTTGTTGGGATAAAAGTTTCATGATATACCATAAGGGCCATATCATAATCATGGCAGACTGACCGACTGAAAGAATGAATAAAGTAAGTGAGTGAGTAATGATGATGACACATTCTTACACCGCGATTGATTGACTCATCATGTGTGTGTCTCTAGGTCTAGGTCTAATTACTTGAAAGGGATAGGTCACACACACACACACAACATATTTAACCTGAACCAACAACTGATAATGAAAAATAAAGTAAAAACAATGTAGAAAAAACTTTAAATGATAAAAGCCGAACTTTCTCACGATTCCATCATCATCATCATCGACATATAACAGTAATAAAAAAAAAAATTATCGGGTGTTTTGTTTTTGAGGTGTGAACCAAAACCAACCAATCTGATTAGATCAAATAGATCAGATCAGTGCATTTTTTTTTTTGATAAAAGAATCCAGTCAATTTCTTCTTCAAGCATTGGCTGGCCTAAATTCTTTTTATTTTTATGCACAGAGAAACAAAATATATACCGAAGCAAAGTTGAAATGAAAAAAAAAAAAATTCAAACATGAAACAAAATTTTTTTTTTAAATTAGTACACACACACACACACACACAAACAAACTTGACATTGAACTTTGTCACTATTTTTTTTTTTTACTGAGCTGATTAAATTTTTTTTTGTTTAATCAATCACAACATTGATTAGTGGTTGTCGTTGTTGTTGTTGTTGTTGATTCAAATAATTTAAATCAACAAACAAACAAACAATATCCATGTCGAATGACCATTATGATACGTGATATTGTTGATGATGATTGACCGATGATCATCATCATCATCATCATCGTATCGTATCGAATAAATATTTCAACAAGAGGATTATCTTTGTCCATTACTTTATCTATATATACAAATTATTTTTAGCTATGTAGTAGCTGGCTTTAAGTATGTTAAATCAATCACTCAAAATCAATACATTATCAACACATTATCATGGGCAAGTAAAATAGCCAGAGAGAGCGAAAACATAATCAACTATTCTAGCATGAGTAATAGGACAAACAATGGCAACAATAACAACAACAACAACAATAGCGAAAAAAAATGAATGCCAACAAGCCACTCTATATAACCTATAATAATTGGCTACCATATATATAATATAACGTTCGTAGTATTTTGAATATTCAATATGAATCATCATGATTTGATGATTATCGAATCATAATGATTCAGATATCGATAATAATAATGTCCATATATATTAATCATCAAATTTTTTCAAAATTGAAATGAATCATCATATATAACTGATGAAAACTGGGGCCAATAAAATTTGATCATATGATTAATGCATAACAAACATCATCATCATCATATTGTAATCGATACACAATTGTAATGTGAAACTTTTCAAATCAAATCAATCAAACAATCAATCAATCTATAAATCTATATATCAATATAGTTCATCCATTCATTTGTGTTTTCAATCGCGATGCACCTGCAAACATTGAAAACATGAAAAAAAAAATCTGTGTAAAGAATATTGAGCCATTGAAAAATGATCAAAATTTTATCAAATGAAAAAAATCAGAAAAAAAGGAAGAAAAAAAATTCGTAGAGAGAATTGGAAAAAAAAATAGAGAAAAACAGAATTCAATTCAAAAACATAGCAAGAATCGGCAGAATGGGTAGAAAGTGTACAGCACACTACTGTTGTTTTTCTTTTTATTATCGAGATTTATTTCTTCTTGTTGTGATATTTCAATGAAATAATTGACTTGTGATTATTGTCATCATTATTATTATATTCCAGTCTGTTCAAAATGAAACCTTACAAACCAGAAAAAAAGTAGAATTTTGTGTGTGTCTCTCTCTCTCTCTATATTTGATGAATGTTTGACATTAGTTGTTGTTGTTATGATGCTCATGATGATGATTGTGTGTGTGCTTTTTTCTTTTTCCCAAATAGTGCCAAAAAGAATCAAATGAAACTCTAGCACGATTGAAAAGGTATAATATAACCTAGACTAGATGAATGGGAAAATGTTAGTCATAATCATAGAATCATTCAGTGTCATTCATAAACATCAAAACATCACTGTAGATTGTGATGAATACGAATCGAATGGACGCAGTTAATGATAATGATGATGATGTTATGAATCATAATAATAATTATTATTATAATCCGAATAGAAGATATGATGATGATGATGATGATGATGATGAAAATTGTCAATTTGATAATGGAATTTATTATGGTAATTATTATTATCATGATAAAATTTTTACCCGAACACCGAAATGTTGTTCATCACAACAACAACAACAAGAATCATCAAATGAAATTGTTAATATGACAAATATTCCTATTCATAATCATTATCATTATTATAATCAAATCCATTCACAGCAACAGCAATCATCATCAGTATATGAATTAACCGAATCATCAATACCATGTCCAATGATGATGATTGAGGACAATAACCTTAACAACAACAACAACAACAACAATCCAGAATGGACAAATTCAATAAATGATTGGCATACAAATTGTCATCATTATCCTGGTCATTTTAAATTTAATAATCACCACCATGAAACAATAACAAGTAATTATCCACATAATGAATCACAAATATCATCTGTACGACAACAAGAAATTTCTACCATAGATTTATACAGTGATTCTTCAAATGATACGTCGACAAATATGGCGACGATAATGACAACAACAACAACAACAACGACGACGACGACGACGTCGTCATCGTCGTCTACGACAACACCGGCCATCAACAGGTAAGAATCATAATCATCATCATACCTTATGGTTTTAATTTTCTCACAATTAAAATATAATACATACACATGTCGTTTTTCTTTAAGTTCAACGAGAGAAAAAAAACTGAATACACATGTTTCATATTCAGACTATTTTTTTTTTTTTTTTTGATTATTTATTCTCTCAAATCGACAGAATGGCACCAAAAGTTGTTTGAACTTTCCAATGAATCCACTTAACTTGTTCAGTTTCATTAGGATGAAAAATGAAAATAAAAGAATCATCATCATCATCATTATATTCTGTATTAGAAAACAACAAAACAAAGCAAAACAAAAAATTACTAAACATTCACAGTATTTTGTCACACTGTCGCGCAAGTTATGAATGTATGGCATATATGAGAAAAGAGCGGCTAGTCTTTTTTTTTCTTGTTTGTTTGTTTCGTGGGTGGCTTATGTTTTTTTTTATGTCTCTGAACCAATTGGTTTGGCTACCAGTCACACATACACTGCTAATAGGTTTTATTATTTGTATTTTTTTTTCACGGGACAAAGCCCATATATAGACAATAAAACATTGACTGTCTCTATCGATTTCTATTATCTATATATTACCTGATAAATGATGAAATCTCTCTCTCTCTCTCTCTTTATATCTAGATCTTTTGATCAATCTTCTGATTATTATACAACATTTGGATCTACCTATCATAATCATCATCATCATCATCATAGATCTGATGATCATCATGAGAATCATTATCAATTTGATCCATATGATCAACAAAATATTCAAACATCAACAAGTTATAGTAGCTATAATACGAATAATAATAATAATGATGATCAGATGGCAGTTGTTTATGAAAATCATCATCATCAAGAATTCAATTCACCATTATCATCAGTTATTCATAATTTTAATCGAAACGATACATATGAATCATGTGAAGATGTTATGGGCGATTCGTGTTTCAATAATAGCAGTATATTACCGATGCCAATCACTTATGATCATTTTGATAGAATCAATACACATCAAGTATCAAAAATAACTACCAATCAATTTTCATTCAATCATCATCATCAACATTCTATTGATGAAAATAATAATGATAATCTAATGATGAGTGTTAATGTTGAGACTGTGAAAGATTTACCAACAATAATGACAAATTGTAAAATGATACCAAATACGATCACATCATCATCAACATCATCATCACCAACGACAATTATGCATACATGTTCATCATCTAAATATAAATTAATGACAAAATTAAGTGAACATATTACAATTGAAAAACATGATTATACAACCGATGTATATCATCATCATCATCATCATCAATCAATTAATCATAATTCAAGTATTTGTAAAACGAAAACATTATACAGTAGTAGTAATAGTAATAGTAGTAGTAGTAGTAGTAGTGAAATGACAAAACATTTCCAAATCAATGCTCATCATCATATGAATAATAATATCAATCAATCACTTACTTTGAATGGCCATCATTATCATCATCATCATCAGAATAATAAACGTCGTTTGACGGTGGTCGTCGGTACAGGCGGCAATAAAGACATACGAACAAATAACATTTGTTCTCAATTAGTGGATAAATACAATATTTGCTATATTTGTGGGAAAAATTATGCCCGGCCATCAACGTTAAAAACTCATCTACGTACACATTCAGGAGAGAAACCTTTTAGGTATTGAATTAGATAAAGAATTTTTTTTACAAAAAATAAAAAAATTAACATTACCCTTGATTGTTTGTTTTCATTATTATATTATAAAATTAAATCAGATGCCAGGTATGCAATAAAGCATTTTCACAGGCCGCTAATTTGACCGCACATAATCGTATACATACAAAAGAAAAACCATTTCCATGTCCGATTTGTCAACGTAGATTTTCACAATCATCATCGGTAACAACACATTTACGTACACATACAAAAGAACGTCCATATAATTGTCATCATTGTAGTAAATCATTTTCGGATTCATCAACATTAACAAAACATATGCGAATACATTCGGGTGAAAAACCATATAGGTTAGTGATGATGATGATGATGATGATAATGATGGAAAAAAATTTAATTTTACTTTCATTTCATTTATTTCTCTTTAAATAGATGTCGAATGTGTTTGCTAAGTTTTTCACAATCTGGAAATCTAAATCGTCATATGCGAATCCATAACTAATGACTCAAACAAACATTCGTGAATTCGAACATGAAATGAAAATCTAACAATCGATTAATCGATCAAAGTAGTGAAGAATCGATTGTTTCGCATGTTTTATTTTGTAAATATTTATTTTTGAACAAAAATTTTTTTTTTTTCGTTTTCTTTCTAGTCAATTTTCTAGTTATTAAATGATTACTGAACAATTAAAATTGGTAAAAATTCATGAAAATACTCATTTAATCGATTCATGTATACAAATACTCAACGAAGAATGGCCCAGAGAATCTGGTAATCGTATGAAAACAATGAAACGTTCATCGGATAATTTTCCAATTTGTTTGGCATTGATTAATGGCCACGAAAAAGTGCTTGGATTTGTTAAATTAACCAGTGAAAAACCATTTAATCCGGTAATCTTTGTTGAATCATTGGTAGTACGAAAAGACTGTCGTGGTAAAGGAATCGGCCGATTTATCATGGAACAAGTAGAACGGATTGGTAAAGAATTAAATTTCACCAAAATACATCTAACAACCATTGATCAGCAAGGTTTCTATTGTAAATTAGGATATTACAATGTATCACCAAAAATGAATATCTGTATTAATCATAATGGAAATAATAAAATCTTAATGTGTAAAAATATCTGAATCAAACGAAATTGAAAAAAATGAATAAATAAATCATTGCAAAACCGATTTCCTCATTAAATTCAATTGAATTTAATTTGTATTCAATTAAGGCAATTAACATTTTTTTTTTTATTATTTGCAACATATCCATCCGGATTTATTCATTCGGTCTCATAATGATGACACGTGTCATCATGATTGGTTAAATCAGAAAGAAAGAAATGATTTAATTGGTTTCAATTAACAAAAAAAAAAAACAAACTTTTTTTTCAAAAAATTCTTCATGGATTTCATATATAAAGCATCCCAAAAATGGAATAATGATCATATTCATTTCACACATGATCAAATTTCATTCATTCATCCATCCAATTTTTCACATGTTGCATCCTGAAACTAAAAATAAAAAAAAAATCGAGCATTTGGTACTAAGTACTAGCGCCGCAGGAGTGTTTTTTCAATGGATTATTCCATAAAATAAACGAACATACTGGATCGATTTCATCCATCAATAATTCTCTCATCACTCCTGCAGTACTAGTGCTTATTGCTACATGTTTTCATTAAAATCATCAGTTTTTATTTCCAATGGAATCAGTAAGTAAAAAAACCGGTAAGTAAATTTTACAACGAAAAAAAAAAAATATGAATTTCTTTTATTTGTTCACATTTTACATTTTGTAAATCAAAAAAAAAAAAAAAAAAAAAAAATTCATCATACCAATCAAACCAAAAAAAAATATTTACAATGTAAAGAAAAAAAAATGATCACTTGTCATTGATTTGAATGTCATTGATTTTGTTTCATTAATCAAGAATTTTCGGTTTGAAAAAAATAAATGTTTTTTCTACTGTTTTGTTTTTGTGTTTTATATAAGCAAAAAAAAAAAAAAAAAAGATTTAGCAGTATCAGCAGCAGTGGAATTCAATGTGTGGCTAATGACAATAATCACAGATATATAAACGAAATAAAAATGTTGTGTATGGTGAATTATAATGAAAATAAAACGAAAATGAAATTTTCAAGCTCAAATATATAATGTTTTATGACATAATGGACAAATGTCTTGTAGATAAAGCCATTTACGTAGACAAACACTATGAAAATAATGATTACATTTTGTAATACGTGCTGTTGTTAATTCTTGATAACAAATAGAACAAACATCATCAAATTGTTGTAATTGTTCTGGTGATGCTTCTGGTAATGAATTGATTTTACGTAATGCTTGATATCGTTTGAAAAATGTTTTAAGACCTAATAATTGATTGATTAGAATGGTTAAATGAGTGAGTGAGTGAGTGAAAAAAAAAACATCATATACAACCACATACCTGCAATTGCTTGACACCATATATTGAAATAAGCATGAATGCACATCATCAATGCACGTATTGTACCACCAGATTCAAAAATAAGAATCCATGTACCATTAAGGAAAAGAAATATACCAAAAACAAATTCAATTAAATTACCAATAGTACGAACATAATAAACATAATCATCCAATTGTTCCCACATTGATGTACGGAAAGCATCAATCATAAATAATGTATAAATCAACAATGTAATTATGACCTATTGTATGATGTATGTGAAGATAGTGATGAATAAATTATTCAAAAATTTAAATTATTGATATACATACTTTAACAATAACTTCAATACCAAATGCTGAAACGGCCAATAGCCATGTAGAAATAGTATGATGGGTCCAAAGATAATTAAGAAACAAATATGGTGATATAATTAAAAATGAACAAACAGATAAAGCTCGTAAATGTCGATTTAGTGACATATTTCTTGAGGCACTCAATGAAAACAATAATGGACTGACCATATTGTGTATGAAATGTAACATGGCCGTAAATAATAGGCAAAAATTTCGATATAAACGTAAAAATCGTTTTTCCGGTTCCATCGATGTTAGGCCATTTTGTAATGCAAGTATGAAAAACATTATTGCCGATATTGATCCAATCGAACGATCATCAGGATCATCAAGTACTAAAAATGATTGCATCATACAGCCAATTTGATGAGTGATACCGGATAATACCGATGTCATTCCAAGTACAGCAATAATAGTTTCACATCCACGAACCATCAGATGTTTAGCATTATCCAATACAGCCGTACCATTGAATAGTATGGATGAATCGGATGTTTCGGTGGGATATTTCTCCATCATCAAATACAATGCCTGTTGTGTTATTCGTGTAATCCAGAATACACGAAATATCTGTTGGAAAAAATAACAAATGAATATAAGTTATATTTTCCATTGGAAAACAAATCAAAACATACTTGTGGTACATGGAGACGATTCCATTCTGATTCAATCAATGCAAATAATCCTAAATCTCTCATATAGGATTTTATCCATACAAATTGTAAATATAATGCCTGTATTATATTCTTTATGTCCAATATTAATGTGACCAGTATATATATCAAAGAGATGACCAATGTGATTGATGGAAAATAGACCAAATATTTGTTAGAAATAAACATTGTCAAAAAGAATGCATAATATGGTAGAATGAAAAAGAATGCAGCAACAAATGGAATGATAGATTTATATATTCCGGTTAAATAGATGAATGATATGGCTAATACCATCTAAATTAATAAATAAATAAATTGGTGGTGATTCGAGATCAAAAAAAAAAAAAACAAAACAAAACATACTTGACAAATATAGTTTGTAATAAACATATAATGTATGCCATTTGTTAATGATAATTGTTGTTGTAGATCAATGCCATTGGCATCATTATTGGTAAACATTAATGTTACATAATGATCATTAAGAATATAGGATAATAATGCCGTCACAATGGATAATATCCATTTATAGAATTGAAATAAATATTCGGTTGGTAATAAAAATAATGTCATTGATGCAACAAATACTGGTGTGGTTCATGAGGAAAAAAACAAATAAATAAAATTAGAAATAGAAATAATTCTCATTATAATCAATATGGATAATAATCACCTAATGCCATAATAATTGCAGATGCATTATTCAATATTGCCTGAAATTGTATGGAATTAAGATTCGAATCATGATGATGGCTAGTCAATGTTGTTGTAATCATTGATTGTTTATCATATAACAGATGAAAGACTGTTGAATTTGTTGAGTTTGTATTAGTGAATATTAAATTGAATAATAATTCTGGAAATGGTACGATTTTCATATTGCTTAAAAATATTGAATCCATTATAAATAATGGTGGTACACGAAGTATAATATCCATTATACGATATAAACGGCGTCTAATTGGTGAAGACATCATTACATTTATTGTACTGGGCATTTTGTTTAGTCTAGTTCAAAAGTTCTTCAATCCAAAGTTTTTTGTTTTGCTGCTAAAGATATTATATAAAATTTCGTTTTTTTTTCTCTCTTGTCACAAAATTTTAATCGTTCGTTTACAATGTTTTTTATTTGATGAATTTAAACACAGAGATATTGATCGATTTATTGATGACAAAGTGAAGAAAAAAAAAGCCAAAAACACATGTTCACACACACACATTCTTTTGTTCAATTCATGGCCGATCATTATTATTATCAACATAAATTTCAAAATCAATCAATCAATATAACGATAACAGATCCGGAAAAAAATATTGATAAACTTATCATTTTTATTTTTGGAGAAAAAAAAGAATCTTTTTGTGAAGAAAAAAAAAATTTATAACACGAAATAAACGATCAACAACACATCAACAAAACATCTGGTATGAACAGCTTTTTTATTTTTCCTTTTTTTCAATATTGTAATGGTGTGGTAGTGGCAATATGAGCAACATATAATCATTATAATATGATGATTAACCAACACTAGATGGCGTAAGATTCGGATTGTTTTTTCGAAATTTTTTTTTCTTTTTTCCAAAAAATGTGAAATCAGAAAATGTTTATTTTTTTCTTCTTTAAAAACTATCAAAATTTATTCATTTAAAATAATTATAATTAATTAGTAAATAACTTGTGTTTACATTCATGAATATTCATACACACATAAATTTAAATTTAGGCTAAGGCAAAAAGTGAAAGTTTTTTTTTGAGAAATTAATTGAACTTTTTTTTTTCTCTCTCTCTCTCTCCAGTGCTGTGCACATAAATAAGTGATTGAAACAAGCGAAAATCCGTGATGAATCGAATGAGAAGACAACCAGGAATGTGTGTGGAACCAAAACGAAGAAGAAGAAAAAAAAAAAAAAAATGCGAAAATCTAGATGACGGTATCGAATTTTTGAAATTCAGCTAGCCTATTTGAGTCCTTTTGGAAGAATGAAATGAAAATCAATCAGATAAATGGCTAATAAATGGATTGAAAATTTACTTTTTTGCACCAATTAACAAATTCTTCGAATGATATTAATCCATCTTTATCGAGATCAATTTTCTTTTTTTTTTTTTTTTTTTGGTGGGAAAAAAAACGAAAAAAAATGATGAAAAAATAAAAAATTTCCAATCCATTCAAAATACTTGTACTTACATGAAAAAATAAATCTGCATGTTCTTTTGCATTACGAATATCACTCAATGGTATTGCGCATTCTCCTGGGTTTTTGTTTGTTTGAAAAAAAATCAATATATCATCATCATGTTGTTATTGTTGTTATTGTTATTATGGTGAACATATATGAAATACTAACCCAATAATTCATAGATAGCATTGGTGATTAAATGCATTTCATTTCTACTAATATAGCCATCACGATCAATGTCGTATAGATTGAAAATCCAATTCAATTTTTCTAACAATGTCGTATAGATTGAAAATCAATTCAATTTTTCTAAACACACACACATGAAAATCAATTCAATTTTTCTAAACACACACAAAAATGAAACAGAAACAGAATTATAAATCTAAAATGTTGATGGTGATGATCAGTTGTTTTGGGTGAAAATGAAATGAAATTTAATCGATTTTATCATTAGTGGTAACATTCAATCATTATTATGATTACTGATCAATAACAATAAGAAAAAGATAAAATCCAATCCAATTTACGATCAAGACAATCAATCGGAACTTTTCTTGTTTTTGGTTTTTATTTTGTTCTATTTTTTTTGTGTGCCAAAAAATTAATTCAATCGACAGTCTTTTTTTGTTTTGTTTTCAATTAACTTGTAGCTATAGAAGCAATGAAAAAAAACACTGAAAAAAACGCATCATCATCATCATCATCATTTGAAATTGTAATTGGCATTTGTTGTTCGTTGGCGTCATTTTGTTCTGGTTTCTCATCATCATCATCTAGTTTGTCGTTGTTGTTAATGTATTTCAATTGTAAATTGTTTTTCATTTTCTCTGGGTTACAATGTTCACATGTTGAAGAAAAAAAAAACGAAAAACATTCAGGAGATAATGATAAAGTTTTTGATGATGATGGTAGTGATGATGATTTGAGTGTTTTCAACGATTTTTTTTCAAAAAAAAATTTTTATTCAATTAAAATCTGGATCATCATGATTTTAGATGGTGATTTTCATGTGTGTGTGGCTCAAAAGGAAAACCCACCGAAAAAAAAAATTTCTGCGACTATGAAGAACAAAAAAAAACCATCACCCAATAGGATATTTTTTTTTTTAATTTTGCATCCTTCTAAATAATAATAAGTGGATTAAGTTGATCGTTTTTTTTTCCTACGTCGTTATTACATAATTGCATAATTTTTTTTTTCTTAGCAACAGCAAAAAAACGATAATTGTACATACAAACAAACAAATGCACACAGGACATATATACATCACCTGGTGAAAATTTTTTTTTTTTTTTTTCTTCTGCAATTATTATAAAAAAAAACATCGGATTGGAATGATATGAAACATTCCATAGAAACACATCACATTATTGCAATGTGTGAATGAATGAATGAATGAGAGAAGAATTCTTTTTTCCTTTATTACACACTTTTCTTCGTTTTTTTTCTAATGAAAAAACATCGGATAACAAAACCATTGTGTGCACAAATAAACTTGATGTTTTTTTTTCTTGTTTCGTTCTTTTTCACTTTCACACTTGACGTGTGTTTGTGTGTGTGTGCGTGTGAGCATCAGCAGCAGCATTTGTCCAACATCTTTCAACGAATGAATCTAAGTTGAACAAAATCATAATAGAATCTTTTATTATTAATCAAGTTAGTCAACAACAACAACAACAACAACATTACAAGCTGCTGGTTGTGTGAAAAAATTTTTTTTTTTTTTTGACATCAACTTTAACAACAACAAGAAGAAAAAAAAACTCTCGTCAAACGAATTGCGAAAAAAAAACAATTTAATTGATTCTTTCAGGATTTTCTTTTTCTTTTTTTTTCTTCACATTATATAACACGATATATTCATCGAAATAATTGCTTTTTTTTTTACTTGCCACACACACACACACACACGTTGACACATACAAATGACACAGTATGAAACATTTCATTTTTTTCATCTTTTTTTTTGAATAAATAGAAAATCTAAACACACACACACACACAAACACACGCACGAGCGAAAAAAAACATAGATCACAACGCACACACAAAAGCTTTAAATTTTCACAAGTAAACTATAAACCAAATATATACAAAACATGCTAATGACATTAGATGCGTGTCTGTGTGTGTGTGTGTGTAAGTGTGTAAGAAAAATGGGGAAAAAAATTCTTTAAATTTTTCAAGTGTAACTAGAATTTAGGCAAGCAAATAGCGACAATATACACAAAAAAAACTGATGAAAAGAAGTGTTGATGTTGATGTTGAAAGCATGAATGATGCTCAATCAAATACACACAGCATACACTGAATAATATTTGACCATGAATGTGTGTGTGTGTATGTTGATGTTTTTCATGAAAACAACAATAAAAACCAAAACATTTTTGGGTTATTTAACACATACACACACATTTTCTATCTATCTAAACACCAACATTGTTTCCATTTGTTCTATACAAGCCATGCACACACACACACACACACACACACCAAACAATGATTATGATGATGATGATAGCGTCAATGTTGACTTCACTGTACAAATTCTTTTCTTCTCTCTCTCTCTCTCTCTCTCTTTCTCTCGATTCTTTGTTGTTTTTTTTTACACACTGGGTATATATATGATATTGAATGATAAATGGTAACCATCATTTATTATATCTATAGGGTGAACAAAACAAAAAAAATGCAACGAAAAGAAAAAGTATGGCGTGAAGAGATGAAAATTTTGCTTTTTTTTTAGTTTTTGATTTTTTTTCAGTTTTTTTTGGTTCAATTCTTTTTTGTTTTTGAAAAAACAATAATGTATCATCATCATCAAAAAAAAATGGAAAAATTTTGGTTCATCTACATGGGTCATATCAATGAACATTGGATAATGATGATGATTTTAACCAAAAAAAAAATGCAACATATACAATATATGGAAATGTCAATGTTCATTATAATTATGATGATAAATATGGAAATAGAAAACACCAACAACCAACCAAAAAAAAAAATGAACTAGAATCCCATTGGAACTAGAATTCAATGGGTGTGTGTGTGTGTGTGTATTTCATAGACCATATGTTCATACATTACAAATGATCATGATGATGATGATCATCATCATCATACTGTCTTTGTATCCGTATTCCGGGTATTTTTTTCATTCATTCATTCATTCACCATTCTGTTATTTGCATACATTGTCATTACATATTTTTCTCTCACTGTTTCTCTTCTCTCTCTGAAAAAAAACACATCATCGAAATGAAATATGGAAAAAACGGATGAAAACATAGATATATCATCATCATCATCAGTGTTTCATATAGTCAAACACAATGAATACAACAGAATGGTTGGAATTTTTTTTTTTTGTCCAAATTCCATATCGATATATATATCTGTATTGAACGGGTTGTTCATAATAATAATATATTGCATTTTTCGAATTCATTTTTTTTTTTCGTTCGTTCCTTTCATTCACCATTGATAATAATAATGGCAAATGGTAAATGGTAAATAGATGAGATAGATATCATCACCAGATATTTGTGTGATACATATACACATATATTTTATGTTTGTATTTCATTTCATTTTGATAATAATAATCGAATTGAATGTTTTTGTTGCCAGTGTTTCACACACACACACACACACACACACACACACACAGACAAGACACTGAGCTTTTGGTTATAATAATAATATTTTTGGTGTATCGACAATCGACAACCAACCAGAATTTTTTTTTTTTTGCTTCTCCTTCTTCTTTGTATGTTAATAATGATGAAATATTGAATGGGTGGAATGGATACAGAAAGAGTTGGATGGAAATGACTAAATTTTCAATAAAAATTTTTTCCATCATCACATCACACACACTGATAAAGGCTTTGAATATATCATGTCTGTAATTGTCATTTTAACGGTTTTTTTTTATCGTTCTCATTATGTAAAATTTAATGAAAAAAATTTTTTTTTTTTTTTTGCTAAAAACAAATTACCTTTCACTGTTCCTCTTGATAATGATGATAATGCCTTTATGAATTGCTAAATTTGTTGATGGGAAAAAACAAAAGTCAATTAAAAAAAAAATCTCTATATCTAAATGTAACACAGCATAGATTACACACGTACACCAAAATTTAGACAACCAGATTCTTGATCACACATTGGCCGTAATGTATTGAATACAAGATGGGCATATTTTGTTGCATCTTTGGATAGAAAGAGAGGTTCAATTTTTTTTTTCTTTTGCTAAATAGATTCTTACCTCCTTGTGGGAAATATTTGGCAAAAATATTGACAAATTCCTCTTCAGAACAGTAACCATTTGGACATTCCTTGAAAAATTTAAAAATTTTTATATACAAAAAAAAAAGAAAATGAAAAAGTTTTGTATGCGTATATGAAACTTACCTGTTTAAATCCTTGATATATCAATTTTAATTCTGTAGAGAATAAAAAAAAAAACCAAGAATAAACAACAAATTCTTTTTCAAATTCAATTTAATAGTAATTTCATTCACCACTTTCAGCGACAACAACAACAAAAAAAACTAAAATATAAACATTTCTCTAAAGGAAAGAATTAACCATATGATGAATAATTGATTCTTTGTGACAAAATAACAAAATTAAACAAAAAAAAATTTGCATAAACACACAAACACACACACTTGACTGACAAATATGAATTATTCAAGTTGAAATGACACACACAGACAATCGCTAGACATTCATATACCTTTTTTATCATAATGTGTCATTTGACATAATGCATCCAGGCCATCATGTTTAGGTCGTGCAAACAATGGTTGATCAATATCGATGTCTAAATCTTCATCTGAATTTCCGATTTTTTTTTCGTTCAATTTTAATTTGATTAGTTTATTTTTGATCATGAAATTTTTTTTTCTGCTGACTTACTTTTATTGCCAAACATTTTTTTTTTTTTTTTTGAAATGAAAAAAAAATTTATTGACTCTTAATGGTTGATCATTGATGATGATGATGATGATGATGATGATGAAGAAGAAGAAGAAAAAAAAATCAAGTCGATGTGTTTCTGTTGGCGATGTTCATTCAAAACATTTTAAATAACTATAATGTTCTCAATGGTTTTTTTTTTTTGGTTTTTTTTGGTCTGTGTATAATCACTTTTTATTTGCGCCGATTTCTTTCTGTTATGGATATGATAGTCGGCGCCTTTTTCCATTGCCATTTATCCAACAACAATCAACCAAACGATGTAAAAAATCGACAACCAAAAAAAAAAAAACACAACTTGGTCCTGCGCAAATAAAAAATAAACTACCACGATGGACAAAAAAAAAAAAAAAAAAAAGAATCATCCTCATACACCTTTGATGACACAAGATGTGTGTGTATATAAATATATAGCAAAAACAACAAATGATCCATAGAATACAATACGGACACAACATAACATTTTCAAATAAACGACCAACTATAACGACTGAACGAACGAAAAAAAAAAAAAAAATAAAAATAGAGAAAACAAATTCTATTCACTAGCAAAAATGAAGCTAGAGCAGACACACACACACACACAGAATGCACATCATATAAAGATGCTGACAGAATCGAGAAACTAGACTTTTTTTCTGGAACATTTTCTTCCTGTGTGTGTGTGTGTGTGTGTTTTTTTTTAACATTTGTAATCTAAGGTAAACCTTGATTCTCTTGTTATTTTTTCAACTTTTCTAAAATCATCAATTCATCCATCTCTGTGCATGAATAACAATGAACCTAGTTTTTCAGTTTACATATATGTAATGGAATGTCCGGTTTTCGAAATTTTCGGCTAAACACACACACACACACACAAAAAAAAACATATGGTGGACAAGCGCATACACACACAAAAAATCGAATGTCCATATTTTTGATTGCCCAAAAGAAACAAAAAAAAAAAAAACTTTACTTTACTTTGCATAATGAAAATAAGAAATGAAATGAAGCAAATCTATTGTATTCTATACCCCATTAGACAGGCAAGAAAACGTATATATTACCATTTTTGGATCATTATTCTTTGCCAAAAAAAAAATGAAAAAACAAAAGAAAAGAAAACTTGGAAAATACACACACACACACACACACCGAAAAAAAACAATTTACTTTTTTTCATTTTTTCTGGTTCATAATAAAGTTTCTTTTGGATAAAAAATTTTTTGTTTTTTGACCAATGACTAATGTGGAAAAAAAAGAAGAAGAAATGAATAAAGAAAAAGTGGAATCAAAAAAAATAAAAAATAAAATTCGTTGCTAAAAGAAACAAATTATTAACGCTCATCATCAGTGTGTATAATATAATAATTTTATTTTATCTATAGCACAATCACTCATATGTGTGATTGGTGTCCACTATCTGTCACAAAAAAAAATGGCAAAACTTATTGGTCAATAAATCCCAACAAAGAAAAAAAAAAAAAAGAAAGACGGAAAAAAAACCATAAAGAAAATTGGAACGACAAAGTGACGACAAAATAAACTATTCGGTTGTTCACTTTTTTTTCTCCTAGATTTTTGCCCATTCCATCATCTTCATGATTATCGATTCAAAAAAAAAAAAAGTTTTTCGTTTCTTCTTCTTCTTCAACATTGCCCATATAATGATCACTTATATCATATCGTTTTGTTCAATCATGACAATCGATTCAAACACACACACGCTATTTGGTATACAGAACAAATGAAATGAGCTTTACATCACCGCCACCACCACCACCACCACCAGTGATAAAAAGCAATAATTTTCTTCATAACCAATTTATATACTACTACGATCATCATCATCATCATCATCATCATTGTCAATGCATTTATAATGTTGTAGTTCTTGTTAGATTCTCTTGTTCCATTTGAAAAAAAAGAATAAAAATAAGAAAATGGAAAATGAAAGATTTTCACTGCATATAAGGGTTATATAATGGATCCACAACTACAACAACAACAACAACAACAATCTTTGACATGATTAAAAACAACAACAACAACAACAACAACGACGACGACAACATGATTGCGACAAAAAAAAGCATGAAGAAAATTATCGATTGGTACAAACAATAAGATTGGTGATCAATTGAAAGAAAATTATTATCAACATCAATCTTTGATCAATTTGTTTGTTTTACACAAACCGAACAACAAAAACAAACAAACAAACAAACAAACAAAATTTTCTCGGTAAATAAAAGAAAAGAATTTTTTTTTTATTATTATTATTTCAAAAGCAGAATTTGAAAGGATTCAATGAATGAAGAATGAGATACAAACATACACACTGCCACAATCATCGACAGAAACACAATTACAACAACAACAACAACAACGATGATGATGATGATGATGCTTGGACAAAACCAAAAAAATCAAAAAGCAAAAGCAAAAAAAACAGTGAAAATGAAGGATTGAAAAAGAATGCACAGAGAAAAAAAAACTAAACTAAATCAAATATTTACAAGACAAACAAAACAAAACAAAACAAACCAAACACAGAGAAAAAAAAAGTGAAAACAACATACATTTATGAGTGAGAGAAAAGGAGAAGAAAAAAAAAATTTCAAATAACCAATCGTTCGTGTGTGTATGAGTGTGAGTGTGTGTGTGTGTGTATGTGTTTTGTGCTTGAAAATTATTCTTGATTCAATTGAATTCAACATGATTATTTGAGCCACCAACACCACCACCATCATGATCATTGAAAGTTTTTGAATTGTCTATTTCTTCATTGTTATTATCAATAGTTTCTTTTCTTTTTTTCTGTCTACGTTCTTTGAATGAATCACCAACGCCCTGTTCTTTTAATATTGGTTTTGGCATTGGTTGTTGTTGTTGTTGTTGCGATGGTGGCAATTGTTGTTCGGGTGGAATAAAATTTGTTGAAATATTATCTTGATTAAGATCCTCTTCAACCATTTGTGGTATATCCAAACCCATTGTGGCACCGATACGTAATTTTGCTTTCTGAAAAGTGGCACTTAATTTTTCTTGTACAACATTTATACACATCGATGTCAATGCAAGGCCAAATAATAGATAGATAAATGTACACATCATGAATGCCGGATGTTCCGGCACATAATCACCGAAACCAATGGTTGATAATGAAATATAAACAAAATAAAATGATTCAAAAAATGTCCATTTTTCCCATATGGTAAACACTGCAGCGCCCATCATCATATATAATAATAGTAGAACAACGGCAACACTGATTGGTAAATTGAATTCATCATCAACTTCAAAATCCGGTATTGTTTCATTATCATCATCAATGTTGTCATTATTATTATTTGATTGACGATTATTGGCCATATCGATTTTATTCTTTCCCATCGGTACCACTGTTGACATCTTTCGGTGAACATTGTCAATTTTTTGTGATACAAACTATATGTATATAATGATAATGATAATGGAAAATTTTTTTCACATATTCATCTGATATAAAAAAAAATTCACAATTTACCTGTGTACGTTCTTTAGTTGCTTTACGCATTTTTCGTAATTGACGTGCATAATAAATACGGCGAAATATTTTGAATACAAATTTTATACCACGTGTAAATAATTTTCCCAAATCAGTGAGTACCATCAATAATAATGGTATTCCAATAAATGCATAGATTATTGATGCAACACGTCCAGCATCTGTTTTCGGCACAACATGGCCATAACCTTTAGGGTATTCATTAGTGAAATTAGTGATTGGATTCAATCTGAACAAAAAAGAAAAAAAAATACAAACCAATCGTTGTAAATATGGTGGAACTGAAAAATAATGCCTGCCAAAAGTTCCATACTCCTGTGTTTCATACAAGAAAAAAAAAGAAATAAAATTAACGAAAATCGTGCACAAACAATCGTGTACTACTTACTTTCTTCCGAATCAGTAGTTTGATCGGATAAACAAGATTCATGTAGTTGTTTTTCAAATTCTTTAAATCGTATTTTGGCTAAACGTAGCCACCAGCCATGTGAAAATTTTTTCGAACTCCACCACAATTCTTTTATAATACGTTCACGCATTTTATTGATTGGATTCTTTGTTTTGTTGAATAAGAATTTTGGTTTCAATCAATCCAAAAATGAAAACATTAAAATGAACACTCACACTTACCTTTGCCGATTGTTCAATTGGTGCTTCTAATGTGACAAAAATATAAGCACCTAAAAATCCGTACAGAATTAAAAATAGTAAAAGTAGCACATGAGAAAACCATTTATTGCTAAATTTTTTAAATCCTTCCACTATGCGTATAAATTTGGATTTTTGTTGTTTCGATAAATGAACAATATGCATTGGATTAAAGACCCAAATACGTTCATTTGTATATGGATCAATCCATATTTGATCCTTGGTGATTGCATTGGACATTTGTCGTAAAAATGATGGCGGTTTTGTTGCCGTTGTTGTTGTTATTGTCGTTGATGTTTGAATCGAATCATCATTATTATTCACATTGGCCATTTATATCGGATATTTAAAAAAAAACGATTGATCACAAAAAACAGACAGACAAACAAACAAACGAACAACAGAAACACAAGAAAAAACAAATCAGATTACTATCAATAATAATATGAATAATATAAAAAACCAAGAATTTTTGATTATTATCATTCAATGGCAATAATGATAATCATCATCATCATCATTACAAGATGTTTTTTAAATTTTAATGCTTAAAATGTATATTGCCCCATTATTATTATCATCATTATCATTGTTTGTTTGTTTGTTTTTTTTTTTTTTTGCTTTTTGGTTCTCTTATTCTATATTCTGTTGGCATTCATTTTTTTTCATTCTAATTTAGCAGATGAATTCATATAGATGCAACCATTCTCATATTGCATATTATGTGGATGATGATGATGATGAACACATTCTTCTGGTGTTCAACAGGCTCATTTCTTGTTAAACTGGCTGTTGATTTTCACTTTTTTTTCTAATTTTCTAAATTTAGCATCACACCCATCATCATCATTTTCATCATCAGAATATAATCGATTTGTGTGCTATACTGGTGGCTGTTTTTTCTCGATTAACTTACATCAGTTGATGATGATGATGATGAATAGAGTAGCGAAATAAAACAAAGCAACAACAACAAAAAAACAAATTAGGCCATAACGGTGCCAGTTAAACACAGTCGGTGAAAAAATTCTTTGCAACTTTGTGTTTAATTTTAGATTTTTTAAACCAACAACCAACCAACCAACCAAAAAAAAAAAAACACTTAACAAGCGTTAAGTAGTGATAGTGAAAACTGGTGCTTACAAAATCTGAACAATTCTATTCAACTGCAAACACTGCCATTATCTTTGAATAGAAAAAAAAACCGGATATATTTTGTATTTTGCCCACAAAAAATTTGATCTTGATATTTAATTATTCAAAAAAAAAATCCAAAAAAAATATTCTCTATTTGTTTGGCCAATAGATGGCAGCACATTGCTCATCATTTTTGATTAAATCAGTTTTTTTCAGTTTCTTTTCCAGTTTTTACATTCATTTCGATTTGAAATTTGATTTCTTTTTTTGTTTTCATTTATTATTCATAATAGATAGATTATTATATATTCCGATTATCAAGTGATATATTATGGTATTATGTGGTGATTATATATATTGTGTGGCTAAATATTTTTGTTTTCCATTAGTATGATTTTTTTCCATTTTATCCATTATAAATTCATCTTGAAACACGAATATGTGAAAATGAAGAAGAAGGAGAAGAAGAAGAAAGTTAATAAATAACAATGATTTGGGCGGAAGAATTTTTTGTTTTGTTTTTTTTTTGAAGTGAAATATAAATTTGTCTGTTTGTGTGTGTGTGTGTGTGTGGATCTGGTAAATATCTCTGGTTCACCGATATATAATGGTATTTTTTCTGTCTCGTTTGTTGGTTGGTTGTCATAACAGAAACAGAAAAAAAAAAAACAGAAAAATTTAGGTTGTTGTTTCATTTTCAAAGATTGGTTGGTTGGATACATTTTTTTCCATTTATAAAATTTTTTTTGTGTGTGTGTGTGTGTAAAGATAGATTTGTGATTTGTGAATCATGATGATGATGTGGTGATGAGAAATGATGACCACAACATTATAATTATCATTATTATTATGGATATCAAGATAATGTGGAATATATGATGGCAAGAATATTCGTCATTGATCAAAAAGATAGAATATATCGAGAGATGTGGATATGAAACACAATAAAAAAAAACATGAACAGCAGCATAAAATCATTTCTCACATTTGCTGTCAGCCATTATTTTTTTGTTTCATTTGTGCAGAGATTGTTGTTGTGTCGTTTTTTTTCTGGTAAATATATGTTGTCGTTGTTGTTGTTGTCGTTATTGTTGTTGTCCAGAACAGAAAAAAAACTGATAAAAATCATCATCACAGTAATGTATTGAATACATCGAATGATTGTAATAGATCATCGTCCTGTTTCATTGTCGTTGTTTTTTTTGTTCCATTTTTTCGTTGTTTTTGTCACGACGAGTGTTCAATGAATGGGAATAGAGAAGAAAAAAGTACACAAATACAACATATGAATAAATTAACAAAAACAAGGGAGAAAAAAATTACTTTTTTACAAGCTTCAACGAAAATCTCATATGTTACGATACCATCATTGTTGAGATCTAATTTCTATACAAGTAAAAAAAAAGAGGCAAAATTTCGTTAAAAATTTCAATTTACAATAAAAAACAAACAAACAAACAATACCTTGAATACACGATCGATATGTTGTTTATAAGTGGATTCATCCACCTGTGGCTGTACAGATTTGCCCAATAAATCATATACGGAAATAATAACACGACTTAGATCATCTTTACTGATGACACCATCACAATTAACATCGTATAGGCTAAAAATCCATTTAAGTTTATCTTGTATAGTTCCTCGTGACAATACAGAAAGTCCAATGACAAAATCCTAATCATAATCATTTAGTGTATTTTTGTAATTTCACTTTAACATTCATTTGCTTACCGTAAATGTAACAATACCAGTACGTTCAGGATCAAATGTATTGAAAACATAATGAGCATATTGATTGACATCGGCTCCTTTTGGAAAAAATTGTGAATAAATATGTTTGAAACTATCTTCACGAACCACACCACTTGGTGCTTCCTAAATTTTGGTGAAATTAATTGGTGAAAAACTCATTCATTTATTCATTCAGATAAATAAATGGATTATTACCTGTTTGAAACCACGATAAATCATTTGTAATTCTTTTTTAGTGAATTTAGTCAATTGACATAATGTTTCCAATGCTTCGGGTCGAAAATGAACATTCGGTGCATCCAAATCATCGAATTCACTATCTAAAATTGACGACGATGATGATGATGATGATGATGAATTGAAAAAAAAAGAAAAAGAAACACAAACAGAAAACAGACACAGTGGAATTTAATAGCAGTTCAAACAAAATAAAACAAAACAAAACAAAAAGTGATTGAATTTCCTTGGAGAATTTTTTTTTCTCTATCTTTTCACTTTACAATTCATTGATGAATAATTTTTCTGCGTGTATGTCAAGAATAATTACATATGTAAGAGGAAGAATGATTTTTTCTTGATTTTCTTTTCGTTTTTGAAACATTCGATGAGCCACTGCCACCAGCAGCATTACAGCGAACACTTTGCATTTTTTTCTTTTTTTTTTTTGGTTCTTTGAAATATTTGTTGATTTGATTATATCGATTTTCAGGTTGAAATTTTTTTTTTTTTTTTTTTGCTTAATTTATTTCCATTCGATTCAAGCAAAAGAAAAACCAATTAATTCGATTAAGATTGATTTTTTTTTTCGAGCAAAATCAAACTGAAATTAAATTTGCTTTGTCTCATCGTGTGTGTGTGTGTGTGTGTGTCATTACAAGCATCTCTACTATTTATCACTGACTCACAAAATATTCATTTGGTGGATGAAGAGAGAGAGAGAGAGAGAGAAAACTAATTTGTCTTTTTTTTCGAGCCAAGTTTTTTGTGTTTTTTTTTCTAAATCTATTTCTGTGTATGTCCTCTACATGCTGTGCTTGTTCAATTGAATGGCGTTTTTTTCTGGGTAACGGTAAAAAATACAAGAAAAACGCTGTTGATGATCTGTGATGATGATGATGATGATGAGAATATAGAAAATACAAAATTGACGACAACAACAACAACAACAATAATGTCCCATTGTAATCATTATCCACCACCATCATCATCGTGATCATCGTCAGCAGCAGCAGCAGCAGCAGCGAAAAAAACAGCCATTTAAAACGATTAAAAAAACAAACGCTAATCACATATACATTTTATTATGACGTAGTCGGTTTTGTAAGTATATTTATGACGTGAATGAAAAAAAAACTTTTTCCACATTATTTCATAGCCATAGTCATACCACCTATCTGGTGATTGTTTTTGATTTTTTTTTTTTTCTATATATTCAAATGTGCATTGGACAATCAATGTGTAATCTAATTAATGAATTTGATTTTAATTGAATTTGAAAACTTTTCAGATTCAATAGAAATTTTATTTGAATTGAAATGGAAATTGTAAAGAGAGTAGATGTGTGTGCTACTTTTTTTTATGGTTGCTGTATGTATACAACATGGGCCAAACAAATGAACAACGGAAACGTAGATTATGTACATTGTGATTGTTGCTGTTGTTGTTGATTATTCAATAAAATCAGGAAAAAAAGCAGGAAAGACAAAATGGTCTCATTTCAGTAGTCAGTAGTAGCAGCAGTGGGGAAATTGTGGGGAATTTGTCCATTAACCACGTTGTGAAATACTAAAAGCAAGGATTATTTTTTTGTTGTGGAATAAAATTCCATCCAATTCGAATTGAATTAATCCACAAGTCCAATATATATTAATATAAAACATCATTCATTTATTGAAAAATAGAAATCGACATTATGGAATATTCTTACACACACACACACACACAGCATGTATATATTATCATTATTTATATATTATTAATCAGGCAAATAAGCTGTTGTTAAAAACAAGCTAATACTACAAAATGAAAACCTCCCATTACTAGATAGTAGATAACGGGAACTTTCAAATTAAAAATGTGCATTGTAGGTGATGCATGGCCAAATTGGCTTCACAGAATTTAATCATTACAAAACACAACATGAAACAACACGACATAACAAACAACACGAAAAAAAATTGACCAAAATAAACGATTCTTTTTTTTATCGTCGATATTGAAAAAAAACTGCATTCGGTCAGCTTTCATTCATTTATTTATATAAATGACTGAAGGAAAAAAAAGCAATTTTCATTTCTTTGTAAAGAGAAAGCAAAAAAATGAAACTTTGTTAATAGGATTTATTGTTGTGTGTCATGATCCAACAAGAATCCAAAAAAAAAGTATTATTATTCTGGTAAAAGTTATTATATCCACACACACAATACGACGACAATATATGGAAAGGTAATAAATTCTTTGGTCATTCATATATAATAATAATAATCTACTAAACACACACACACACACACACAGAGAGTAACATTTGATAGATTCGAAATTTTTTTTTCTCCATTCTTTCATTGATGATGACAAAGTTGCACTTGGAATTTTTTTGTTGTTGTTGTTGTTCCAAAATAAAATAAAAACAACGATAATGGAAAGTGAATTGGATCGACAAGTACCACCATATATAAATGCAACAAACAACAACAATGTTGACACACACACACACACACACACACACAGAGAGAGAAGAAGAAAAAAAAAATCAAATGAAATTCTGTGGAGACCCTATTATTATTCTGCTTTTCATCTTCTTATTATTTTTTTTTTTTTTGTTTCTCATCCACACCAGCAGCAGTAGTTTTTCTTTTATTATTTCATTTCATTGTGTTTTTCGTGAAAATAATAGAAAAAAAAATTCTACTTTAATGTTGTCATCATTATCATCAGTAGCAGCAGCAGCAGAATCGCTACTTTTTAAGGTGGTTTATGAAGATGATCATCATCATCATTATTTTATTTTATTTTATTTTAAGTTCAATTCAAAGAATTGGATTTACATTGTTTGTGTTCCATCATCCGCATTAAATTAATTTAATTTTTTTTCATTCATTCATTCATTTTTCCTCATCATATAATCGACACAATAATAAGATTATGATTAAAGCTTTTTTTCATTCTATTTTTTTTTGCCTGGATTCCATCAAATGAATGAAAGAATAAAATTGATAGAATTGTTTCAATTTTTTTTTCGATATTGAACAAAATTGAAAATAAAAACCAAACAGAATCGAATGGCAACATTCTGTTGTTGTTTTTTATTTTGAATCAATATTTAACGATCGATGAGATTATTAATTGTCCAGAAATTTCTGTTCAGAGCAACAAAAAAAAGTTTGATTCAAGCAAAGTAAAATCACGAAATCAAGAATTGGAAAAAATTTTTTTGGTTTTTTTGTGTGTTTTTTTTTCCAAACCAGAAAAAAAAACACTGGAAATGACAAAAACAAGAATAGCGACATTGTTTTAGTTTTTTTTTGTTTTTGGTTTCTATTTGGCTTCAAGCAATTGAACACAAATATATTTGCAAAATAGGAGAATAAAACTCGGTTACAAGAAGGAAAAAAAATACAAACGAAAATGCACCGTTTTATTTTTTCATTGCCCGAATTCTGTTTGATTCAGCATTATAAAACATTCCAAGTTGATTATATATCATTAAAATTCAGTAAATTTTGCTTAAAGGCAATGGAAAACATTTAGTAGAATTTGACTTTCAGTTTAGTTGTACCGTGAACAATTTAAATTCAGTGAATCAACCATTATTAACAATGTTTTCCAGGCATTTTGGTGAAATGTCAAACCCACCAAAAAAAAAATGAAAAAAAAATGAAATTAAATATGAAAAATGGTGGTTTGCGACCAGTGGTTGTTTTGTAGTAGTAGTACAATTTTTCTACAATTTCAATTTGTTTCTTGTTCACATTTTTTTCGGTAAATTAATAGAATGTTGACAGACAACGACGACGACGACGATAATAATATAAAATAATAAAACCTTTGCACTTAATACTTAGGTATTCATGAAGATAGTGAGATAGATAGTGAATAATGTATCGGTACAACATTATTTGTAGTTCAATGTTGGTCATTTTTGATAATAATGTGTGCAAGCTCTCACAACAACAACAACAACAACGACAACAACAACAAAACTTTGAGGATTACAAACGAAAATATTCTTGGACAATAATCACACGAATGATAAGGATAATGATTCGTATTCTGTTTTTATTTTTCTTCATTTGATGCAAAATGAAAATGGAATTTCGAAAAAAAACTAATGACAAAATCTTCTTTTTGTCATTAGTTTTTTTTGTTTCTCCGTTGTAATTCTTGCACAATAAATAATTTTAGTTTGTTCGTTTATTCGTTATCATTTATTATTCAAGTTAAGTCAATCAAAAAAAAAAAAAAAATAGAAAAAGTTTTTTCTCTGTGTGTTTGGCCTATTCATTAATTCATTCATTCATTCATTCACTCATTCAATCTTTAAATTCAGTAAAACTTTGAAAATTCATTTTTTTCATTTGATTTCTATTGAAATTAAAATATAAATTCATTTTTTTTGCCGTCATTTTCAATGAAAACTTTTTTTTTCATTTATATGAAAAAAAAACAAAAAAAAACTTTGTTGAAACCAGTGCTGCAAAATTTTTTTTTTCAATTAAATAAAAATTCATGACCGACCAACCCCCCCTCACCACCACCACCACCACCACTACCTCTGTCCCAATGAAATGTGTCATTACAATAATGATAATGATGATGATGATGGTCGTTTTTTTTCTGTTTTGTTTCGTTTGGTGTTAATGTGCACTATTTATTTAAATTGTGTACGTGCCTGTGTATGTGTGTGTGTGTGTGTGTGTGTATGTTTACCATTTACAATTTTCTTTGATTTTAATGATTGGAAATAAATTTGTTGTTGTTTGAGATCATCATGTGATTAATGATTATGGTTTAATATCGATGGATTGAATAATTCATCACACACACACACACACACACACTGATACACTGATAGATTGTCTTTAACTTTTTTTTTCTTTCACATCTATAATATATCTCTTGGGACTATACATGAGAAAACAATGAACAAATCGATGAGCAACATTATTATTGATCACAAATAATTAAAAGTATTCGGGCACACAATGCTTCTCAGAGACAATTTTCAATAGATTTGAACTTTTTTTCCCGATCTCTATAGAGTTCAAGAATCGTAGTCAATGTTTTCTGAAATTCTGGAAAAAAAATTGATCATCTAATGAATCTTTCTTTTGCTCGTTTTACATTTACATCCAATTCACAGTAGACCAGTGGCCATAATGTATCAGCATTACACGATAAAAAAAACGATGAAAAAAAATCGGACAATTAGATTGAAAAAAAACCTGAAAAAAACGCACACACAGAGAGATGATATCATGTTGGATTTTTGTTTCTCTCTCTCTCTCTCTCTCTCAAAAAAAAAGAAATGGACAAGTTTCAAATGGTCAAAATGCATCTGGTCTGTCTGGCATATAATGATGAATAAACACTTGAATGTATGTGAAAAAGTGAAAGTGAAACATGTTAAACATGAGATTCAAGATGTTGTTTTATGATGAACAGAAAAAAAAACTTTACGAGTTAATGCACAATATATCACCACTGATATATGATGATTCTATTTTTTTTTTTTTTTGTTCGGATGTATTAAATGGTAGTGAAGAAAAAAAAATACATGTCCATTATCGGCTCAATTACATATTCAATATGGATGAACGAAGATCATTATAGGTTACAGCCAATAAATCGATCGATCGATCGATCAATTGGTCGATTGATCGATTGAAATGTACATTACATTACAATTTTGTGTGCACACGTCTTACCTTTAATCGAATCCCAGCTATTTTTTCGTTTCTTTTTCTTTTTCAATTGTTTAACACGATGAAATACATTCCAAACTAAAAAAAATAGAAAAAAAATATCCAGAAGAATCATCAGAATCAATTTAATGAGAGAAATTTTTTTTTCTGATTGTTTACCATTAAAATTGACATTATTTTGATCATTGTTATCACCATTTTCATCATTAATTTCAATCGTTTCTTTTTGGCTGTTATTATTATTGTTATTAATTCGTTCAATTTGTTGATTCGCAGTCATTATTCGATCGATTTTTCAACAATCTGGGCCATTCGATTTTTTTTTTAGTTCAAATCCATTAAATTTACGAATAGAGATTCTTCATTTTTGGTAATTGCATCAATGCACTGTATTTTTTTTCTTCAAATAAACAAACAAACAAACAAACAACAAACCAACCGATGAATGAATTAAAACACACACACACACACACACACACACGGTTCCAACTTTTTTTCCGCCTGGGAATATTATGTAATCAACGAGATAGAGATATATCACCTACTACTACTATGACTTTGATAAAGAGTCAAGTTGTTTAAGTTAGATAAGTTTATTTGGTCGATAAGTAGTAGTGAATGGAATGATGAAATGAAAAGTTGCCCACACATTAAACTTGAACACACTGATGTATAGTGAATGGAAAATAATTTTTCTACTTTGATAAAACACCGGTGTATGTGGTGGTAATGACGTTTTGATGTTTAGATAAATTTTGAATGAAAATGAAAATGAATAAAGTTCTGTTGATTGCAGGTGAATGAAATTCACTTTTTCACCATCATTTTCATCAAATCAAACAAAGCAATGTAATGATGAAAATGTATGCACAGTACATCATCAGATAATCGATAAATCAAACGGAAAAAATTTTTTTTGCAAATGACACATGACAACATTTACAGTCCCCCGTTCACAGTTGGTAAAAATGAATGACAAACACTTGAAATTCTATTTTGATTGATGAACAAAGAAAAAAAATAAAAAAAGAAGGAAAAACGAATGTTATAAATGTCGGAAATGGAATGTACACATAAATTCACAAATGCACTACTTTTCGGTTGATTTCAGAATCAGATCAGAAAATCCATATGTGGAGAAGAAAATTTTATGAATTTTTTTCCTTCTCTTTCTCGTTTCAATTTAAATTCAAAATACAAACACACACAGACACACAGAGGACGTTTATCGTGAAACGAAAAGGTTGAATAAATTCAGTTTATCGTGAATAATAATGGCCATATTATTGTTCTGTCAGAGATATGACGACAATCATGATGATGCGATATGCATGCAATTTTGTTGTTGTTGTTGTTGTTGTTGTTGTCGTTGCTGATATGTCAGTGTGTGCACCTTTCGAAATCATTGCCTAGAATGTTTTTTTTTTTGGAGCCTTGTGTATTTTGTTGGAACACGATGAAATGCAATGATGATGATGATCATCGTCGTCGTCGTCGTCGTCTTCTTCTTCGTTAGACATTATTGATGTACACAATATAACGGTATAACGGTAATACGAATAGAGCAAGTGTGTGTGTGACTGTTTGCACAACGCAAGTGTGTATTTTATTCCACACACACAAAAAAGCAATAAGGGCCATTCTTTCATTTTTTTTTAGTATTCCATTTTTCTATCCACATACACATTTTCACCCATTAGGATTCTTTGCTTTTATTCTTCTTCACTTTTTTTTTATATTTTCATTTATTTTCTCGACTATTTTGAGATAGTAAAGAAGATTGTTCTTGTCTGTGTCTCTGTGTATTGAATATGTTTTGGATTTGAAGAGAAAAAGCTTTTTTCGTTTATTTCTTTTCTGTTATTAGTGGTTCAATGGCTTTTTCCACCACCATCATCATCATATTAGGTAATATTCGATATAAATGGACCATATGGATTTTTTTTTCATGCTTCTGTCGTCATCATCAGTGGTCAACGTCAGTGGTTGTCGTTTGTTTATTTTGATTGAGATTTTGTTGACAATTTTTTTTACCAAATGTGAAATTTGTCATTTTTATTAATCACACATTTCAACAGTGTTAATGTTAACGTTTTTAAAATTTGAAAAAAACAAGGATAACCATCATTGATGATAGAAAAAAGATTTGCAAACAAACAAACAAACAAACAAACGAACAGCAAAATATATTATGAGTTTATGATGACAATTTTTTTTCACATTCAAATTTTTTAGCCTGACCACTACCACCACCGCCACAGTTGCCGCAACCATCATCAAAAAAAAAAAAATTTTTTTATTGATTGAAAAAAACCTAAAATCAATCAATCAATCGATAAACACACACACAAGCGGTTTTTTTATTTTGTTTGCCAACCACCAAAAACCCGCATACACATAGGCGGAATTAATGAAATTACAAACAAACACACACGCAGTTTGAAAAGTTTGTTTGGCCAAAAACAAAAAAAACAAATAAAAAAACAATAAGTTTCAAATAATAAGAATCAATAGAATTTCAATGATTCAGCACAACAACAAAAAAAAGAATTAAATTATCGTTCCAATTTTGTCTTTAGATTTCGATTCCGTTACATGAATCAATTTATTATGTGGTATGTACAGTGTACACGTCATTTGGTATTTTTACCACACACATACACATCAATCAATCAATCAAAAGAAAAAAGTTCAATTTTTGTATCAATCAGAAATTTCAAATTAAGCCAATGTAATTTGCCAGCAGCCAAAATAAAAAGCTGATAACATCGCTGGATTGAGAAACTTTTTCAATCCAAAGGAAAAATATGAAAAAAATTTTTTTTTTTTTTTTTTTGGCAAAACTTACCAAATATTTCAAACGGATTTTTAGTCAATCGCATTTTCGATGTCTTTGTATACACAAACGATGATTAAATCTTGATCGATCTGCTGCTGTGATGGTTGTGTGTGTGTGTGTGTATGTTGTATCTGTAGATATGTGGCAGAACTTTTAATCGTTTGTTTGTGGCACAGAAAAAAAAATTAGATTGAAAATGGATGTGATTTGAAGCCAAAGAAAAATTTTCATTTAGAATGTTGAATTTTGTTTTTGCATTAAGAAAATCTAAATCTAAACATTGTCTGTTTCTGTTGTCGTTGTTTATTTTCTTTTGATTCAGATTATTCAAAAAAAAAAAAAAATAGCCAATCGAATGATTCGAATTTCTATTTCAACTTGAGCGGATTTTCTGTCTCTCTCGGCTATTTTAAGTTGAATTTATTTGTGTGTGATAGTAAAACCAGAATCCTTTATTTTATGGCACAAATAAATTATCCTTTTTTTTCTGAGTATAAGCCATTTTTTTTCTCGGAGAAAGTGTCTCTATGGGATTCTTATAACACAGCCACAGCCGCCACAGAATTAGCAGCAACAGAAATGATATGCATAAAATTTTCATAATAATAACAATATACTAAGAAGAATCAATAGTGTTAAGCAATGAATAAGAAAAAAAATTGCCTACATCCATTATTTGATGATGATGGTGATGGTAAACATAGCATTAATGATGATTAAGATACTATAGTAAAAAATAAGAACCAGAATTCGAAAAAAAAGTGTTAATCTAATAATAAAAAACAATGAATTTTTTGTTTCATTTTTTTCTTGTGTTTGTTTTCGTATTCTTATTTTTTTTTTTTTTTTTTTTTTTTCTGGTTATTACAGAATATTCATAAATATTAATAAATCATACACACACTCACAAATTAATGCAGAATAGCAGCAGCAGCCACATGATTATTATTACATGAAAATGACGGGAACATATAAAGGAATTTGACAAACGCCAGAATTTATTCATTCATTCATTTACAAATAAAAAAAAATAAGATTTCTACGTGGATTCTTTAGTTCTTTCATTTTCATTTTTTTTTTTTATAATTTAAAAAAAATTTTCAACGAAAAAAAAATTCTATCCATTTATTCTTGTTAAGAAAGAAAATTTAAATTTTTTTTTCGCCTCTGAATATTAGAAAAAAAAATTGAATAGAAAATCCATTTCCATTTCCATTTCCATTTATTGTTAAACTTGCAAAAAAAAATATGAAAAGTTTTTTCTTTCTTATTTCTTTCTTTGGAAAAAAAAAAAACGAATCATGTTCATGTCATTTTTTTTTACAATGCAATGACTTAATGCTTCCTTTTACAATACAATACATACATCATTGAATTCATCGTAAGAAAAAAAAAAAATAAAGACCAATCAAATACAGAAAGAAAAAAATAAATATCCGAAATTTTGTCAACATCCGGTGTTTCATCTGTTATTCCCGGTACTATGTATTTATTATATATGTGTTTATGTCACCATCAACCAATCAATGCATGTGTGGCCACACACATCAAATTAGTTTTGTTAAACAAAACAAACTACAATGACAACTATCGACAATTATCCACTGTTGATTTTGATGTTGATGTATGATAGGATCAACGATTCCGGCAATCAATACACATTCAATGCAAGATTATTCAAGATTTTCATTGAAGAATATAGTGTATATATAGCAATGAAACAGTGGATCATGTTTTTTTTTTTTGTTCTGATTGGAAATCACTGTGTGTGTGTGTTGTGTGTAAGAAAATCATAGAAAATTCACACAGGATGTGTTTATATGAAAATAAATAAATATATAAATGTCAATACGGACGATTCCATTTGTGTGTGATACAAGTAATCAGGGAATTGAGTGAGAGTGGGAGAGATTGAGAAAAACAACAAAATGAAATGAAAAAAAAAAGAATTTTTTTCCATTTCAAATCAGCAAAATAAATGTGCCAAAAAAAATTATTATTATTATTATTGCTGTTCTTGTTGATGAAAAAGTACAAATGATGATTTCTCAATTGAATTGAATTGAATGGCTGAATGAAAAAAAAAAATTTTTCGTTGAATAAAATAAACAAGTCATTCAGATTTATTTGTTTGTTTGTTTGTTGTTGTTGTTGTTGTCGATTCTTTGAAATCATCATCATCATTATTATAAATTGAAACATTGCCAGTGAATATAAATTCTCGATACATTCTCAATGATGGCATAATATTGTTGACCAGATGTTATGGTGGCTATATGGTTTCAATAAAATCAGTGCATCTGAACTGAATGGATGAAAATGATCGATTGAAATGAAAGAATGGCACATAATAATCTTATTCAAATGATGATGATGATGATGATGATAATTGATGATTTGAAATCATAAAATTGGTGATACCAGGTGATGATTGTTCAACATCATTGTTGTCATTGGAACATAAAGTAATGGCAGGAAATTGTAAAAATTGCAATTCTTGAATTAAATTATGTTGTTCATCTGAATGAATAATGAATGATTTTTTCATGGTAAAATCTTCAATTATTGAATGAAGAATTTGATTGAAAAAATCAATTTCATTTGATTTGGCAAAATTATATGATTCATATGAATCAAGATTTTCTTGTAATTTTAATGTCAATGTATCATAATTATTGCGTACAATGTCCAATACTTGCTGTTCGGATAATGTAACCATTTTATTCTGCTGTGAATATGATTCCAATTTCATATTCAAATGTGCAATTATTGCTTTTATATTGATTAGATTATTAGTCAATTTATTTGATTCTTCTTTGTATTTGTTATTTGTATTGCCAATGCTAGTGTTTTCTTGTTTTGTCATGTGCCGTAAAGCTACAGAGAGAGAGAAAAAAAGAGAAAACATTATTATTGATTGATTGACTGACTGATTGATTTATTGCTTGTATGTTTGTGTGCGAATGTGCGAGTCTACTCTATATAAAAAAAAACATATGGAAACCAAATCATCATCCAAAAAAAAACTTACCAAATAAATTAAGATTATCAAAAACAGCATGCATACGTATTATTTCATAATAAAGTTCATCATAACAATGAACATTATGAAGAAAATTATCACCATAAAGTATAAACATATTGAATATGGTGATTGTTTGTTGCATTACGGTGAACAAATTGATTTTGTTTTGTGATTGTTGTTGTTGTTGTTGTTGTTTGAAAAAATATGCTTCATTATTCAGTAGAAATTTCAACAATAAAATCAATGATGACCACAATTCTTTCCAATCAAAATTGATACGAACTTTACAACGTTTTTGAAAGCATAAAATCCTTTGAATAATGCCAAGACAAAAACCAAAATGTTCATGATTTGCATGGCGATTAAGATGTGTGTGAATAAATTCAATCATCAGATCCAATATTGTATGACAAATTGGACGTAAAACATTTCTGTTTTTCTCCATCGATGCTTTTCTATGTCTCATGGGCTAAAAAAAAAAAAAAATACAAGATTTCATCATTCAACCAAACAAAAGATACAAATTATTATTATTATTATTTACCATTCGCCGTAAATTTACAATAAAAGACATATTATTATCATGTATAATGGAATTGGCACTAGTATCTTCTGTGATACAAGTCAATATTATGAAACAAAGCCGTACGGTTTGAGTGTTGGCACCATCTTAATAAACACATAGACACGCAGACATGGAATAAAAAAAAATATGATCATAAATAAATAAAGAAAAAAATTCACCAACATCAGGAAATCGATTAATTCAAGCACGAAACAGAAATATCACTAAACACTAACCTTTCATTCCTAACATGATGATCGAAGAGAATTCTAAAAATGTTACCAATAAATTTGATGGCGCTATTCCCAAGAAATTATTACCGGATTCATTTTCATCACCATCATCTAATAATTCGGTTAAAGTCTTTTATGAAAACGAAAAAAAAACAAAATATATATAGAGATTTTAAGATGATAAATGAGAAAAGATTCATGATCAATAATAGCTTACAGTCGTTAATAAGGAAATAAAGTTACGGTTCAATGAAACAGCTTCATATAGAGCAAGTAAAACAAGATTGACAATATGAAATGTATGAAACTTTTTACTTGTTATTCCATTATTCACAATTCCATTGCTACTGTTTTTATTATCTTCATTTGCGAATATGGTGCCAACCTTTTTTTTAAAGGAAATCAAAATATTCAAAGAAAACTAAATCATAAAAAAAAAAACGACAAACATACCATATTGGAAATAGATGAGAGCAGGCCACTTTTATTTTCATTTGTTAATTGATCATATTTCACAATAAATTGCATCAAATGATTTGTAATGGTTCGGGAATATCTCTACAAAACAAAGTTAAATCATCAATTTATTAAAATTGTTTGAATGAAAAATAAACAACAACATTACATTCAAGACAATATCATTGTCAACGATTGATAATTTCATCACATATGGATTTGTCTACAATAATAATGGAAAAATAATTGAGCTAAACAATTGAAATTTTGAATTTTTTTTTTCGAAAAAACTTACATTTGGTTTTTGATAATTTAAAAATATCGTCAACAATAATAATATCCATAATTCATCCTGTTGCTGTCGTTGTTGTTGTTGTTGTTGATCGATGGAAGCACTGAATAAATTAATTAAACCATCGAATACCTGATGATTGGACATGAAATTTTCCAGAAATCGATTTGAATTTATATCACTAAAACTCTATTAAAGAAGGAAATTATCAGATTTCAGATTCGATATGATTAATTAGTGGAATAATTACAGCCGTTAAGATTGCAAGTAATTTCAATGAAATACTTTTGATACCGGAATGAATTTCATCATTGAACAACAAAAGACAAATAGTCTCAATGAATTCCTTTAAAAAACAACGCATATTAAGATTAGACCCAAACATTCGTCAACATCTTACATCACGAATTTTTTTGGAATGTTCATCATCATCACAGAGAATCAAGGATATTCCATTCGCATCATCATTGGAAATTTTCGTTTTCAACGTAAAAAGAACATGATATGAAATTGAACACAGTGTCTATAAGAGAATGAAAGAGAATTTGCAATGAATAATTCGATGATAATCACAATCTACTTACAATCAATCCATTTAGAATACGCAATTGATTCGAATTTTGAATAGCTTCGATACTTTTTTCGAATAAAATGTTTACAATTCTTTTCACATCATTTATGTTTTCAATTTTGTCCAATTCTTGTTTTAATGCTGTTCCATTTGCCTATTGTGGAGAACAATGTCGAAACAAAATTGAAAACACACATATATAGATCGAATCAAACCTTGAGAAGAAAAAATTCATTCCAAAAATTTTCATTCGATGATTCTTCACCCTACAGAATTTTTAAAAAATGTCAAGAACAATTTCAATTTCAATCACAATGCAATTACCGTAATTAAATCAATGTAAAATTGTACAATTTTTTCCCTCAGTCCTTTTTTCGAATTTTTGTTCAACATTTTCTTCGTGATTCGTGATAATTGTCATCATCATCATTTCACAAACATGTGACTGAAAGAATCAATTTTCATTCATGTTTACAAACTGAATATTCGGGATTCATCCACAGAATATGTTACCTGCAAGATTATTTAAATTCTTTATCTTTATTTTCATTTTGTTTTAAATTACAAATTTATATGAATAATTTTTTTGTCATCTTGATTGTCTTTTGATACATGAATAGGCTGTTTGATAATCAATTTAAGAAATGTACAGTAATTTTCTTTTGTATGACATAAATTTAAATTACATTCAATGGATAATTCTGTAATTTTTCCATGCATGGCTGCAATCGATTCTAATGAAAATTCAATATCATTTAAATCATTGGTTTGAATGGCATTATTTGGCATTATTGATAGGCCAGATGTATTGTCCAATAATGTACATTTGATTCTATGTTTGGCATTAGCATCGGCTTTGAATGTGTTGATAAAATTAAAATACAAAGAAATTTTCATTTTTTGATTACAAGATATTTTCAACGGAGTTTCCGATAAAGTTTTGATATTATTATTGGAATTAAAGTTGTTATTAAGAGATTCTGTTTCACCGGTCAAATGATAATGATCGTTGATTGAATAAGGATTAATAATGGGTAAAATTGTGGCATTATTGCTATTCAAATCAATGGCAACTATTCGATGGTTATTCGTATCAGCAATCAATAAGACATTTTGATCAGGAATAAAACATAAACCATTTGGTTCATTGAATTTTCCAACATTATTATTGCCATGATTTACTGTTAAATTTTGACATTTCTTTGTTTTTGTTTCAATCTTTTTGATCTTATGATTATATGTGTCGGCTATGTAAATAATGTCATCGTTTGCACAACAAATGCCCATACAATGTTGTAGCCGACATTTGGAACCAATGGCATCAATATCACCAAAGGCAAATAAATCGGTTGGATCCACACTACCACCAACCAATGTTGATACTGAATTTGTTTGTAAATCAATCATACGGACACTTGAACTTTCACTATCGGCAATATATAGTATGTTGGAATTCAATGCGATACCGGTTGGCTGTGCAAAACTTGATTTTAAAAGGCTACGATGATTTCGTTTCTGTTCATTACCATCACCGGCAAAACATATGCATGATAAACATTGTTCATGTTTTCCATGAACAGTATCACCTTGTTCGGAAAGAATCAATGTCCAGATTTGATGAGCACCGGCTACAGCAATATAAAGCCGATTTTGATCACTGTTGAATACTAGATCCCATGGTGAATTCAATGATTTGGCTACAGTTTCAACTGTTCGTAAAATTATATTAATTTTTCTAATGGCATTATTTTCCGTATCACAGACATAGAATATGTTTTGATCGATCCAGGCTATTCCTTGTGGATAATTGAATAAAGCTTGTTCAAATGAGCCATCTCGAAATCCGACGCTAGAAGAACCGATAGTGAATTCAATCATTCCATCAATGGTTGTAATGATAATCATATTTGATAAAGTATTTGCGATTGCAAGTCTTTTTCCGTCATTTGATGAGGCAATTTTGGTAGGAAAATTTAGATGGCTTACTTTGTTTGAATCTTTAACCGAAATGATCGGTAACGATGATTTTCTTTCCATGAAAAGTTGATTCTTTTGGCCATAATATTTTAAACAAATATCGATGTAAAATTCAAGTTTATTCTTTATGGCTAGTTCACCCATCAATGTGAACAACAATTTACCGTTTGGACTGATGATCACAATTGTTGGCCAACATCGTATACATAATTGATTCCATAATTTTAATTTTGGATCATTACAAACAGGATGATCGATACCATGTCTAATCACAGCGTTCATAACATTTTCCGGTGATTTTTCATTCTCAAATTTTGGTGAATGAATACCAATAAATGAAACTTCTTTAGGGATATATTTTTTTTCGATTCGATGTAAAAATGGCAACATATGAAGACAATTGATACAGCAATAGGTAAAAAAATCACAAACAGTAATTAATCCATGGAAATTGTCCGTCAACGATAAAGATTCAGATACATTGATCCATTCTAGATCTAATTTCATGAATAAAATTATTAAATTTAATATTAGAAAATTTCAATAATTTCAGCAAACCTTTAAAATCATCTTCAATCACAATTGGACATTCATGTAATTTATTTAGAAAATTAAAAATCAAATTTTCTCCATTATCCGATGATGAATTGGCCATTTCATCTTCCATATCGAGCTGTTTGGCTAATTGATTTTCGACAGCTGAAATTGTTTGATCAGACATGATGATGATGATGATGATTGATAGAGAATAGCGATCAATTAAAGAATCAAACAGAATATATAGAATTTTTCGAGCAACAGTTTTTCTATTTTTACATAAATCGTTGATATTGTGAAAATGGTGATACATGGTGTTGTTGTTTTATAAAAGCATGCATGAATATATCAGCTGTCCATTTATATGTGCGTATGCATTTTTGTACATTGATTTTTGTTTGCCAAAAAAAAGTGTGTTTTAATCATAATCATCACAATCATCATCATTATGAATCAATGCCGGCAACATGTTTCTATCGGGAAAATTATCAATCAATATGTTTAGGTTTTTTATGACGGCGAAACAAACACCAAAAAATATTAAAATCTTTCAAAATTCGAATTTCCGTACACAATCATCATCATCATCATCAAAGCCATTAAAACAATATAGCGATTGGTATGGAAAATTATCGCAAAACGATACTAAACTATTCCGGTGGCTGGCCAAGACAACATTAATTAAAGAACGAATCTACGATAATCTAATTGTATTTACACGAATATTGCATGTGCAAAGCAATGTTTACTTAACATTACAGATACGTCGAATTGCTCAACTTTGTCATCTATATCGTCGATTATATTCACCAAGTGAATTTCAACTTGTTATTAATAATTTAAAATTTTTTAAATTTCTTTCACATGAATATCGAAATTATTGGAAAAAATATTTTCTTCAACGTCTGGTTCTGTTTAGTTATGCTGTTTGTTGTGCATATAATTGGGAAGAACGTATCAATGATAATGAATTTGATGAACTAATACAAGATTTCATTCACAATTATGAACAAAATCAGGTGGAAAAAGAATCAAATGTTAAAGTGAATCGTTCAAATGATGATGATGATGATCGCTGTGTATTACAAGATAATGGTGATACATCATTTATGGTAGTGAATTGTATGGAAGCTGATAACAGTAGTGTCATAACCGAATGGGAAGAGATAATAAAACGTGAAAATTTTCATGTTTTACGTAAATCTATCAATAATAGTGCCCTTTATCAATATAAAGGTAATGAATCAATGATGATGATGATAATCAATTTCATATATTCGATTCTATTTCAACATACAGTGTTTGGTTCATTCGATGATATATCGGCATATTCATTCTATTCCGTACAAAAGGATTTAGATTATCGTAAAAAATGGGATAAACTTGTCATTAAATTAGATGTTGTCGATGTTGAATCGACAAAACCTAAAACGGTTTCAAAACGTCATCGTTTATATGATACGGGTAATGAATTGATTCATTGGATTATGAAATATCCGGTAAGTTTTTTTTTTTTGTGTGTGTGTGTTTTGTTTTTCTGTAATAATTTTTTTCTATTCAATCTAAATTAGTATCCAATGATGAATCGTGAATATCTCTATATACGACGATCGATAATTGATTTTCAACGAAATTTTATTGTTCTTATATCACGTTCGGTAACAAATTCTAATATAACCGAAAGTCAAGAACAGGTCCGTGTTTACAATTACATGTCACATATGGTCATTAGACCATATGAAAGTTTTGATAAACCTGGTTTTGAATTTATGTTGACATATTTTGATGATCCACGTGCTTCATTTCCATCACCAGCGTATGCATGGATGGCAGCCAGAGGTGTACCAGAATTTGTTGAAAAATTACATCAAGCTGCATTGAAATTTGCAAATGAAAAACCGATGGAAAATATATTTCATCAATTTACTATTGTTGATCAAGACGATGATGATGATGATGATGATAATGATGAAACATTCGTGATTAACAAATTTGAAACACCAAATGAAGATGAAATTACTAACGGATCGGAAACAGCGGCCACAAAGCTGAATAAAGATAAAATTAACAAGAAAAATTTCCTAGCCAGATTACCCGAACCTATTGTTGATTTTGATTCTCTTATTTGGAATTAGTCATTACAGAGAGAGAAAGAGAGAATGTGTCAATAAATTGTTTTTTTTTATTTTTTATTTATGTAAATTGAAAATTTCATCAATACTTTTATCAATAGATTCATATGTCAACTGGAAACGATCAAGAATTTTGGCAATGAAAATGTTTGTCCTGTAAATGGTTTCCAATTCATTGGATTTATCAATCATTCGATATCGAAGTATGATTCGGAATAGAAAAATTGTGATTAAAAAATTTTCCTTTCTTCCCATCGTTGTTGTAGCGGCATTCAAATTCAATGTATTGATCAATGAATGAATATGATCGGAAATTTCATCAATTTCAATTTGATTATCAAGGATTTCGTGTAGAAATGTATGAATTTCTTGAAGAAATATTTGTTTTCTTTTCACACATGCATGTTGATTATCATTGAGTGGACGGAAAAAAATTTCCTCATCATTGTCATTTTTTTCTGATTCAATCTTTTCACCATTGACATCATTGGCAAAATGAACCTTTTTCGTATCATTGCCGATGGTCATAGTCGATAAAATGGCTGGACATGTGAATAGATTCCAAAGTTTATCCGGTGATAAATCATGATCAATTTGTTTGAATACTGATTTTTTATTTGTTTTCGATCGTTTTTTTCCACTATCACATACCATTCGATCATATTTTTCATCTTCAATTTCTTCTTCATTCAATCGAGCACAAAGGCGAATATATTGCCAACGATATCTTTGCAATTTTTTTTCATCATCTTCCACATTGTCCACAATTTCTGGTAGCTGTGGTATTGAATTTTGTTTTACCGCATTGATTTTTAAAAGATTTCTTGTATCATCAGTGATCCATGAAGATATTTTTTTCACTATATTTTCATAAAATTTTCGTTTCTTTAACATTCCACGTTTTGAATTTGTCGATTTCATCGAAAGATCACTGATTGAAGATGCTGTTGATATTGACATTCGATCGATTTCATCCAATAACAATTGTTCTTGTTCTTCATTGTTTTGATTTTTATTTGAAAATTTTGTCGATATTTCCGTTTGATTGGCAAATTTTTCTTGAATATTAAAATTTCTAAATTTTTCTTTCAATTCATTGAATTCTTCTTCCTTTAAATATGGTGCTGATAATTTGGATTCGATTGTTTTTTCATTTTTTAGCACACTGTTTTGTAATTTGGATTTTTGCTCGCCATTAGATTTATTTTCCAATGTTATCAATTTGAATTCATCACCACATTTATAATCATGACCATCGTATAGTTTTATCTGATGAAATTGATCATCATCATTTTTTCTCATAAAATATGGTTCACTAGATAATTGATCTTTGATATGTTCACTTTGTTTGAAACATTGATTGGAACAAAAATTTTTTCTTCTCGTTATATCATATACTTTATTTTGATGAATATGATAAATTTGATTCAATTTGAATTGATTTTTCGACGTTTTCGATAAACGATTTGTGCACAATGTGTAGCCACAAAAATCAATCGAAGCACGTTCTATGGTCAAATCTTCATAATATGATTTCGTTAAATAATGACAATCATCAAGAAATTCTTTTACAATGAATTGGATTTGATTTCCATCATTATCGAAACATTCAATATATTTTTGTACAATTTTCAGACATTTATAGCGGTATTCACGATTTTTATCTGGATTCATTTTTATTTTTCATTTTTTCAAAATAAAAAAACTTTTCACATATCACACACAAACGTGACAATCATCAACACAGAAGATAATTTTCATACACGAAAAGTATATGCATAATAGTTGGTGCAAAATTCATACGTTGATTGGTTTTCATTTTAAATTTTTTGTTTTGCAATTTTTTTTTTTTTTTGCAAGTTAACGATGATTGGTTCATTTTTTTTTTTCATCCATTTATAATTCGCGAATATCGTTCGAATAAAGTTTATGAATTATGACCAAAAAAAAAAAAAAAAAGAAAGAACTTTAATCGCAGTGTCATAAATTTTTTTTGTCCAACAAAGTAATTTACCGATTTTGTCGTTCAAAAATATTATTATATCCCTTGCGTGTGTGTGTCAATGAATCATGGGTTTCTATTTAATGATTATTTATGATTTTTTTTTTGTTGTTGCCTCTCATATCTCGAAAAAAAAACGATGCTTAATAATGAAAAAAGATGGCAATTTAAGTTTTTTTTTTAATGTTTGGCATCATGAATCAATTTGGAGCAACAAAAAAAATAGAAAAATTTAGAATGCATCCACACCATTTGAACGATAGATGGCGATAGATTATTCCATTGTTTTTTTTGGTTCGAATTCGTGTATTTGTTTTTTTTTTTTTAATTATCAAAATCTAAAAATTAAAGAAAAAATTGCTGAAAACGGAAAAAACAATATTTAGCAAAGTGTTATTTTGAAAATTCCAACATTTGTTTGTAATAAATAAACTGGATCATCATGATCATGATCATCATCATCATCATTGTGAGTAATATGAATACAAAGTTTCGATAAAAATAATTGACGATCACATTCTTTATAAAATGTAGCCTTCAACGATGTTTGATCATTTTGTTGACATAATTGTAGAAATGGACGTTGAAAACATTCCCAAAAATTTCTGATCATCAACTCACATAATGGATTTTTGTTGAATTTTCTTGACATTTTTTCTTTTATTCTCTTGAAATGTAATGATTGTTGGCAACCCGATTCATGTTCATGTTCATCATGATGATTCGAATGTTTCCACTCGATCACATTGATTGACCAATTGTAAATGTTACCATCATCATCATCATCACCATGGTTTGTTACTAGATTGTTGGATATGTCCGTTGAATTGGATTGGATATATTCGTATTTTCATCATTGTCATTATAATAATAATATTGTGATGTCAAGAAAACGAACACGATTCACATGTCACACGCAAAAAAAAACGAACAAACAAGTAAATCGTTGTTGTCGGTTGTGTGTGTGTGATTTGTAATTTGAAAAGATGGCAAATATTAACATTATTATTATGTAATACTCTACACAACATAAATACATACCCGCTACTGTTGCTGATGTTGATGACGATTCAAATATACCAAACGATGGAGATGGAGAATCAACTAATCGGATACGTTTCTCATGATTTGATGACATGTATTGTTTACAATAAATATATAAAGGAAGAGAAATATGTGGAATAACAAAATCATCGTGATCACCGTAATCATCATCATCATCATCATTCAAATGATTTGGTCGATCCAAGATGTTCGTATTCTGGTTATTGTTATTAGCCATAAATCTCAAACTTTTCAATAATCGTTGTTGTTGTTGGATCATTTTCTTTTTTATTCTTCTCATCATTACCGATTATGATTACCAATTTTTTTCTTCAAGTTTTTACCATCATAATCATAATCATCATCATCATCAAACCTCAACATTTTGTGTGTGTGTGTGTGTGTGTATGGGTTGTTGTTTTCGTCGATTATTAATATTCATCATGTTAAACTTTTTTTTTGTTGTCTTGTGGTGGCGTATTTTCTCAACAACAACAACAACAAAAAATCTTCATAACTCAACTGTTTTTTTCTTCTTCTTCAGATAAATTGTTTGTCATCATCATCATCGTCATCGTCATTTTTTTCTCCATATTGTTGTTTTTTTTCAAAAATTTTGAAAATCCATTTTCAAGGCTTTCCCTGAAATCAATATACGCGGATATATTCGTTGGAATGTAAGTTGGAAAACTTTTTTTTTCTTTTATTTTCTTTGATTATCATTTTTTTTTCTGTTTCGAATGTTTTCAAATAGAAAAAGTATATATGAGCAATAAAGCAATGAAAAACTTTACAAGAAAAAAAAATAGATGCAGCAGCAAAAGTATTAAGAAAGTTTTTTTTATATTTGAAAATTCATTTTTTTCATTGTAAAACTTTTTTTTCTTCTCAATAGTGTTTGTTTGCCTTTTGGGCCTTATCTTGAATCATTTCTTTTTTCTTTCCATCTCATAGATTATTTTTCATTTTTGTTTTTTATTTCGTCTATTTTACAGGGCAATTGTTGTTGTTGCTGCTGGAACGTTTGTGTGTGTGTTTGTGTGTGGTATATGAAAAATTACTCATCATTCAGATAGACATTCATTTGTTTGTTCCAAAACGCTTGCTCGCACACACACACACACCGAAATATTAAAGATAATAAATTTTTTGAATTCTCCAAGGAAATGTTTGATATATGCAGATTTATGGACGATTTTTCCTTTTCATTTCTTTTCAGTACCACATTCTTTCGTTTTTTTTACGCAAACACACACACACATATTCTGAACATTAGTAATTTTTTTTTGTTCTGATGAAAACCCTAAAAAAAACATTGCTGATGATGATAATGATCAAGTTACATCATTTTTTTTGTTGTTGTTTCAGAAGTTGTTGTATTGTTCTATAACTGTTTACATTTTAGCTTAGAATGTTTCTCTCTCTCTCTCTCCATTTTTCTCGTAGTAAAATTTTTGCCATGCTAATTATAAACAGAAAGAAAGAGAATTTCGAAAGAAAATCTAAAAATAGAAATTTTGTAAATTAGTTGTCGTTGTCGTCAGATGCTGCTGCTGCTAATCAACATGACGAACAAAACAAACAAACAAAAAAAAATGGATAACAAATTTTGAAAAATCGATTTTAATGATGCACGAATTCTTTGTAATTGATTTTTTTCCCTTCATCATTCTTAATATTACTGCCGTCGTCGTCGTCGTCGTTGTTGTTGTTGTTGTTGTTGTTGTTGTTTGGTATGGGAATTTGATTTGTAATTATTGATGATGAATAGAAATGAAGGAAAAAATGAATGAATGAATGAATGAATGAATGACAGCCAAAACACAATGAATTTATTTAATTCTCAGATGGTTGGTGAATACAAAAAAAAATTCCTGGTACCCTTGAGATGGATCATCATCATCATCATCATCATCATTAAGATCAAAGGCAACAGAAAAAAAAATGCAAACAGACATATTTGTATTCAGTGATTTTTCACTGTTGTTGTTCATTTTGTTCGTTAGTTTGATTGTTTAGTTATTATTAGGTTTGAGTTATTATTATTACCGCTTCGTTGATTATTGTTATTTTGCCTCAGTTCTTTCAATGGGAATAATAATCAAAAATAAAAAGAAAAAAAAAACACATTCAAATAGTTAGTGAATGAAATATTAGTAACAGAAAATCAAAACATTAATGATTGAACTACCGATGACGACACAACAGCAACTTTTTTTTTTACTTCTTTAGCATAAAAAAAACTGGAATTTTTTCCCAAAAAAAAAAAAAAAGAATCAATATTAGATGATGCTGTTGCTGTCGTTGTTCACGAAAATAAGAATCGACTGTGCACAGAAAAAAAAATAACTAATGAGGTGAAAAAATGAAAATTGAAATTATCGAAAAAAAAACTTTGCAATTTACAGCCTAGTTATTTCGCAATAAATTTTTTTTTTGTCTCACCGCATGCAAAACACACACACTTGACTCTTTTCAAGATTGATGTGGAAGATTGAAAATGAGGAGAAAAACTTCTCACACCCCATTTCCTTTACCACCACACCTGCATCAAATAAACATGAAAAATCCATTGATTGTTGTTGTGTGAAGATTTTGATGATCGTAACCAATTAATCATAACACGCGCTCATACATGGATTCAATTTTTTTTTTTTGTTTGTTTGTTTGTTTGTTTGATTGAAATTCAATTATTTTTCTCTCTCGATAGTAATCGAATAATAGATGAAATTTGTTCTTTTTCCCACAAAAAAATTGTTGTTGTTGTTTAGATGTTTTTATTTTTAATTCTGTCTAGAAATACTGTGTTTGTGTTTGTGTGCAACTTGAATTTGTTGTTCATCTGGATTTTTTTTTCTTTACATTCAATCTAGAGTCTAGATTCTAGACAGATATGATCTAGTTACATTTTTGTTGTTGTTGTCTGTTGTCCTATTGACCACTGGGATTAAATCAAAAATACAGAAAAAAAGAGAGACATGATTCATATACAGAATAGAATGGAATTTTTGTAAATTTTTTTTTTTTAGCTTGTATCGATGAATAGTGAATGGCGTTTTTTTTGTCATCGTCGTCGTCGTTGTTGTTGTTGTTGTTGTTGTTGCTCTTTTGTTGCGAATAAAAATGATCTTGTATGATGAATTGGAATTCTGATTGCTGTTGCAAACATAATACACAGAAGAAAAAAAAACCAATCGCAATAAACAATATAATATAAATAATAATAATCGTGTTGAAAATGTATTCAATCATCGAATCGAATCGAATCGAATCAAATATTACATTGATTGTTGTGATTGGTTTGTGGACGTAATATATAAAGAATTCGAAACACCAGCACCACCACCAGTATATTTGAATTTTTTTTTTTTGTTCATTTTTGTGATTGAACCAACAAACACAAAAACAAGAGAAAAATGAAAACTATAACGTCTAGTATTAAGAAAAAACGAAACAGTATTGATAAAATGAATGAAAGAAGAACATTATTGAAGGAAATGTTCAATTTATTCACTAACAAAAATAAATACAAAAACAACGACAACAACAACAATAACAAATATTCACTTAAAGACAATAATGATGATGATAATAATAATACGATTGAAGTAAAACATATACCAACATTATTGAAAACAATTGGTATATCAGCCATAAATAATGATGTGGATGATGAAATGAATGAAATTATTATTGAAAAAATGATCACATTAGCTAATAATAATGTTAATATTGAATTTGAAACTTTTTATACAATAATCAATGAAATGATACAAATTTATAGTGAAAAAAATCAAATCAAAGATGTATTCGATAATATTGATCTTGATCATGATGGCTATATTACATCGATCGATCTTCGTGTTTCAATGCGAAAGTTAGGAATTAGTTTAAATGATGATGAAATTGAAACAATGATGATGCAAGCTGCTGCTGCTGCTGCTGCTGTTGCTGTTACGCCTACTACTCATGATGATCATAGAGATGGTGGTGGTACAGACGTTAGTGGACGACAATCAAAGCATATTATTCATCCTGATGATAATAATAATAACACAGCAGCAACAACAACAACAACAACAACATCAGTTGATTCGTTCGATTGGCAAACCAATAAAATTGATTTGAATCAATTTAAAGCACTGTGTTGTTGTAATAATTTCGAAGATGATGATCCTCAATCATCGTCATCATCATCATCGAAATCGAAATCGAAATTGAAACGGATGGTGGTGGTGGCAGAGGAAAAAAAAAGTTGCACACAAAAAACACAATTGAATCGAATGTGAATAACTTTGAGTAGGACGAAAAAAATAATAGCGAGAGAAAAAAGGATGTGCTTATTTTTACATAAATAGAAAAAAAAATAAAGATGCAGAATTTTGAAAATTATATTCAATCGATCTTTCATTGCCAGTCATTGATTCGATTTTTTTTTTTTCTCTCTCTCTCTCTCCTCTTTTTCACTGAGATGGTATTGAATAATAAATCCATTTTTATAACTTTAATCGAACTTTTTTGTTCTTCCATATTTTTTTTTTATGTTTCGAATTTTCTTCTTTTTTTTCCATGAAACAACACACACCATCACCACCACCCGTACCGCAAACATCATCATTGAGTACTGTATGTGTGTGTGTGTGTGTGTGCGGGAGGGGGACGGTTTATTTTTTTTTTTCTTGAAAACTTGTATACTTGCCATATACACACATACAACAAAAAAAAATATGGAACTTGAAAATGGATGTTTTGTTGTTACATTTGAAAAAAAACGTTCGAATGAATGTTTTGTGTGTGTGTGTGTGATGAGAATAAGTGTTTTTTCTTCATTTTTCAACAGCAAAAAAAGAGAGAAAAAGAGAGATTGACGCATTCATCAATAAATAATTTTTATTTTTTAACGAAAAAAAAAGAAAGAAAAAGTTTCCAAAATTACAATTGTAATGATGATGATGATGATGATGAAAAATTCTGTGATAATATCAAATATATATGTGGAATTAGATAGATTCAATCGATTATTATCTTCTGTCTGTTTGGTCTGTCTTGTTGATATCTGTCATCAGCAAAAATTCATAAATGATTGAAGAAAAAAAAAATTCCATTCTGATTATGTATGTGCCTGTGAATACGAAATGCGAATTTTTATCGAACAAAAAAAAAAAAAAGAAACCATCCTTTTTTTTGTTACTGATTTGAATAAAATCTTGATGAACTTGAAGTTTTTCCCATTTCTTTTTTTTTGTCTCCAGATAAAAGTTTTCATTATTTTTATGAGTGAAAAAAAAAATTTTTCGTTTCCTTTCTTTTCCGGTCACAAAATTGAAATTGATTGATTCATCCATCTTTTCTTATGGATAAAAACCGGAAAAAATTTTTTTGGAGAAAATTGTTCCATTTGATGATGACAATGCTATCTATGCTTTGTTTATATATGTATTGCATATATACATTATAAACTTTGGATGGTGTTTGTTGTTGTTGTTACTCTCAAAGGAACAATTTATATCCAATCAATATTGCAATGTTTTTATAACTTTGGCAAATTTTTTTTTTTGTTGTTCATTTCATTTCATTTCGATTTTATTTTTCTACCATACAATTGCAGCAGCAGACCATGTATTGCTTGTCACTTAAAATAATTTTGAAAATCGTCTCATGAATTGAATTGAATTGAATTGAATGTCCACTTTATTCATTCAGTTTTTTGTTGTTGTTGTTGTTGTTCGTTCTAAATGGCTTATCTATTGGGAATATTTGTTTGTGTATGAATGATGATTACAGCCAAAAAACAACAACAACGACGATAATAATCATTATTATGTTTTTCGCAGTGAAATGTTGTCACATTTTCTTTCATTTTCATTCGTTTTCAAACAAAGAAAAAAAAACTAAATGACGTTGACAAATAACAACAACAACAACACACACAAACATTGTTTTTTTTCCATTCATATACGGCTAATTATTCATCATTTTAAATGAGAACAAAACTTGATGATAATGATGGAAAATGTTTCCTGATAATTTTTCCATTTTTTTTTTTTTTTGAATAAAATTTTGCGCTCATTTCAAAGTTTTTTTTGGTGTCGACCTTGATGAAATAATTTTTGTCTTGTCATTCCATGTGTGTGTGTGAGTGTTGGTTGGTTTTGAATCTAATGAAAAAAATGCTAATATATATGGCACACTTGAATAGAATCCAATCATAATTCTGATTGTTTCCGTTTTATTGTTGTTGTTGTTGTTGTTTTTTTGTTCCTGTATTCCTGTGAAATTGTTTGGGTCAACTTGTCATAATTTGAAAATATGCAACAAACGAGAAAAAAAACAATTATTTTTTCATTTCATTACATTTCATCCATTTTAATGATTATCATTTTCGATTAACCGATCTACACACACACCTACCTACCTACCTGCTGAGGTAGTTACACGCAAACACACACACACACACACTGCAAGTTGTTGTTTTTCTGTTCTGTTTTGTTGTTAGTTTTGGGTTGATTACTGCTGTTTTTTTTATTTTGTTCTCATTTGATTCATGAATCATAAAACAATAACCAACCAACCAACCAATGACGATGACAACGACGATGACAATGAAAAATGATAAATTAAAAAGAAGAAGAAAAAAAATGATAATCAATTATCATGTTGGTGGTGGTGGTGATGGTGGTCGTAATCAGTTTCTTTTTTTTCACCAGGTTGAAAAAAATGGCCATCGTTTTAATATAATGGTTTTTTTTTATTTCACCAAATGGTATAAGTGGAACAAACACCAGTTTTGCCATCGTGATCTTGTCTTGATTATTATTATAATGCAGAAAAAAAATGTAGTTTTTGATCAGTTTTCTTATCTCTCTTTACAATTCATTGTCAAGCATCTTATCTGTAGTAGCAATAGTAGCAGTAGCAATGGTAGTTATAATTTTTCTTTTACACACACACACACACACACAAAAAACATGACCATTTTTTTCATCATCAATGAACAATTTCTAATCCCTTGATATCAATAAACAATATAGACATATAATGATGATTGTCATCATCATCATCATCGTTATTCAAAATGAAAATTTTTTCTTTTATCTTCTTTTTTTTGTGAATTGGATTCCATATGATATGTGACTTAAATATAATCATCATCATTTGGATCATAATTATCATTATGATGATGATGATGATGGTGATTATTACCGTTTTCTTTTCTTTTCTTTTCATCTTTTTTTTCTTTATTAATTTGCTCTAGAATTAATGGCTAGTTTTGATATAATCATCATTTTCATTATGATATTTTCACACACGCACGCACACACACACACACGAATGGGCAAGAAAATAAACACACACAAGACAAAAATTAGCTCTGATTTGTTCGATGGACACTTTCCGCAGGCAAAACTGGTGTTTGTTTGTGTTTATCCATAAATTTTGAAGCCAGAAAAAAAAATTCAACACCACAACAGGACAGTCAGTCATCAGCATTGACGTTGATTTTGATTTTAAAGTGAACAGAAAAAAAATTTAAATTTTTCATTTTCATTTCCATTTTTGATATTGAATTTTAATCACGTTTCATTTTTCATTTTCATCATTCAGATGATGATAATCTTTTTTTGTATATAATTTAATTAAAAATTTCAAGAGTTTGTTTGTTTGTCACTGCATGATGAATGAAAAAAAATTGCAAATTTTAAATTCAAACTCATGAACACACGTATACATACACACACACACGCCGGAAAAAATAAGGTAGCAAAAAAAAAAAATGGTTGGATTTTGGAAATATTTCCGTAAAACGGAAAATTTTTTTTGGAAAAAAATTAACAAAACCATCACTTTTTTTTGTGTATGTGCGATGATGGAATTTTACTTTTCCAACATAATCATCATCATCATCATCATCATCATTGATCAGATGATGAAAGTTTTTTTATTTTTATTTTTCTCGCTCGGTTGGTTTGTTTTGTGTTGTTGCTGCTGCTGCTGCTTTACGTCGTTGTCATTTATTTTCAACAAAAAAAAAAACTGAAAATGATTTTTAATGTGTGGTTGGTTGACATTTTCTTTCTTTCTTTTCATTCATTCATTCATTCAATTTTTTTTCCATATATGATGATGATTGAAAATATAATATGAAGTGAAAAGTGTTGGCTACTTTCTACCACTTCTCAATGATGATGATTATTATGAACATTCACACACACACACACACACACAAACACAAACACATGGAAAGTGCCAAGTTTTCTTACCTCTTAATCGAAAAAAAAGAGAAAAATGTTTTTTTTTGTGTGTGTGTGTCATGTTTTGCTCTAGCAATTTTCATGTTGACGTTGATAGACTTTAGTCAATTCTTGCTTTATAAACACCACAAACCAAACCAAACGAAACCTTTTTTTTTTTTTTCTCTTTCTCTTTTTCTTTTGTAAGTCTATAGTAGTCAATATATATTGGTTGGTGATGATTTTGATTAACTGGGGACCAAACTGCTTAACTCAATTAACAACGACATGTATACAAACATTGAATGATTGTTGTTGTTGCTGTTGTGTCTGTGTATTTTTTTTTTATTTTTTTTTTTTTTGAAAAAAAATTGCACATTGCCCCTTTGCGGTTGGCTTCACTGTGTTAATTTATTATGTGAATCAAATCAGATGATGATTATTTATTATCTGAGAAAAAAAAATTGGAATGGAATTCAATGATGATCAAATAATGAAAATGAAAAAATATGAAATGAAATCAAGCTTGACTTCGCCAAAAAAAAAAAAAATTTTTTTTGCTTTGTTAAAAATGAAAATGAAAATGAAAAATTTGTGTGTGTGTGTGCACAGTGAACACCGAACACAATGAATGACAAAAACCAATCGAATCTGATTTGATTTGATTTTATTGATTTGGTTTGGTCTGGTTTTTTTTTGGTTTGAAATCTTTTTCATCATCATTATTATTTTTATTAATATACGAAAGAAAATAAGAAGAGAGAAAAAGTTTTGGCAATGGAGAAATCTCGAAAAAATTTGATTTCCTTTTCTTTGTCATTGTCATTGTTGTCATTGTTGTTGTTGTTGTTGTTGTTGATGATGATGATGATGATGATGATGACACATATCTGTCGAAAAATTTGCTTCCCATTTTGATTCGCAGTTTATTTCTTTGTATATATCATATTAATTAGCATAATTTCCTTTTTTCACAAATATTTGGTTGTTGGAAAAAAAACCAATGAATGAAAATGATTTCACTTAGAATAATCAAAAATGTCTATCAATCTTTTTGTTGTTGTTGTTGTTGTTTTGTTTCAAACTCCATGATGACAAATTTGTGAGTATATATTTTCATTAAACAATTGATTAAAATGATGTTGTTGTTGTTGTTGTTGTTGAAATGATCTTCAAATGCAAACACACCCTTTATCAATTCGTGAATGTATTTGTGTTTTCGCTGTCATATCGAAAATGGAATCATTCGCTCTATCTCTCGGTGTGTGTGTGTGTGTTTTTTTCAGATTTCAAATTTTCAGATAGACATTTTTTTTGCGATGGTTATATATTTATTATGCATTCATGCAAATATCATCATCATCATCATCATCAGTGTGTTTAACCTACATTACTGAAATAACAATGACACTCGTGAGAATGACTGACATGAATATTTTTCAATGTACGTTTTGTTTGTTTTGTTAAAATGCAAAATTCTTTCGATTCGATTCAATTGGATTGGTTTAGATTTGATAGTTATCTCTTGTTGTTGTTGTTGTTGTTGTCGTGATATTCATCATCAGCATCAATTTTCTTGGTGATTCAGCAAAGTTTTTCGTTTTTTTTTATATATTCGAGTTAACTGATGCTTGATGCTTGGCACTTGTAAGCTTTGCACACACACACACATTGCAAAAAAAATAAAAATAAATATTCAACGGAATGAAAGGAAAAAAAAATTCTAGATTCTTATTCTTCTCATCTATTCAAATATCATTTCAATCGATTTGTTACTCTATTTTTTCATTTTTTTTTTTTGGCACGCGTTTATAGAACATGATTCCATGACCATGAATGGATAAGAATGTGAATGTGAATGTGAAATTCATGATCCATCGTCGTCGTCATTTTTTTTTTTTTCATTTCCACAGAATAAAATTTACTTTTTATTTATTTATTTATTTATTTATTCATTCATTCATTTTTTACAGAAAAAGAAAATTTTCATTTCCTTCTTTCATGTCATATTTCAATTTAATCTTGACATTACACACACACACACACATGAAAAATTTGAAATTCATAGCTTTCTGATTTGTTTTTTTTTCATCATCTCCCCATTGCTACTGGTGTTGGCCTGTAGTTTTTTTGTTCATTTCTTATAATTAAAATTGATTAAATTTTTTTTTTCAACGAAAAAAAAACAGATGACAAGTCTTGTAATGAATTTGCAGCAAAAAAAAAAAGAAAAATTTGTTTTCACACTGTGTGTGCAAATGTCAAATAGATCTGGTTGATGAAAATGGCTGGCTGGTTGGCTGGTTGGCTGGTTGATGGTCGTCATCGTCATTTTCAAAAATTTTATGGCTAGAATTTCTTTAGGATCTCTGTGTGTGTGTGTTGGTATTGTTTTTTACTTTTACACTTTCTATCTAGCTCATGCCTTTTTCTTATCAAGCACAAGTGTGGAACAAACTTTTTAACTTTTTTTTTCTTCTTCTTCTCGAAATTCTGTTTTTCAAACTGATTAAAGAATTTTTTTTTTCTTGTTACATGTTTTTGTGTGTGTGTGTGTGTGTTTTGAAGAACTTTTCACTTTCAATGAGCATTGGAAAACTGAGTATATGAGATGGGAGAGAGAGAGAAACATTATTGCAGATTGAAATCTAATTATTACATCAGCCATTTCAAAACAAAAACAAAGTCAGAAATTCTGTGTGTGTGTGTGTGTTTGGTTATCGTTCGTTATTCTTTTCTTCACCAGTTGTGTGACACTTGTATATTTCAAGTATTTTAAAATTTTCTCTCTCTCTCTCTCTCTTTTTTGGAAAATAATGTGCTTTCTTGTTTTTTTTTCATATAACAATGATAAGTAGAATGGACAAACAAATAAACAAACAAATAAAAAATGATTCTGACAACTTTGAATTTCCTGTATGTTTGTGTAGAATAGTATGCTCCTGGAACACATAGTGATTTTTTTTTTGAAAAGTTTTAAATTTTTCCTTCTTTCTCACCATTTGATGATGATGATGATGATGGAACAGAACAAAAAAAAACAACAACAACAAAAACTTTTTGAACACCAATAAAAGTTGTGTGTGTGTGTGTGACCATGAATGACGTACTGACGTACACTTGTGAACACACATTTATTATTATATCACATAAATAGAAAATAAAAGTAGAAGAAGATAATGTGTGACATTGTAAATCAATAATATTGAGAATAATGAAAAAAAAACGAATACAGAATTGTTGTATACAACAATAACAAATTAGAATTGGAAACAACAAAAAAAAAGATTGAATGAATGAATGAATGAATGAAATTCTATACACTAGCCGATTTATAATTTTTTTTTTTTTTGGCTATGTTGTTGTTGGCCATCTTATTGTTTGGTCAGTTTTTTTCGATTAATTTACCATGTATCGATAGTGGTGGTAATTTAATGAAAAAGATCGATAATAAATTGTGAATAGAACGAATGGGAGAGTGAGAGAAAGATAATTTCTTTTTTTTCTCTCTCTCGGACAAATGAATGCAAATACACAATGTGTGTGTGTGTGACAAATAGATTCAATTAACTTATTTCATTTTTGTTTCATTTACTTTTTGGATATTATAACTGAATGAATTTTGTGGCCATTTTTGATTGTATTTTGATTTACAGGATAGCAAAATAAAAGAAAAGAGAGAGAGAGAATCTTTTTCTAGAAGAAGAAAGATAAAAAGAAAATCTCTTCTTTTTGTTTAGTTTCCAGTCAATTTGATTCTAGGATTCTGGTTATCAAATGTAAACCGAATATTCTGTGCAGCAGCATC